TATTCACCATTATTAACCATTCATATTAGATATCCACAAAATTCCACTTAAATATACCTGGTATCAGCCATTATTAACCATGAATATCCCATAATATTCCAAATCAGGTATTATCAACTATAAATATTAGATATTATCAACCCTTATTAACCACTACTATTAACCATTATTTATACTAAAAGTGACTCCATGGCATTCATATTCCATAATATTCCATAATATTAACCATATTATTCCAATACTATCCCGGGTATTAGCCATTCTGAACCACTAGTACCTGGCTATAGTGAATAGTTAACAATTATAATTACCATTATAATTCTTGGTTCTTAACCATTATTAACATTTCAGGTCAATATTAAGTATTAACCATTATGAAGCATTTTTAGCCATTATTAACAACTCTTATTCGCCAAATCTCAACGAATCCCCCAGTGGCGTGACTGAAACTTCGGTCCGCCGACGCCTGCGCTTCCTCCACGGCAGCCACGGGCTGCGGTGGCTGCGGCTGCGGTTGGGTCCGCCTGTCCGACCGAAAAGACATTCAAATGAAGATTTAATGGATGGTATCGTGGTGCCAGTGAGTCACGACGCTATCACCTCCGGCACAGCACACTGCAAAAGCTTCCGCTGTGCCAACTTTGGTTGTGCAACCGCAGGGTTTCTCCTTCCTGAATCCCTCCATGGAGTCCATGGGGTTGGTGAGGACATGTCCGCTGTGACAAGTGGAAGTTCTGTCCAAACACTATAGAATGATACATATATATATATATAATAATGATACAGTATATTTCTGAAACAGAAATTTCAAGTCTCGCACTACAGATAGCTGTGGCACAAACAGTTTTTCACTGCGGGCACTTGGTAACGATACGTGAATTTGAGGCATTTAGGTGCAAAGACTAAAACTCCACAGACATCTTGAGCCAACACTTGTACCAACACTATCCAACACTTGCGCAGCATTTCAAGCTTTTAGGACCCACGCAGCCCTGGGCAAACGCAATGACCAGACGACCCTGGGACCTGGATCCATATCCTCGAGCAATTCCCAACCATCAGTGGATTGCGACCATTGGTCGGCTATGTCACTGATATTCTGAAAATGTGACATTTGCACATGTGTAGAGAATATAGACATGTATGTGTATATATATAATTATATTATATATATAGATATAGACACGAGCATATAGTAATTGCACATATGATATATAGGGATACATAACCAGTATTGTCATGCATTAGCCAGTAATATCATGCAGAAACACCAGCTCGGCATCGAAAGTGGCGAGCTGAACAACCACATGGTGGGCAGTGTTCAATATTGGATACCCGGCGATACCCCCAAATATGGACAAGCAAATGACCATAAACATAGACATATCGTAGGGAACAAGTGCTCTTTGTCACTGGGTCCCTTACATATTGATACATATTTTGTACACCTAACGTTATCCGAATTGTTGCATAAGTTCATAAAATGACCAACATTTGGAGTTTCCTGAAATGGGGGTAGCCCCAGTCATCATCCATTTATTTTCATGAGTTTCCATGAAAAACCATCCAGCCATTAGCGTATCCCCATGACTATGGAAACCCCCATGACTCTGGCTGTTACCCTCTGGTAAATTAACATAGACCCTGAAAATCACCATTTGTTAGTTGAAACTAATCTTCCAACCCCTATTTGCCAGGGTCTATGTTAATTTAACAGAGGGTAATGTTCACCCCTCCATATCTTGCCTCAAATCGGAGAGCTTGATGACCTCGTGCTTGGGGCCGGCAGCCTGGGCAGCCTGTGACTGACCATCCCAGGAAGCGAATCCGGACAATGGATAGGCCTTTTCGGGGTTTCCATAGTCATGGGGGTACCCCAAAAACGCTGGATGGTTTCTTTCATGGAAAATCTCAATCTAAAATGGATGAGAACTAGGGAATTCAGGGATAATTACCCCTATTTCAGGAAACAACCACATTGTTTGCAATGTAAAATTGCCAAGCTTAGATACCCTGCCAAAAACCATGGTGAGATTCTAAGCTTAAACCTCTCATCCAAGGTTTACCTAGGCACATACCATAGAATAGATTGCGAAATCAGCAGTCCCTCTCTTTATAGATGCTATATATATATATGTCGGTTAAACCTACTTCTGTCAACCAACTTAGCTAGAGAACTGAGGCACCATATTGCAATAATTTGCAATATATTCCATACTACAATGCTACAATATATCAATCACACATATGATGTTGGTTTTATGCCCCATGCTGCAAGAAATTGTTGGTTTTAAAACCCCCAAATCCCATGAAATCACCATAAATTGCCGGTACACGTCTCATGAAAAATTACCGTTCTTGCTGGTTTCTTACCACCATAAAAAGGTTAGTAAAATCCTATTTTTCATCACGATTTAAATCACATGTATTCTCCATGTTTGCTGGCTACAGTAAATCACCATAATCGATTACCACCATATACTGTAGTGGATCTATGTTCAACCACAAAACGCTTGGATTTTAACCTTTCAGTTCTATTATGATTTTCTAAGGCAGAGTTGGCATGTACATATATACATATATATATATATCCCCATCATATCACATTGAATCACCATTCTTGTTCTTAAATCAGCTAAAATTTATCAATATGTGGGTATGGGTTTCTCTGAAAATAGGCCAATTCGTCCAACAATTCCAATGGATTGTCATTGCTTTCCGCCAACACACCTGGCGAGCCGCTGCTGCTTCAGCGGCTTTTTCCTGGGACATTGGTGAATTGTTTATCATGGTGGTTATGCAATAGAAGAGATATGGTATGTCTATGAATAATTTGAATCAATGGATATAAATAATACAAAGTAAATATATAATTCATGTATGATACAATATCAAAATATAACAAAATATATATTCATGCGCGATTTAATCATCAATAGTGATGTCATGGGATACCAACGTCGACATTGTTATAGGATTTATAGGATTTAGCACTTCAGACATATTAAGCTGGTTGGTGGTTTTAACAATCTTGAAAAGTATGAGTCAATGGGAAGGATGACATCCCATATATGAAATGGAAAATAAAATTCATGTCCCAAAGCACCAACCAGATATTAAGATTATTAAGCCTTGCAACAACAGTAAACAAAAACCATTGGGGATTCTGTGGGACTGGGATTGCCACATCTGGGATTTTTCACCAAAAAAGGCAACAGAGAAACCCATAGATTTCACCAATGGATGATTTCCTCACTTTGCTTCACTCAGCTGGGATCGAAATGTGGGGTCTGAAAAAAAAACATCTACCGGAAATGTCTTCTATTCATTTCTATATCCCAAATACATGCAATTGTTCTTCCATAATCCAATTCTGGGGAGAAAAACCCTCTGGTGTCATCAAACTCGGCTGGAAAATCCCCGAAGTGAATGTTTCCAGCTGTGAAATTCATCAGCACGCCATGTTTGATTACCTTCCGACAATTGAGCATTATCCATCTATAATTTTCCCACTAAAACCTTTATCATCCTCTATTTATCGAGGATCTTCCATTTTAAAGAGGATGTTTTTCCTACTATCTACAGATGATGTTAGTCACTAAAACTTCCATTGAAATAGGAGGATTTCCCACCGAGAACTTGAACGTCGTCACGCCTCGGCGGCCTCCGTTTCACGCTGCTCCTGGGGTGTTTTTCTGTCTGTGTCTGCTTAGATGGGCCATGGAGTTAGTGAAAACTAGTTAGTAAATGGATTATTTCATTGGGATTTTTTGGGGGCAACAAATCCCCAGTTACTAACCATAAATCGCGTTTTTCCCATGGCCCATCTAAGTGAAAGACTTTTTTTTCGCAGCCCGTGATGGTGGGAAAAAGGTTGAAATACGGGAAGATACAGGAAATTACAAGGACAAATGCTGGGAAAACTGTCAATAAATGTTGAGATCATGTTGAGTCCGCTAGATATCGGATAATGTCCAAAAATTGGTGAATTTAAACGTGGAAAAAAACATGGGAGTTCCGTAGTTGGATCAAACCGCATAATTTCATCATCATTGACCAATATCCAATGAAGATGATTCATGATATTTATATAATATATGATACCACATTTGTTCTATCCGCATTTGTTCTATAAGGTTGCTCTGTTTTTTTGGGTTTCAGAAAATTGAGAACACCAAAAATTGGCACATGGATTAAACAAATACACAATCCTGGTAAAGTGACTGACATAGTCCAAGTATATAACTAACTGAAAAAGTAAGGCCAAACTATGCGGAATCTTTGAACATCTTTGAACCCTCGCATCTTTCACCCTCTCCCCATACCCAGTATACCCATCTCCCAGCCCCACGACACCTTCGCCCGTACGCGTTGTCTCTGCGCTTCTTTTCGAATGGCAGCACGGGTTGCATGCTCCTGTGCCATTCCGCTTCTCCATGGGGAATCAACAGAGATCTGGATGCAACGAAGAAGGCATTTTGGATATGGCTCACAATGATGTCCTTTGGGAAACACACATTCTGGATGGGCCGGTTTTGAGACTGTGACTGTACCATACTGTAGCTATGAGCATTTACCTATAGTGGTTGTAGAAAATCAGAGTCATCCCGACATGTATAAAACAAAGAGGAGGAAAAGGACATCTATGATGGCTTGATGCCAACCAAAAAGCCGAGGTGAGCAAACCAACCATCGCTATTCATGTTCGGATGTGAACAGCACGAGTCAGCACGAATTTCTTCAGGGTGCTCTTAACTTGGTGGTTGAAGGGTGTGACCCAAAATTCGGATGGTTGAATGGAAAACTGGATGAGCATTGAAAGCATTTTGTGAATTGATGGTTGTTGGATGGTTGAATCAATCCAAATGATCCAAATGTAATATTGAATGATTGACTTTGTGGGTCCATTGCTACAGACAGATATGTTGTTTTGGCGGCGGTTCACAAAATTCATCCAAAGCCCAGGCCGTGCATTTCCGGCTCTCTTACACAAACCGTTTTGGTGCATGTTCTTGCACACTACATAAAAATGTATTATGTAAATATTATATATATAGTGTATATATATATATATTTATAACAATAGAAGAAATACATCTATATGGTATGTCACCTATCGTACGTGCTTCTTTTGATTGTTTGCCAAACCCTGTCTGTAATGAACCAACGCAGTGTCCTCTTTCACGCGGCGTTGCGTTTGCTTCTCCGCCTTTCGTTCGGTCTTGTTCTTGACCTCAGCTGCATCCTACGATGTCTATGCACAGTCACAAATTGAAAGAAACACGGTATAGTATAAAAGTTGGTAAAATCCTACTAAAATGGTGATGAATTGCACCTTTTCTGTCTTTTTTTGAGTTACTATGTATATATATATATATTTCATAGGTTGCATTTTTTTCGTGGTTAGTGGATGTAGTCTGTAGCGCATCAAAAAAGTAAGACCAAAAATTGTGTGCATCTTCCTAGATATAAAATTTGCAGTAATGGAAAACCTTTTTCTTTAATCTGCCAACCACTCGCGCAGTGTGATTTTCTCATAGTAGTTTAATATTATTGTGGATGTACATATTCCCCTGCAACTGCTTTATTACCCTCTGGTAAACTAACATAACTATGGAATATCACAATTTTTAATGGGTAAATCAACTATAAATGACCATTTTCAATAGTTTTTTGTATGTTTACCAGAGGGTAATATTATACACAAAGAAATTGTTTCCAAATCTTTGAGTTTTGCATCTCTCATGGGTGCTCCAGATGTAGCTTTTAATGGGGTTCACCGGTTGACCCGTGGGCCATACCCCAGTAACATAACAGAGTCCCAAGACAAGGTTTATCAGTTTATCATAGACATATTACTTACCCTAATCCGCAAAAAAGATAGAAACGTGATTTCTCAATGTCTAAGTAGGATTTTACTCTGGTTTTTTTTGTGAATTCCTGTAAATCACTATTAGCGTCACGCAACGCAAACCCCAGCTGTGGCCCAAGTCGCCGTTTCGAAATCCAACAAATCGTCTGAGTCGACCTCCCAGGATCTCGGTGTCTTGATCAAAGTGAACACTAAAATTGTCCCTAGTTGGCTACCCCCCAGGAAAATCATCTGTTTTAGATCAATCAGATTGGGATTTTCCATATGATTTTCCATGAAAGAAACCATCCAGCGTTTTTGGGGTAGCATCCAAGTTCTTGGTCAGAACATCCCTTCCCGGATAAACACCAGAAGCCGTGGATACACATATTTGGGACCAACCATGGGGCTGGTTTAAAAATGAACGGCAAATGGGATTGCTGTTCAATTTCGATGATATACAGTATAATCGATGATAGACTTATTTTACAAAATATGTTATTTTCCCTGAGCAAACTAACATAACTATGGAAAATCACCATGTTTAATGGGAAAACTCACTATAAATTGCCATTTTCAATAGCTATTTTGACATAACCAGAGGGTATTTTCCCTGAGCAAACCATTTTTGGGGAACCCCCAAGGCCCTAATGACTCAGATGGGATGCCCCCGGATTTTCACCTCTTCTTGCGCCTCTTGCTGGACGGCAACCTTTTTATTTCGCCAACGGGTCGGACCGGTCGGCGAATCATGGCGTTTGTGTCTCCCAACAACAACAGGGGGGGATGTCTACTTGGTTACCCTCTGGTTATGTCAAAGTAGCTATTGAAAATGGTGATTTATAGTGGAATTTCCCATTAAAAATGGTGATTTTCCATAGCTATGTTAGTTTACCAGAGGGTAGCTACGGTGGTTTATAACAAACATAACTCATAACTCAGAACATGTCATAACTAGGATTGATTGGGTGCAAGCACAATATGGGCCTGATAAATAGGGTACCCACAAATGTTGATGGTTCAATTGAGATATTTCTCATCTTTAATGGCCATATATGTTGGCCAGCAAACCCATCTTGAGATCAACAAACCTTCAAAGGTGCTGCTGTGGGGAGAACAAGATTTGTTGGACCTTCTTTCAAAGACCCGAACCTCAAAGTGAACTAGGTCTGGTGTCAAGAAATGATGCGACTAGAGCAAGTCCTAGCCAATTTTTCAACCTGTTTGTATCCAAACCTGTCCAAACCTCAAGGTGGTTGTTATTGTTGCACTTGCCATGGTCATCTCGCTTCACAACCCTCCATCTGAACCACCGAGCGACCATTCCGATGCCCAGAGCAAGTCCCGTGTCTGCCACGGGGTTTAGCCGATGCACAGCCTGAGACAAAGGGGCCGTGCAGAACGCGTATTTATATATATATAATTATGCATATATATATAATTATAAAGAAACACATGGGATACATATGCAGGCATATGCGTGTACAGTATGAAAGTACATGATGATAACATATGATTTGGACATATGTTCATATTGAATTCCAAACATCAATATATATATATATATATATTATGAGTATAATATTGACTAATCATGGTCATAACCATGAATACATTTGATATCATTTGATAATTCAGATGTTCATGTCATAGTTGATAATGTCATATAATGTCGATGATTATGTTAATGGTGAATGATGGTGTCAAAACAATATTAGCTAATTTAGGTGGATGAAATGAAAACAGTATGTACGTGTCCCCCGACAATATGGTTTTACCCCGCGATTGATAGTAACCATCACTCTACCTGGTGGCCTCTGTGTACATGTTTTTCATTTTTTCAGATATTGTGTCACAAAACAACATCAAAAACCATGTCATGGTCCACCTCTGGTCCATAAGAAATAATCCTTTGTTTGTTATCTTGAAATTTTCCACTGGTTTTTCACTATCTATCCTTCTGGTTGGGCATGATGTTTAGTAATTATTCCAACCAACCAGCCAGCCAGCCAGCCGGCCAGCCAACCAACCAACCAACAACTGCATACGGACGGCAAAGGTCCAAGCAGAGCAACTGCCGAAGCAGTGGGGCTTAGATATTACTATTGAAACCGCACAAGGATTCAAGGATTACATAAACTACCAATCCAAGGTTGACCCAGGGATAAACATTTCCCCCCTATCCCATCCCAGAAAATCGCTTCCAGTGCCTCCTGACTGAGGACGCTTCCCCTTGGCACAGGTGGTTCCTGGACGAGTCGACTCTTGTTGGGCCCCAAGGGTCAAATTTCCTGGCCCTGTGAAAACGTTTGGCGGTGCAGGGTTAGCATTGCAATAAGTTGGGTATTTCATGGTATTTCATTCGAAAAAATAAGGTGATTCAATGAAATTTAATGGGATGTTGTTAGCTAAATGAGTTGGACGAGGAGGTCACCTAGGATTTACGGTTGATTTAATCCATAGTTCAGGGAGGTTAGAACTGGCAAATATAATTGGGGGGCACCCGCATCCGCATCACCTTGTATCTAATTGAGGTTTCCGATGGTCAGATGTCAGGTGAGATGATATATCCAGCAATGGGCAACCCTTGGTCACAGAAAATGTCTTAATGGGTCGGTTTTTACACAGTTACCAGATAGTGCCCAGCACACACCGGTGCAGAAGTTTCGGACATAGGACATGGCTATAGGAAATCCATGGCCTATAGAAAGGTTTTTGCGAGCAGCAATGAAGTGTTGAAGTTCTGAGGTGCATCAATGCATGAGGAAATGGTGGTTGAGATGCCAATGAAATGTCATGAAAAAATCTGTGTACAACTGAATGAATGAATCAATGAACCAAGAAATCGATGAACCAATGAAGAATGAACGAAGCAGTGAACTCATGAATCAATAAATCAATGAAGTAGCGAAGCAATGACCCAATGAAGCAACCAACCAGTGAGCCAATGAATCGATGAATGAATCAATCAATCAATCAATCAACCAACCAATCAATCAATGAATCAATGAACCATTCTGAATCAATGAACCCATCAATCAATGAGCCAATGTCTCGATGATTCAGTGAAACAATGAATCAATGAATCCATGGGTGACTGATTTGGTGAGCCGATGAATCAATGAATCAATGAATCATGAGTGACTGAAAGTAGTGAGTAGAAGAATCAATGAAGCAGCAATGACTCAATAAATCATTGAATCAATGCACCGATGAACCAATGAATTAAATCAATGAACGAATGAATGAAATGATGGGTAGACGGATGAATGGATGGGGCGAGCTACTTTTCATTGTTGAGCTGCTTCTGCTCTCTGGCTCTTCTGTAGCTTCTGCAACCCAAGTCTTCTCTTCGACAAGCTGTTACTTTACGTTTAGCAGCCTCCAGCTGCAATCCCGCATGGCACAAGAGTAGCACTATCATCTCAAACTACCTTTTGTGCAGCTGTCACAATGCGGTTCGCAACCTCCAGCTGCAATCCCGAATAGGAGTTTACTGCCCGCAGCCGTGCCAATGCGTTCTGTCACAGACGGTTGAGCAGGAGCGTCGCACCAAATCGACCAGCGTTCGCGCAGCGCTGACAATGGGGACGATTTCACGCTGCTCAGATCCCTCACTTTTTGGCGATTTTTATGTGAAAGCGAGCTCTGGCCAAAGTCTGGTGCACATTTTGTCGATCTCATCTTCCAAAAGTGCTCCGGCCGCAGTTTTTTTTAACATTTTGAAATGCAAAGCGACCTCTTGCCACAGTCTCGTGAAAAAAAATCTGCCGACCTCGCATCTTCCAAAAGTGCTCCGAACGTGCATTTTTTTCACAATTTGGAGTGAAAATCGAGCTCTCGCTGACAGTCCTGTGCACTTTTCGACGACAACTTTCCCAGATCGAAGCGCGAAACCGCGGAAACAGAGACCCTACTTCGGCGACCCCAGGAGCCACATTACCCGACAAAACACAGGGTTTCGCGCCTGAGAGTGTTTTCACCCGTGTATTGACACGTGATGACATGATGTTGACACATGTTGACACGAGGATTACCTGATGATGACAAGACTGCCCCTGGACATTCGTCCGTAACTAGGAAGTATTCGAACTAGACTTCCTCTGATGAATGGGTATGTAGGGTTCGTCCACTTGCAGTATCATCGAGGTTACATCAAGTTACATCCTATTAGAAAATGGGATGAACCTCTAAACATCATTTGGTGAACTGTGTCCCCTATATAGTTGATTATAGTTGTAGCTAAAGATCAAGCCATCACGGCCAACCATGCATCAAGGTGTTATAATGTGTTATACATGTTATAACTTTTTACAACTGTGGTCACTCACCAGTTCCCATGAAAAATCTTCATTAAATCCACCTGAGATCACGATTTCAAGGGGGACACCCCGGCTCCACGCGCTGCTCCACGCGCTGCTCGCCTCATCGTCCTCCGCTTCGGCTTCCGCCTCCTCCTCTTTGGAGAGTGGCGATGCATCACCTGACACTCCCACTTCGAAGCCCCAAGAAGTATTGACTCCGGAAATGGTGCCTACCCAAAAAAATAAAATAACCGGAAGGAAATCATAGTAACTTGAACCCCCCCTGGAGTCATTGTAGATTCAAAAACCCGTAACAATGGTATCCTCCACTGGGTTTACGAAAATAAATCGATTTGACAATGTCTGTCAATGTCTCCAAGTCCAGTTACTCATGATCCATTAATATAATCACAGTAATTAATAAACGAAAATCATGGAACCAACTTCATCTCAAGCGAGTAAATATATAAATTAGTTGCAAGTCCAAACCATTCATGGTCAACCTGTGGCAGTCCACAAAAACTGCTATATGGCGATATGGTTATTTTCCATGTATATAGCAAAAACAACAAGAAAAACACTAAAGGATTAAGCTACCTATCTGAGCTTCGGGATGCCTTCTAAGCTCCAGTTGGAGATTCATAAACCCTTACAAAGTTGGAGATCATCACTTGATGGAGACTGGTCAACAGCGAAGATCTGCTGTACACCAAGCAGGGAAAAAAAACCTTCTCGGAAGGGATAAGAGCCTGCATCAACTGGGAGACTACTTGGTGGCTCATCCAAGTTAGTAAGTGGATTATAACCCCAATTATAAGTGAACTAACCCTACTTAGCCCAGTTATAACCAGGGGTATTATAGTATAACCCACTTACTAAGTGGGATGAGCCACCAAGTACAGTCTGTTCATGAGACAATGGCCGGAATCACCAACAAGATCGTGAGATGACGGGATAGCTTTCTCACTAGAAAAATAAGCGCTAAATTGGAGATTCATGAAGCCTATTGAGTTCCATAAGTAAAAACACCATTTAAGTTCCATGTCAAAAAACAGATGGACATATATAACTGGTTGGTGGTTGAGCCACCCCTCTGAAAAATATTAGTCAGTTGGGATTATTATTTCCGATAAAAATGTTCCAAACCACCAACCAGATAAACAGCCCACGCCCGGCCCCTCGCCTTCCATCTCTTCCACCTCGATGGAATCGTCCAGCTCTGCCTCTGCAGCCTCGACACCTTCCTGAACGAAACGCGATACTCGTCCAGGGGATTCTTTAAAAATTGCATGCTGAGTCCATTTCAGGGATTACAACATGATTCAATTGATCTAGCAGTTGAATCATGTTGACCAATTGAATCCCACCAAATATCAACAATTCTTCATAGTTCAGTCATGTTAAATCATATAGTCAAGTCACTCTAAAATATCATCACTTTTTCACAATCATCTTAAATCCCGCTATAAATATCACCATTATCACCCATTTTTTTCATCCATAAAATATGGGATTTCCCAATGGAGTGATCCACAACCAGGCGCTTCTTCCTCCGCGACGGCCTCGTCGGCCTCCTCGGCCGGCTCCGCCTCAAGCTCCGGAAGCGGGCGCGAGTCGGGCACGTCGGGCACGTCGGGCACGTCGGGCACGTCGGGCACGGGCTCCTGCTGCTGGGCGATGATGGTGATCTTTATGAATTTATATCCTCCGTGAATGTGCCCTAGACTGTGGCTGACTGCATTCTATAAACATTTTGGTTTATAAAATGATTCTGAGGGTGCTTTTTTTTATAGAATGAATCTGAGGCATATTTATGGAATGGTCCGGCAAGTTTAAGGATCTGAGATTTCGATGGTTAAAAACCCCAAATTTTAACTTTATGGAATGAATTGGCTAGTTACAAGTAAAAAAACCAGGAGGAAAGCCAGCAGGACATGTCGGTTTACAGAATGCTATTTCAAGTGCATGTTTGGTCCAAACATTTCGAAACAAGTCTGTTACTCGAATCGAACATGACACTCCATGGGATTTATGGAATGCATCTACCAGGATGGTTAACTTCGATTTAACATCTATTTTTTGGAGCATTTAGGCTTTTATGGATTTTTATGGAATGAGTCAAAGGGTTGCAAAACCTTGGTTTTATAGAATGAGTAGGGAGGGTTCATGTACTTGCTTGTTCCAGCCGGTCCGATCGATTCCCCCCAAATCTGGGTTTATAGAATGATACCCAAAACTGCATTCCATAAACGACCACAAACTCATTCTATAAAGGTACATTAGCGGGGGATGAATTTATTACTGTTGAAATGACAATGATATATGATCATTAAAACCATCATATGATCTATATGCTGATGTTTTCACATGGCTTTTCACGGTATAACGGTATGATTATTCAAATACTACAAGTGTGTTTTGCTATTCCATGCTACTATTATCATACGATTATTCGTAGTAGTATATAGTTATAGTACTACATTATTGCAGTACTTCTTATCGTAATTTGTCATTTTAGTTAATAATTCTGATTGTGATATTTTGTATTTTTTTCCGGCTGATGTTTTACCATCTCTATGATTATGTACTATCAATCATTAGTTGTACTGTTATGATTGCTGGAAAAATTGGTAAGACATAACCCACGCAAGATGGCACAAGATGGGGATATCACCCGTGAAAAAAAGGAATGTAGGCAATGATGATCATGCAAATTGTGACTACGATTCTTCCTGATTCCGAATGACTCGTCAGGTGCCAACAAAAGATAAGCTGATATACACGGTTTTTTTGGAGTGATCTGCTCTACGGATATACAAAAGAAAGTGGCTCAATATGGCTCAATTTGACCTCCCAACCTGTTCAAGAACAATAAATATCAGCACTAAAATGGGGAGGTCCCAAAAACCTGATCCTCACATGATCTCTTCAATTTTGGCTGCATACAAGGTGGTGCCCCCCCAGTTATAAGTTGGTTTATAATCCCATTAACTATAGATGTATCTACCATAAGTCCTAGTTATTAGAGTTATAAACCAACTTAGCTATCTTGGGGGCACCACCTTGTATACCATATGTTTTTTCATCCCCAGATCCACTTAGAGTTGCTCCTCATCGGCCACATCCAGCTCCGCTGGCTCACTCGCAGCCTCTTGGAACTCCTGCCATGGAGGAATTGCGGCGGATCGGCATGGCTCGTTATTAAGCTGCGAAGCAATTAATGTTAATTTCAAAATACGTATAGTACATCATTGAGCCAAGTGTACTATATAGTAGAGCCATAGTACTATATATATATAATATATATACAATATATAATATATATATATAATATACAGTAATATATATATTACAGTAATAGTGCCAATTGAGATTCGCCACGCTGGATATCCTAAAATATGGCGAACTTTAGACATCCTGCCAAGACATCTTGGTCTTCAGCAGGATATGAAATGTCCATTTATTTTGTCTCATTGTCCAAACGTGATCCAGCATTTTTGAGGTCGTTGACTAACATTCCGCAGGATGATTGGCACTGACGATCCATTCGGAAACCAAAAAAGACCTGTGCCCGCAAGAAGTCTTGCCTTGCAGGTATCAACTTCCATCATCATCATCATCATCATCATCATCAGAGACCCACGGCAGGCTGGCTCTTTGAGGTGCAATTTCAAGCCCTGTCAGGGATGTAACACCTTACAGAAGAAGTTGTATTCTAATAGCTTCTCCCCATTCTGCTATCATAGTTACATATCTCACCACACATACAAAATATCTAATGGATCATAGTACAGATCCTTACCTCACAATTCTTCCCATGTTTTGATGATCCACTAGACTGTGCTCCCACCAGGGATAGCCACTGCTTTCTGCGCTGCGGGGCCTCTGGTTCCTCCTTCTCAGCCTGTAAACCCAGTGCCATAAATCATCCCAAAGTTATTGTCATTTATATTCGGCTGGAATGTTTACCATCCCATACCGGGTAATTGTTGATGGCAAACCGGGTTTTATCACATCATTTATATAAGTCATGTGATGGTGCGTTCAGCCCATATTAGGCAATAGGCCCATGTCGATGAGAACCATCGGTCCATTGGTCACATTGCCAATTGTGTACCCCAATGTTGACCCCTGTCAATGTAGCCTCTGGATGAAATGAACACTGCTTGGTGGTTCACTGGATTGGTTTAAGGGAAAATCTACAGGAAACCATGGTTTTTAGCATCAAATATAGGGCTTTCCTGTAAATTTTCCCATCATCCAATTCTATGGGTGGTGCAATTTCACCATCTTGAAAAATATATTGGAGTTCGTCAATGGGGTTGGCATGACATCCCATATATATGAAATGGAACATAATCCAAATGTTTGAAACCACCAACCATTAATATATGTTTATCATTGTTTATCTATGCAAAATAACACGGTTGATTTTATTTGTCCATTTTTCCCAACTCACCTCAGCCATTCTATCATGGAGACTTTGAGCCATCTGGTTTCAACCAACGCCGAAACGGAGTTTCCTTGTGATGGCGAGGCCAGTGTCGATGGAACAAGCAAAACATGGACCAAAACATGGACCTGACATCAGCACTAAGTTAGCTTAAGGGAGATATTCATTGGAGCGACTTTTTTTGTGGCTATGGATCAATATCTAAGGAGAAGGGAACTGCAAAACCTTCATTTCACCAGGGTCATTGGCTAGTTTCTACCCTCTGGTAATTTAACATAGCCATGGAAAATGGCCCACTTATAGATGGTTTACCTATTAAAAATGGTGATTTTCCATAGTTATGTAAATGTTTACCAGAGGGTACTGTCCGACGATTGAACATGGCAAAGGAGTTTCCTCATCCATGAATACTTCGGGGATTTAACAGCCTACCATGGATGAGTAGGTGAACTCCCCATGAAACCACCATGAAAAATCCCCATGAGTTGGTTGGTTAAATCGCCGTGAAAAACCCCTTTCAATCCCCAAATCCACATGTTTTATCACCTTCAAATCATCATTTCTGGCATGTTTTTGGTCCATGAAATCCCGATGTTTTCTTCACATCGAAGCACCGCCAAGCGCACCGCCCTTGGCGCACCTCGTGTTCACTGGACTCGGGCGTCTGGAAGCTTTCGGGCTCCGCTGGAGCGGCTGGAGCCTCGGGAATGCTGATCCATGGGATTTCAACATGATGTACCCTCTGGTAATTTAACATAGCTATTGAAAATGACCATTTATAGTGGATTTTCCCATTAATCATGGTGATTTTCCATAGCTATGTTAAATTACCAGAGGGTAGACAAGAAATGAGTTGATGTTTTCAGAGGGGTTGAAACCACCAACCATTTGGGACTTTTGAACCGACATGGGCATATATATATATATATATAGTTAGCTTATGGTTATGAATGGTTAATGTCAACCCCGGATTAATAAACCATGGTTTATTAATTAGGGGGGTACTCCTCCAATAGTCATTTCATCTAATACTTAAATGGTACCCTCCCAATTAAACAGCCGTTAGGGGTTTATTAATCCAGGGTTGACATTAAACAAGAAATGACTTGATTTTCTTGGTGGATTTGATGAAATTTGGGTGGAAACATCTGTCATTTACCGAAAAAAAAAAAGTGGGGGATTTGACGGATTTGATAGAGATATCGTCACCAAGAACATGTGTATATATACTCGCGATGTTTCATGGGATTTGAATGAACATTGCGTGTAAAAACATGTGCAAAACCTAAACCACAATTGCAATGGTGATTTCATTTTTGGTGGAATTCACCAACATACAAGGATATCTATGGTGATTTAATTCTGATTAATTAACATGGATTAACTACGAGAAATGGTGATTTAATGGGAAATTGCAAACGTTATTTGACAGGAGTTGAGTAATTATATGAAAAACGGTGATTCAATGGGACTGAATGGGATTTAAACAACCAATAATGGGAAATAATGGGAATATAATTGGGACTGATTAGAATTAGTCATCTATAATGGAGATCTGACCATTTCATGGCGGTTTTTGGTGGTTTTTAACCAACCACAACGGGACAAGCATGGAATTTGTAACAATATGAGATGGGTTTGTCCCAAACAAAACAAGGGATAGCACCACATTGCCCTTAAAGCCCTTAAAGGCTGGTGGCATTTGAGTGAAAAACCCACCTTTTTGGCTGGGCGGCTTGGCCCGAAAATTATCGAAAAAACAGGCTGTCTTTTAGGGACTGAAAGGAACATCAACGAACAACCAGGCGTAGATTCAAGCTCTTTGTTACCATGTTCAAATTCCAATGTTTTTTTGTGACTTAAGACTTTGGTGATCCAGTTCTGGTCTTTTTTTGGCAGCCGTGGCTGAGTCTGAACTGCGTTTTTTGAATGTGTATATGGGAAAACGGGCTCAAAACATCCAATCTCACACTGAGTCTGAACTGCCCCTGGCAAAATGGCAGTTAATCCGACCCAATACAAATAGAATGTTCCATTTAAGATGGCCTCAATTCAAGTTTGAACAAACATTTACCCTCTGGTAAATTAACATAGACCCTGGTAGATAGGGGTTGGAAGATTAGTTTCCTCTAAAAATTGGTGATTTTCAGGGTCTATGTTAATTTACCAGAGGGTATTAGTTTCAAAAAATGGAAATACATCGAAAGAGCCTCTGTAACGTGCATTAAATCCAACTATAGACAACACTTTTTAATGAATCATCCACTTTGAGTGATTGAAATCCCAGCTTAAGTTGAACAACACAAACAATTGAATGTCACCATGCTTTTAGCATCCGCAACATGCATTAAATCATACTGAATCCCACTCAACATCTCTGTCATTGGGATGCCCTATGGCAATTTGACATAGCAAAAATGGCCCATGTATAGATGGTTTATGATTACCTACGGATACCTACGGTTATTTTCCAGTTCTCTATGTCACAAATTACCAGAGGGTATATCAAAAAACTCCCCAAAATCCTATGATATCCCATGATGCTGTGGATGGTTGCTAAATCCTGCGCCAGTTATAGAAACTATGGTTAAGTAACTATCGGTCACATCGTAAATTTCATGGGAATTTCCAGAGGCCATTCAATGGGGAAAATGATCATGAACCTGGCTGGGCTTAGGTGTACAGCATTTGAAAAAATCCCATGGCCCACGGCTTTCTGTGTTGAATCCATGGTCAATCTTTGGTACACAACCCATGCCATCCTGGATGCTGATGTTCTAATACTTGTCCAGTTATAATATTTATAGCAAAAAACTATGAATGTCACCTATAAATATCATACTAACAATGCATCACTATATATTATGGAACTAGATATTATAAAACTTATATTTATAACTGGATTTTCCACTACCTATCCACTTGGGGCTTTGTTTCCCATCCAACCTGCAGTTGGCTTCGCTGGGGCTTCGACAGGAAGACTGGCCTTCTCGCGTAGGAGCCGCCGCTGCCGCTCCGCTTCAGCGCGGGCCAGGGCGCGGGACCTGGTGATTTCGATGGATCTTTGGTGGATGAAAAACCGTCAGAAAGAAGGTGCTTTGATGGGATCTTTACCCTCTGGTAAACGAACATAGCTATGGAAAATCACCATTTTAATGGGAAAATCCACTATAAATGGCCATTTTCAATAGCCATGTTAAATTACCAGAGGGTAGTAACTTTAGTATCAGAAATGGTGATTTCCCATGGGGATTTTTGACCAGAAATTTCTGAATGATGGACATGTTGCAACAAAATGGACAATGAATGGTGTTTACTGGGTATAATTCTGGCTATACCATGCTATACTCAGTATGATATTATTGAATGGGATTCATACAATACTGGATTTAAACAGCAAGTATTTAAACATATTTAAACAACAAGAATCGGGTAAACCACCAATCTTATGGGGAAATTGCTATCAATATCTTAAGCATATGAATATCAATGTCATGTGAAAATAGGCTGAAGATCAATGTGTGGGAGATTCCAGATTAAACGAGTATTATAGTACAATATATGATATGTACCATCCGGTAAACATACAAAAAGCTATTGAAAATGGCCATTTATAGTGGATTTATCCATTAAAAATGGTGATTTTCCATAGTTATGTTAGTTTACCAGAGGGTATATTGATTGACAATTGATTGATTAGTAATTCCAATTTTCTATGTTGATATTCTGGCTTGCAAAATTCTGGCTTAAAATTTCAGACACTCCGATTTTCTGAGGAATAAATTTTGAGTGTCCAGATTGTGTTTTGGCTTTTAATTGGAATAGAATGGAATAGAATAGATATTTTCCCATTGGGTCTCAGGGGTATATTAACATTGACTTGTAAACATTGAGTATTCAAAAAATTCAACATGGCTAAAAAAAAGCGAGGTCTCTCTATATTGGATGATCAATGGATTGGTTTAAGGGAAAATCTACAGGAAACCATAGATTTTCCCATTAAATATGGGGCTTTCCTGTAATTTTTCCCTTAAACCAATCCATTGAGATGATGATAATCCCCAATATAAGTTAATTAATATACCCCACGCACTACTCATCAAGCAACGTTGTGGTGTCTGGGCCACCGGACTCCAGAACCTTGCGCGAGTTCCGCAAGCGTGCCTGGGTCATGTCATGCGTCACCGGTGAACTGTGGAAGTTGAGACTGGTACCAAATATATATATATATATATACAAGGTGGGGCCCCCCGTTATTAACGTTGGTTTATAAACCCCATTAACTATAGTTATAAGTACCATAAACCATAGTTATTGGAGTCATAATAAACCAACTTAGCTATCTTGGGGGCACCACCTTGTAGATATATATATATATAAATAACTAACCAATGGTTAATCATTAATCTAATGGGGATATGAACCTTTTCCCCCTACAAACCGCCCCGAAACCATTGTTTAGGGGGGTAACACATATTTGGGACCGGGGATGTTTTTAAAAGTTATCATTGTGGGGATGGGATTCCTACCGCCGTAGCCAAGGGAGATATCCGAGGGTCAAAATCCACCAGCAACCCATCCCGTCCCCCAAAAAATTACTGCGGCCTACTAGGTGCAGTACCAGGAGTGCTGGGGAAGTGTTTGTCGGAGGAAGGGATTATCAAAAATTACACGACCCAAACGATGTGTCTTCATATTACGTTTGTCCCAGGACAGTAGCCTAAAATCAAAGATGGGTTTCAATCTATAGTAACCTGTAAAAGGATAGAAAAGTGGTACACATGGAAATATGAGGGAAACAGTTATCATCTATAGCATCCTGGAAACACACTTCCATCTTTTTTGGGCTTGCTATAGTCTCATCATCCCAGTTGATGAGAGAAACATCCGCCAGCCACGGCTGTTTCTGGGCCTCAATCTCTTCCCGCTCCTCTTCTTCATCTTGCTCCTGAACGAAAGATGTTCATAGAAGGAGCCAATTGCATCAAATGATGTTATGCCTGAGTTATATCTATCTAAATCTGGTGGATAACCCTGGTGACTAGGGGATATTAGTACAACATTTGTCAACATTTTATAAGCCGTTCAAAACCTGTTTACACCTGCAATAAATAGTTCAGTAATACTTGGGACTCCCATTAGGGTAAAAATTACGCAGCAACCAGGTCCCCAGTCAACCCATTTGGAGATGGTAAAGATGGTAGCAAGCGCGACTGAAATCCACCGTTTTTTTCAAAGAACAAAAAGAGCTTTAAATCATGTTGCTATCTCGGTTCCTGCCTACATCTCTAGTACATTAGCTTATCATATGCCCAAGCATCCATCAACAGTGGTCAAATGGGCGATCTGCAACTCCTCGTCTTTCTCTTCACGTTCCACACGCACCCAGCCTGCGCATTTTCCCTACCCCGTGGTGAACACCAAAATAGCTGCAATTTTTGGATGTTCACCCGGTTCACCCCCCCCCCCATATTGTCTAATAGGGTGCTTGGCCCATGGCAAAGTTATGGTCAGAAAAAACAAACATAATCAAACAAGCACACAAGCAAAAGGATTAATTACAGAGGGTTAAACCACTATAAACCACCGCTAATGTGAGATCAAACAACAAGCAGAATTTGAAGACAACCAAAGCTCGTGCAATTGGTTACACTTATGATCCCTTTTGTCCGCTTATTGGAACACACAAAGCATCACTACATAGGGACCATTACACAGTATCATCAGCCTCAACAAAGAAAGCATCTAGGGCATATGGTTTAGTCTGAGAAAAATACAATTACCCCAAAATCTTATGTGATCATCATTTTTCAATGAACATTTCCCATTTTGGGGTACAGTAAACCCCGTTTCTACACGAAACCATATCTATGGTCGACACATGGTATACATTGGTATACTGAGAATTGCCATATGTACCCGGTATACAAATCCCTATTGATAAGCTGATGACCATCCCCCACGACGGGCAACTTACCCAAGTTTTGACAAAAAAGGCACGAAAATTGGGAGGTTTCCTACAATAGGGATAGCCCTAAATCATCAATTTTAATTGTGGCTTTTCCATGATAAACCAACAAGCTCTTGGGGTAGCCTCCTATGGAACCCTGATGGATTGGGACCTCCGGCCTTTCTTTCCAGCACCTTTGGCCTTCTCCTTTCCTTTGTTCTTGCCTTTGGCCTTGCCCTTGCCCTGGGGCTGCGATGCAGCCAGCAGGCTGTCTGAGAAAAATCTTCCGCATCAAAGTTGTCTGTCAGAAAAAAATGAAACACAGGCTGGTTTGTATATATATATATGATATATATATACATATATATATATATATATATGATATATATATATACAGTATATATATATATAATTATATATACACAGTACGAGTATCTCTCACCCCCAAATGAATCACCAACCGGGCCCGGGGTGTCTCGCACAGCCTTCGGAACGGACGCAGCAAAGGTGCCTTCGCCGCCCTCCGAGTCTTCCTGTGCCAACTGATCAACTGGGCTGACACAGCCACTCCATTAAAATGCTTATAGTAAAGCAATAAACCACCATTAAAAAACAAAAAAACACCTAAACAAGCCATTTATGGTAAATTTGGAGGTTTACTATAAGTGTAGTCGTGACGTTTTTAAAGCCATCAACCACCAACAGACAGGGGATCATCATCCAGGCATCAACCACACCATGGCACCTCAGAGGCGACCAGCTCCGCTCGACCTTTTCGAAGGGAAGCGAAGCGAAGCAATGGGGAATGGAACTGATGTACCCTCTGGTTATGTCAAAATAGCTATTGAAAATGGATGAACATGGCCATTTATAGTGGATTTATCCATTAAAAATGGTGATTTTCCATAGTTATGTTAGTTTACCAGAGGGTAACTGATGAATCTTTAATGGGGGTCATCAGACATGATATATCATGATATATCATGATATATCATCTAGCCCTCCAGCCATACCTTCTTAGGAAATGGGACTGGGGTATGATTTGGGGGGTTAAGTATCTTCTCAGGAAGTGTTTGGATCCATAGGGTAGTTACCATAACGCAATTATTATATGATTCAATGTTACCATCAATGAACTTAGAACTGCGGGGGCATCACCTGGTATGATTTCCTGTGATCATCATCACGAAATGTGCATGGAACAGCACGGGTTTCCCTCAATGTAACATCATTGCCTATTGGAAACGGCAAGATGTGAGGTGTCACGCGAGGTCTTGTGGGAGTAGGCTCTACTTCAATGTTGCCAAGTTCACAAAGCGATCCTTGGGAAAAAAACTCCCATGACTGGTACGGTCTGAGGTTAAAAAAAAAAGCGCCCCAGTTATGCTGTGGGATCATCCCAAAAAGATCAGTCACACATCACACATCATTCACAGCTGAATTCCAGGCCTCCCATCTACTCAGTAAATATATGTAAATATATCATGTACCCTCTGGTAAACTAACATAGCTATTGAAAATGGCCATTTATAGTGAATTTATCCATTAAACATGGTGATTTTCCATGGCTATGTAAACGTTTACCAGAGGGTAAATATTTGAATCCACCAGAGTGGAGTGGAAATTCTCCATTCATCCCAGCTCCCCACCTGGCTTTGGCTTCTCCTGACCCCATTTGGCCATGTGTTCGCCCGGGTCGTTACTGGGGTGGAAGCGGGGCTTCCAAACATCTTCAACTGGTCCTTGGATCATGCAGAATTTAACCTCGCCTTTTTCCCAATTTCGATTTTTATATAGTTTATTGTTTCCTAAGTCATGGGGGTACCCCATTTATCATCAATTTCTAGACGGGATTGTCCACTATAAACCAACCAGCCATGGAAAACCCCAATTTCGCCCCGGTCTTACACCGGAGCTTCTTGACAAACGCCATTTGGAGATGGTAAACATCAAACCCATTTGTCAAGGGATTTTTTGGGGATGATTGATAAATGATTGATAAATGGATGATAAGTGGTAAACATCCCCATGTTCTGAATCTGTGAGTCTGAATAAAAAAAATGGTTGCAATATGATAGATTTGCAGATCTGAATCGTCTCTCTATCTTGTCTAATCAAGTCTGTCAATCAAACTATCTGTCATTAATATGTATATACATGCACCATCATGCACCTACAGTAGATCCAATCGATCCAACTCATCAATTCAATGTATCAATCTCTCTTGTTCATTGATGTATACTGATTAAATTCCAAACCATTCTCTTTGTAATTCAATACCCTCTGGTAATTTAACATAGAGCTATTGAAAATTGCCATTTATAGTGGATTTACCCATTAAAAATGGTGATTTTCCATAGCTATGTTAAATTACCAGAGGGTAATAATAATCAATCATCCATAGTCTGTAGTCATCTATAGTCCGATCCACCTCTGTCTAATATCTAGAGTCTGTAGTTTACATCGATGACCTATACTAGCCATCTATATGGCTATAAGTCAAACCCCTGTTTGCTCAATTGCGATTGAATCACCATTTTTCATATAGTAAAATCCCATGAAAAAACCCACCAGTTTGTTTCATCCAGTTCTAGACTATCATCCAGATCTGGGGCTTTTCCTTAGGATATTTTAGGGGGTTTCCTCCATTTTCACGCATCTTCATGGATTTTCCATTCCCATAGGATCCATGTATGCTATATATGGTAACATTTACCATCCATATACCCCAGTCATGTTAGCATATATACCAGCACCATGGATCCTATGGGATTACAAAAACCATGGGCATTTTCCATGTCAACCCATCCAAAAGGGGGTCCCCGGCCTCGTCGGACGCTGAGGCTTCGGACCATTCGGCGTCCGAGTCCTACGGCAGATGGCTTTCCCCTTCGGGGATTTCGGGGACTTTTTGTGACTTTTTTCTGGTGGATTATAGTGGATTATAGTGGATTATAGTGGATTATAGTGGATTATAGTGGATTATAGTGGATTCTGGTGGATTATAGTGGATTATAGTGGATTATAGTGGATTAACAATGGTTATATAATAATGATGAAAACCCATGCTTATCTGGTTGGTGGTTGAGCCTACCCCTCTGAAAAATCATGGACTTCGCCAGTTGGGATGATGAAATTCCCAACTGAATGGACAAATAATCCAAATGTTCCAAACCACCAATCAGTTTTTTGATCATAAACCAAGTCAAAATCAAGGTTTAGAATTGATCATAAACATGCATAAACCAAGCCCTGATTTCAGGGTTTAGGCATGTTTCGACAACAGCTCGCGGTCTGTTTAACATGGATTCATCATGTTCAATCAACCGTATTCGTGATCAACTTGGGGATACTTGGCCAACAGAATAAAGTTTAAACCAAACAAAATGGAGTCTGGAGTGTCAAGCAACAAAAATGGGAACCAAGCAACAGTCGATATCTGAGCAGGGTGTTACGCGTGTTGTCCCGAAATGGACATACCACAAACATGTCCATTTCATTGGGGGAACAACACTTTCCAAACCAAACATGCGGGATCTGGGGAGTTCCTGATGGATTCCAGCAACCATGAACGGTTGAAAACCCGGAGCAACACTGGCAGACGTCTCCATCGATATTTCACATGCCACAAGACATGGATTGATAAACTGGTGCTCCAGCTGGAGTGGGATGCTATTCCCAAAAGCACCACGTTGAGCCATCCATCCATGAAACGTGAACTGGCATTGGTATGACCCTTCCAGTTTCTGGGGATACAAGAGATACAAAGAGTACAAAATGCGTTTGAACCACCAATCCGAAACTTCGGTGACTGTGATCATTTCTACTAAGGTGACAAGGCTAGTCGGGACTGGTGAGTAAACCCACGAGATCCATCAAAACTGTCCATCCAAAAGAAGGCACAGATGATTAAACATGACAAAAACATACAGAAAACACATCTGGTTTGGGTTACCGCTTTGAACTCTCAAAACTAGCCGTTTTTTTAGTTTTTCACCGTTGAGCCATAACAATTTCTGATAATAAATCATTTGTTCAAACAAAAACAAGAATTATTGACAGTACGAGCGCCGTACTTAAGTCACATCAGGCGGGAAAAGTCACATCATCCCCATGGCACGGCGGCGATACAGAAAAGTCACATCAGGTAGTGGCAAGTCACATCAGGGAAGAAGAATCACCATGGCACAGCCTGAGATGATTAATTTATATATTATATACCCATCTCATTTGATATGAATCATTTGGTTCCAAAATGATTGGCATTTCCGAGAAAAAAATAGCGGTTCAGTGGTGGAATCCCGAATAAATCTGGTAAAATCACACCAAATCCTCTGATCTTCAATAGCTACATCATCTGTACAGGACCATAGGACCATAGCCATAGCCACCAAACTGCGGGAAAATCCCAAAAATTCCAGTGATTTCCAGTGCATAAAAGTGGTCAAATCATGTTCAATTCCCAGGTCTGATGAATACCCTCTGGTGAACTAACATAGCAATGGAAAATCACCATTCTTAATGGGAAAATCCACTATAAATAGCCATTTTCCATTGCTATGTTAGTTCACCAGAGGGTAAACCACCCCCATTTTTGTTCCATGTCTGCCACCAATTCGCACCTCACCGATGATACGAGGACCACGCCCGCGGCCTTTTTGACCTTTGCCCTTCCTTGGAAGGTGACGTGACGTGGAAGTTCATCAAGGAAAATGAGTCATAAGACCAAGCACAATGGGGATATCATTGGGATATACAGTAACAGTAAGTCTTGCAAGTTGGTGCCCGGTTTGTTCCCAAAGCTGAGGAAAAAACAACTAGTCCAATGGTCCAAGTGTTGGGATTATTACTTATGGATATACGGTTGGATGGGTTTAGAAACTACCGACTGGAGAGCACTACATTGTGCGCTAGCTGAATCCAACAAGGCAACAAACAATGCCAACTTTGAAAGGGAACATCCTCTCTCAACTCCACACGGGATTTTCTATGGCCGTTGCAATTAGCATATTTAGCTCCAAACATCTGCGGATTGTGCTAGGTAGCTAGTTGGTTGATTTTAACCTAGCAAAAACCTAGCAAAAACTGTGAAACAATCTGTGTGAATCATCTGTAACCATTGATAGTGAGCATAATGTGACTTCTGGATCATTTGGCGAATCACTGGGGGTTCAACATCATCCAACAGTTCAGTTGGATGCACCTCATTTTTCCCTAAAAACCCTTTGAAGTTTGATGTTGTGCCTTGTCAATCGCTGAAATCCAGCGGATTTAGATGGATTTAGGTCAATCCCCATTACTGGAAAAGATCAAGTTCTATTGTACCCAGTTTTTTTCGTCCCATCTGCTGAATGGCTACAGAAAGATCATCGGATGGTGAAATCCCATGGTTTTCCACGTGTTCCAGGCCAAGCAACTTGGAGGCTTTGCCTTTGCCCTTGTCCTGAACGCTGAACTCATCCGCTTTTCAAAGAACAACAAAGGTGCCAAAATCTATGTGGAATTCTCTTCTATTCCGTTCGGGGGATGTGTTTTTTTCTGTTTTTATTTTGGGGCTAGGAATCTGTGGAAAAACACCGCAAGGGCCATGTTTTTAGACAGTTTACGCGGCTATTCGCAGTTTAAGCTACAAATGCCGCAGCTTGTGGCCCCGTTTCGGTTTATTTAGGGTTGGTTTTGGGCTTGGTTGATTGATGGTTTCTTTAGGGTTGGTTTGGAGTTTATATATTTAGGTTTGGTTTAGGATGTTTTTTTCAAGTTGGTTTAGAGTTGGTTGAGAGTCTTTTTGGGGTTGGTTTAGTGCTTTTGAAGCAGCAATTTAGTAAAAATGGGCCAGAAAACAGGCGGGGAATGTGATTCTCTGATTTTCCAATGTGTTTCTGAATCAGTTTCTATGTTTTGTTTGATGACTGTCTATGGTTTTCTATGTGTTTTGTTCTTGTCATTTCTCTTCCAATGATGTTCAACTTGGGATGGAATCGATGGAATGAATGCTGATTTCTATGATTTTCCGATACATTGGATGAAATGGGGTGCCAACAAATCAACCACAGTAAACTCCAACACTTGGCCAATTGTTTCATCGAAAATTCTTTATTTTTGTCGGGACAATTTTGATGACACCAACAAAAAACCATCGGATATTCCATCTTCGATTGTCCAACCATAGATGCTATAGATGTTAATAATCTTCGATGTTCCATGGTTTTCCCTGGTTTTCCCAATATTTCCGTGCTAAAAAACGGCCCCGAAACGGTCTCCTCGGCTTTGAGCACCGGCTGCTCCACCGGCTCAGGTGCCTGCCGCAGAAGTGGAGAAATAACAGTGGTATAAGGGTTATATAACTATAGACTATAGTTATAAAACTTAGGTAACTCTATATATGTTTTGATATATATATATATATACTATGTCAATATGTCATTATAATCATAACTATTATAATCATAACTATATAACTATATAAGTATAAGTGATAGGGGCTTTAAAATTTATGATGATTATTACCATGGAGATTAAGATATTATAACCATTGATAACCCCAATATTGCACCACCAAGAATATCCTAAATAACCAATCATAAGATATCATAAGTGGGTTGGCTGAGCCATTCTTAGTGCTTGTTGGTAGGAAGTTGGTTTCAATGATGGATATTCATTAACGACAGATATGGAGATAATTGGTGATTTAAGCAAAAGAGTTATGGGTATGTAACGAACCAAAAATATGGGATAGAGTGGGATTGTAACCATGCCAATCTTTCATACCCTGCGAAAACAATGTTTAGCTGAGTGGCATAAACCACCAAGAAAATGGCAAAACGTAAAAATCATAAATACCCTCTGGTAATTTAACATAGCGAACTGGAAAGATCCACCCATTTTTAATGGGAAAATCCACTATTTCTATGGTCATTTTCAATAGCTATGTTAGTTTACCAGAGGGTAACACAAATATATATACATGATGGGCCCCGTCGATTCGCAGTTAGCCGCTCATGGCTAATCTAATCTTGACATGATTCTCATCAATCATAGGTTGTTTTATCACGCCAGAAAAGATAGGAAAAAACGAATTCATAAACAATTGAGCAATATTGAGCATGTTTTTTGCATTTTTTGGGAATTGCTATAGTTTGTAAATAAGCATCTGAACAACACTTAGAAACGCTTAGGCAACAACCAGAAAGCAAGCTTAGACAACCAGTCCTGTATGTGACATAATGTTGATAAAGCAACAACCTGAGCCCAAATATCATGATAATATCCCGTCATGATGGGGCTAAGCTTGTAGATAGCCTAAAGGTTACCCATTAGCACTCATCTTCATGACCATGGAACATGGAAATTGAAATTCCGGTTTTGGATGGTTTTGGTATATTATCCAGAAATGGGTAAGTTTTTCAATGCATATAGGCTATAGTGAAAAATTATCAGGATACTGTAGGTCCTTTTTTTTTGCCATGCATAGGCCATGGCTTATGCACATGGTTAGCCTCCAATCCCCAATGCTGGACATCGTGGATGGTACCCAAAGGTTGAGCCAATAGGGATTATGGTTGCTGGAGCAATACGAAATCTTTTCTCCAGGACACGTTTATTGCCTTTTTGGGGACCCACTCAACCAAGACTAAATCAGGGTAGTCAGGAAGTCAGAGCTAACCTGCAGTTTAGCAAGTCCCATGGAGATCCCCTGAGAGTACATCATTCAACCCGATACAATCATTATTTACCATCTGGTTATTTAACATAGCCATGGTATAGATGGCCCATAGAAATAGATGGTTTACCCACTAAAAATGGTGATTTTCCATGGCTATGTTAAATAACCAGAGGGTAAGAATTGGACATTCAATTCAGAACCACTTCGAAAACCTGGCGGTGGCTGTTGGTTCATGCCATAAGCATCAGAAATGTAACAACTGAGCTCAAACTTGGCTCATGGCTAATCTTAGATACCCTGAAAAACTACCTGTGTAGTAAATCTCCACGAAAAAAGAACTAGTGGACTGCCTTTCATCAATCCTTCATGATTTAAATTGGGCCAATTTCGGCAGGTCAAAACCATATAAAACCATCATTTTTGGACCATTTTTGATGGTTCACCGCAGCATTTTCCCAAGGTTTCCGGGATCTGGCTCCGCCTTTTCCTTGGCTTTCTCTTCAGGAGACTTCTGCAAGATCCGCACGGGTTTCTGGCGCTGGCATGATGGCAGGTCGTTAAAAGCGGTACCCGAGTTTGAAAGCTGGTGTTGAATCCCAATTCATTATACATGTATATATATAATTATGATTGTTCTATTTATCTACTCTACTTAACCATACTTAACCTATAGTCATGAACCAACTTAGCTATCGAAAACGGGGGCACCACCAGTAATGGCACCAGGTTTCTCCGATGAATTTTCATCATCAAGGCATCGCCATGTGAAATTCGTGGTACCTTTGCAGTGGGCTTAGTGGGAAGCCCCTTTAAAAAAAAAAAAAGAAATGGACCTGTCTTGATCCACCAGAAGCGGCTGTCCCTACGGCTACAAATTGACACTGACACTCGTGATCTGAACCCCCAGCGACGTATGCAAAAAGTGTGTCTCTAGGTCCCTTTATTGATTCCAAAGGCGCTTGCTCTATGGGGATTCTCTATGGGGACACCGCAAATTTTGGAACATCGTTCCTACCATATCTGCGCATAATATATTTATTTATATGATTTATAATATGTATTTATAACTGATGAATTTGTGCAAGTTGGGAGTCCATAGAAGTCTTGGAGAAACCCACATGACTGGGGCTCGGAGATACAGAATCATGAATCCGTATTGAACAGTATTGAACATGAAAACACGACCAAAATGACAAAGTGGTGATATGTGGACATGTACCCTCTGGTAATTTGTCACATAGTGAAAAAGTGAAAATTAGTGAAAATGACCATTTATTATCATTTATTCATGGTTCATTAATACCTATGATAGCCATGGTGATTTTCCACTTCGCCGTTAGTTGACTTATCAGGGCCGTCGGCACCTGCGGATCGATCTTGAAGGTCCTCACCTCTTCCTCGGGCAGAATGCCCAAGGATGCCCAGCCAAGGATGCCCCAGAATGGGGCAATGCGGCAGCGTCAGCAGGATACCCAACGATGCGTTTTGGTCAACTTCCGATCTGCAAATGTGTTTTGGCTATACCCATATTCTCCATGTATGGAATATTTACCAACATTTACCCCATAAATGGCCCAAATGTAGGTCAATATACTATACATGGAGCATATGTGTTTTGGCTATATAATGATCGTGGTGAACGGACAGTGACAATGTTTTTTTGTTGCTAGTCGAGCACGAAAAACATGCGACATATGACCAGGGAAAGTATATAAATTAATGTATAGAAAGTATATAAAGATATATATAAACTTATGCCCATGAAATCGTCTGTGATTGGGGGTGCTATGGGGGTACTCTCCCGATCAATGTCCATCAAGTGGATCTGGATTCGACGTACAAGTTCATTGACATAGACTCACCATGTCTTGAAAAACCCACATCCCACTTGTTTAACCTCGGTGTATTTGATATCAAAAAATGGATACCTAGGTATCACCATGTTCGGTATATTTGATACCTACGGTCTATAATAAAAGTATATACTGTATATAAATGTACAGATATGTACGGTATCTACCAACACGCAGCTCAGTCTTACGTTTAATTTCTTTGCCCAAGTTTATCCAAATATTAAACGTAAGACTAAAGATATTTATGCAAATATGTAAGATAATTAATATATCGTTTGATTAGCAAAAGATGATTAAACCATTGCACAAAAAAATGGTCATGCGGGGCATCGGTGAAAACTCATGAAAACTCACCATCCCCCAGACTCAGCTCGCCACTTCATGCGAAGGCGAGGCCTGGTGTTTTTCAAAACGCAGACGATGATATCGTCTACAACCCATACCATCTGTGATCCAAATACCCTCTGGTTATGTCAATAGCTATTGAAAATGGCCATTAATAGTTGATTTTCCCATTAAAAATGGTGATTTTCCATAGCTACGTTAAATTACCAGAGGGTACAGGCTATAGTTGCTTCAATCAATTCATGTTTGAACCCATGATTCTACCCAACTCTTCCATGTGATTTGCTGCAAACAAATCACCTATGTTTGTCTCTAATGTTCTGTTTTGTTGCTCATTAAATCATCTTCAATCCAGCATAAAAAACCCATGGTGTTTCCAAGGTCAGTCCATATGCAGCCCATGGTTCTGCCATGGGGATTTCCCATGTGTTAACCATATAAATCCCATGTCTTTGCCATGGAAAATCACCATGCTATTAAGTTCGGTAAACCATCTATAAATCTATGGCCCATCTATACTATGGCAAACTGTTAGTCATAACCAGAGGGTAAATCCCATGTCTTTCCCATGATTCTGTGGTGCCTCAGCCAAGTCCTTCTCGTCCCGGTCGCGGCGGCTGCCGTCGTCGCGCTTCTCCAGGCGAATCCTGAGAACTGTTGGGTGCCACAATTCATGGAACTGTTAATTGGATTTCATGGGATTTTAGAGGATTTAGATTATAATGGGATTTTATGGGATTATGGGATTTCATGGAACTTTAATGGGATTTGATAGCAATTCATTTTAATGACATTTTATCGGATTTCATGGGTGTTTAAGGAGTTTAATGCGATTTCATGGTATTTTATTCAATTTAATGGGCTTTAATTAAACCACCAAAGATGTGGAATATTGGATTCAATAGCATATATTCAGATATATAACGACAATGTGGGATGATTGGAATAACATGCTTTCAGACTCGATTGAGTGTTCCAAACAAATAATGGATTGTCTGGGATTTTGTTATATTAGGCGAGAATCTTAAGCACCACGGATAAACGAATCTTGATATATTTGTTTTCTCTATTGTAACAAACAAATGATTGGCAACCTGGTGATGTGTTTTGTAATCCTACAAGCATAATAATGATCTTTATCCGAACAAATTGGTCGCAAATAGTGGAACTTGAAATTTCAGTGGCAATTGTGCAACACACACATGGTCATCATAACAAGAGGGATTTTCAGCAAAAATGGATAGATTTGATTCATTTGATCTCTCCTTGAATCCAACGAAGTCAAATACCCTCTGGTAAACTAACATAACTATGGAAAATCAGTTTTTTTGATGGGTATATCAACTATAAATGGCCATGTTCAATAGCTATGTTAGTTTACCAGAGGGTACTACTGTCTTTGCGTCGAAATCCTCAGAAATTGGTTGGTGTCCAGATCGGCCAATCCTGAAGCAAGTTTGCGCCAGTGAATTGCTGGCTGACTCACATGAATCTTCCGATTTCTCTCGGGTCATTTGAGACCTTTCTTAAATCACCTATCCTAAAATCACCTATCCTATAATCAAATATGTAATAATCATCTACTGTAATAATCATGAGCAAAAAGTCTATAGCTTTCTGAAAAAGAAACTGGAAGGTATCGATCATGTCGACTCCCGGTTCGAATGAAGATCCAACATGGCGGATATCTCGCCCATCAATGAAGGTTTTCATGGGAAAACTACCCGGCCTGGTAAACGTTTACAGTTTGCGAACTGGAAAATCAGCATCTTGAAAAAGAATCAACTATTTCTATGTGCCAGGTTCAATAGCTATGCAACAAATTTCCGAATCGGGTATCTATAAATGGTGGATTTTCCACCACGTTTGAGTAGAGGGTCGGGTAGCCAAGTTGATCACTTTGATTACCCTCTGGCTATGACTAACAGTTCGCCATGGAAAATCCCTTATAAATAGAGGTTTTAATGGGACAATCATCTATAAATGGGCCATCTATACCATGGCTATGTTAATAACCAGAGGGTAACTTTGACCCCCTTTGTAGAAAAAGTGCCGGGCACCCTTAGGCTGAGGAACTTGGTGACGGCCGTCCAGCTAGAGATGGTTGCGGAGACATGTTTTTTTTGTTTCCCCCATGAAAATGGTTGTTTTACGAGGACACCCGTTATCAATTGGAATTGAAACCCATCCAACTGCATATAATTAGTTTTAAACCCCTACTTGTACTGTGTGCTTTTTTACTGGCGTAAACCAACTGACCCAACTGTGGGCCACCACGCATTGTATAGAAAAAAACGCACCAAACTTGTCTTGTTCATCCACTGGATTGAATATCGATGTTCAAAGATGACATGTCCATATATTCTTTCATATTCTATCTACTTGGGTTTTTAAAGATGAAATTTCTATATTCTATCATAGTCTATCATATTCTACTTCAGGATATTTCAGGATGACTATATTAATCTAGGCCCTAGTTATGTCAATGTCAACGTCACTGAGCTCTCGCACTCACTGCGTGGCACGCGCTCATTGCGCTCACGCTCCCGCCGATCCTCACGACCTGTCGATCAGGGAGGATTTCTGTGGGATGGTACATGGAGGTTTTATAAGAGTAGAACACGTGTACTTACTTACAAATAACTATAACTATACATGATATTGTATTGATAATAACACTATAACACTTGTACTTGTACTTACTTATATATATATATGTTTAGTTTATATATACATATGATTCTATGATATTGCATTGATAACTATATATATAATATATTATATATATAACTATATATTATATAATTATTATTATATTCATGTCCTGTCTTTTGGGGGATGGGTCAAAGCCTGGGAGAAAATTCGCAACGGGAAAATGTTCCACCAACAGTTGCGGTTGATTGAAAGGTTATTTCACCCAAAGTTATAAGTTGGCTTATAAGCCCACCTGACTATAAAGTCATAAAACTATATAAATGCTATTAAATCCTACAAGGCGAAGCTTTTCAGTTCTAACTTGATTTATTTTACCCCCATGAATATCCATGAATGCTATAGTATACTATAGTTATATCCACCAGTTTTCAACCCAAGTTCACCTCAAGTGAGCTATTCGTGAACATCTCGCTATCGACTGGAAGCCGAGCCTGACCTTTGGCATGTTTTAGCTGGTTCTCTCAACCAACTTAAGGCATTAAAAACACACCGTTTTCCCATCTCATTGTCCTAGTTGCTTGAAAACGCTTTCCCCCCTATGGCTTGTCATAATCAGGCAAAATCACCAAGAAAATCGAGAAATTTTCCTGTGGGTAAAACAAAAACACAAACCAGCCCATTTTTGATGGTTTATACCCATAAAAATGGTGATGACTTGGGGATGGTTTATTCTTGGTTTTAACCACATTAGAAGTTACCCTCTGGTAAACAAACATAGACCCTGAAAATCACAATTTTTTAATGGAAACTAGTCTATACTAGTCTTCCAACCCCTATCTGCCAGGGTTTATGTTAATTTACTGGAGGGTAATTAGAAGTATAACTCCCAACAAATTCACCAATCCGACCAGGGGTTACCACCACGGTTACCATCGGCGCCTTCCCGTCGACCAAACCGTGCATTGCGGTCGCCGCGGTCGCCGCGGTCGCCTGTCTGCCAAGCCGTGCCTGGTCGAAGCATTGGATCCTTGGGAATTTCAGGATCCTAAGGAGGTACGTTAGTAGCATATTGTTGGCCATATGAATTGTGGAGATATTCATATATATTCATGATATTCCCTAGCCTCCAGTCGATATTGTTCAGTGATGTGGCTGGATTATATGGTTTATGGTAGATATAACATGATATCTACAAGGTGGTGCCCCCAAGATAGCTAAGTTGGTTTATTATAACTCCAATAACTATGGTTTATGGTACTTATAACTATAGTTAATGGGGTTTATAAACCAACTGATAACTCACCACATTCTGGGACAATCATCCAAAATCTAAAATCACATCCGATTGGTGAAGGGAACATCTACAGGAAACCATACGACTTTCCTACAAGTCTATAGGGATTTCCTTTTTTAATATTCCCTTTTTCACCAATCCATTGATAAAATGGTGATGTGGTGAGGATACAACGGGGATACATCAGGGATAGAATGGGATATTGATTAACCATAATTGACCATCATTAACCATCATTGACCATTATTAACCATCAGTATATCATAATGGAGTTTCTGCGAAAATCACCGAGCCAAATGGTGAACAATTCCATTGCTACATTTTGACTGTGTCTCCATGGGGGGCGTACTGTTCATCATGGGACTTTGGGGACTAAAAAATTGGCACCGAAAAATCACGTGGTTTGCGCCGAAAGCACCATGGAAATGACAAAACTGTTGCTTGCTTCAATCGCATGTGCTCAATCGTTAAATCTCATAGAATCAGATTTTTTGGTTGGTTTAGTTACCATTAGATCACCATGTGTGTTACTTTCAATCCCACGTGTTCTGCGGGATCAATTCCCACTCAATCGCCAAATTCTGCGAGGATACCCTCTGGTTATGACTAACAGTTCGCCATGGAAAGATCCACCCATTTTTAAGTTCGGTAAACATCGGTAAACCATCTATTTCTATGGGCCATCAACAAACCATGGCTATGTTAGTCATAACCAGAGGGTGATTTTATGGTGAAATCCCCATGGGATTTAGACCACCACTTTCGTCGCCTTCTCTGCCTTGGCCTTTCCCTCGTGATCGACCTGTGTTATTTTGTGGGATTTTAACCATGAAAAAGCTGGGATTTCACCAAAAAATGGGGGATTTACTAGGATTTGACCACGAACAATTGTGGATTTCATGGGACTTCATGGGATTTACAGTAGTTGGCTAAGTTGGTGAATACAACATCCCATATTTGTTTGTACCAAAGAAACTGCTGTTGAAGCATGATATGGAATTTAACCATGAACATATGGAAACTGGTGTTTTCCTGGGATGTGAGATACCATCTAACCTCACAGAAATGATGATTTCCAGAGATTTCACCAACACAAATGATGACTTCATGGGGTTTTAAGCTACAACATAATGGAATTTAATGGGATATGATATAAACAACAAGATGATTTTTGGGTGTGTTTGGAAATGGAGGATTAGCCCCACAGAATAGCATGTTAATAGGGAAAATGATGATTTATCAGCGGATGATTTATCAGCGGATTCAAAGGGTTACCTATTCCAGAGTGATCTTAAGGTACAGTTGGGTGATGTTGGGTGGTTTGAGAAAAATATATACCATCTGGTTATTTAACAGTTCGCCATGGAAAATCACCATTTTTAATAGGTAAACCGGTAAACCATCTATTTCGATTAGGGCCATGGCTCTACCATGGCTATGTTAGTCATAACCAGAGGGTAACCCGGAACGCAGGTCCAATATGCTTCACGTGGGACTCCTTAACTCACCATTCCGGTGGGCGAAATCACCATCTTTTGGTTGCTTGAATCACCATCAAAAAAGAATCAATCTCCCCATATACCTCAGCAATATCTTGCTAGAATTGAATCCTAATTTATCTGCCTCCCATCTGGTTATTTAACATAGCCATGGAAAATCCCTTATAAATGGAGGTATTAATGGGAAAATCATCTATAAATGGGCCGTTTTCCATGGCTATGTTAAATAACCAGAGGGTAATTGTTCAAGTTACCTGTGAAACTACCAGCAATGCTTGGGGATTGCTAAACATCCAGCTGGTCGGTAGCCTTCTTGAGCTCGGGCACGATCTTCCCATAGGCCTCGGGTAAAGAAAGGCTCCGGAACCATAGGAAAATAGAGGAACATGTTGATTGAACCAAGAAACATTAGGGGAGTTCATGGGATTTTTTGCTGATTTTTAATGATAGCGAGACGTTGACGTAACTTGGATGAGCTTGATGTAGGTCATCCATGCCAGAGTAGGAATCCTCTGAAGGAAATATTTTCACCCATGTATATCAATGGATTCATGACCATCCATCATTTTGGCTAAATCTCATTGCCCAGAAGCGGAACCGGGCCCGTGAGTTATCAACTGGTTGATATTAATGTTGTAAACTCCATGAACTACAGCTATATCATGATCATGATCCACCACAAATCCTATATCCGCCATAAACCCAACGGTTGCGCAGAGCTTGCGCAGCGCATGGGGCTCCCATCAGCCAACGGCTCCCTAGAAAAATTACACCGCCTGAAATTCTGAAAGGTCTTGAACTTTGAACACCTATGGAAATTCTGATGGAAAATTTATGATGATGAAAAGTTGACAGCGTGCAGCAGCAGGTCATATTACTAGCTGCACCGAGTCTATGAAAATTCTGGTCATACTACAACTGTGCCTTTTATTCTTTGAACAGGAACAAAACAAATATACAAACGTGGGAACCGTGGGAACACTGAAAAAAAAAAACTGACTATGGGGACCCTTCCTTCCTCCATGGAAGCGGATTCCATTGAAAAAAACCTGGAGGCTCTCCCAGTCGACAATGGATACATATATATATATACGTTCGTATAGATATATATATATATACATGATTACAGTATATAATTGTATATAATGGCATATCTTCCCGCTAAACCATGGTGACATTCCTGAGCACCTCAAACCGTGTGGTGGAAACTAAGAAAGCGATTACTTTCTGGCTGCGATCCCCATTTTCCACAAGATTCAGCCTTTGTTTGGCTCAAATCAACGAGGAAAAATGCAACATGCCATATCTTTTTCCAGTGAAAGTTCCACTTTTGTGGATTTCCACAAATCACCCAATGTTTAAGCATGAATAGGATGTATGTTACTGTCCCAAAGGTGTGTTGATCAAATCCCAAGTTGCCTAAATCATAGAAAATGTTCCAAAAAACAATTTGAGACCAAACAGCCACTTACCAGTGAGTTGAATTCAGGGAAAATCCTACAGTTACAGGAAACCATTGTATTTACGACCAATTTTTTTTGGGGGGTGCTGTAGATTTTCCCACCTCTGGGAATTAAAAAAAAAAACATTCCAATATCCCCTTAAAAATCCCATGAAATTCCATAAGAAATTCATGGGTTCATGAGATTTAATGGCTATAGGTCAAAACCCTATGCCCCTGGTGAACATCAAAATAGCTGGTAAATGGATGTTCATCCCCCTAAAAATGGTATAAATGGTATGTATAGGTATTGATCCATAGCCTAATGAGTGGTTATTAATTCCAATGCCACTTGCATCATGACTGACTGACCATCCACCCCTTGGCCTCCCACCTTCGTGCCGTGGCATCTCTTGCCTTCTGGCCACGTCGCCCTGCCAGGCCTGCGGCACTTGCGACGCTTCCGGCACTTGCGGCTCGGCCCTGGCAGGGCCTGGCAGGGCGCCATGTGGCCATATGACATGCTCAATATGAAATATCATTCAATATCATTCAAAACCATTCAAAATACCAGTTCAATTCATATTTTGTGTATATTTTAAATATTGAACATCTAGTGGATTTCCATACAATGTAAATAAATATTATATATATATATATATATGTATATATATATACATCACATTCCCTTTCCGCCCTCTGCATTGCCTCTTAAAATGGCACTTGAAAACTGTGCCAGGTTGCAACTCCTTTGGAGAACACATATAATGTATATATATATACATATTTATTATTCATCCACTAAATGTAATACATTATGTGGCAACCAACATGAGTATATGTATGTACGAAATGTAAATACGAAACTGTTAATATAATCATAGAGTGTTTGTAAGTGATGGTCTAATGTGGTGACATTATATAGATTTAAAACACAATACATGGATGGATTACTCTATGCTAACAGTCCCAACTATTGAATTGTCTACCACGTTTCAATATGTTTGATTGGTACAGAACATATTTGTTTGCTATAATATTGCTCATATTACTACATGGATTGTACAACACTGTATCATGTTGCTATCCAATTGCTATACTGCAATATTTGCTCATTAATCGTTAATGATTATCTATGGGTGAAAAGAGCAATGATCACATCACTGTAAACATAACATTTACCAGCACCTGGATGGCACAGAGTATCAATCCTCATGTTTTCGGGATAATGATGAAATGCTCAAAGTGGTAAACTTGCGGATCGTTTCTTGTTGGTTTCCCTCACTAGATGGACTGTTGCCACTTACATAACATACATCTCATCTAAATAATTGGACCCTGAACATGAGAATCGGCAATGGGATATGCCGCCACTTGTAACTGGGACTATAGATTAACATGGTGCCCAGTGGCGATCAATGCTAGCTTCAGGCATGAATCGACTTCAAACAGGTAATATGTCCATATTGACTTTGGAAGCTTCCCAAATCTAAAACCGAAAAGTCATACAAGGTGGTGCCCCCAAGATAGCTAAGTTGGTTTATAACTCCAATAACTATGGTTCATGGTACTTATAACTATAGTTAATGGGGTTTATAAACCAACTGATAACTGGGGGGCCCCACCTTGTATGTTTCATATTTGGCAAACATCCAACCTGGTTTCATTAAATGAAGAATATGGCCGCCCAACATGATGCTTCACTCCCCATCCTTTAAAGTGGTGGTTCCATCAGCCTCTCAAATCACACCATGTATTGGGTGGCAAGGTGCTGCGTTTTTCCTTGTTTTCATACAGTATGTTTCATTTGTGTGGTTCATATACGTTCCCTTCAGAAACTTCATTTCTCCAAATGTGTTCGCATATCATATGTTCGTATCTGTTCACTCTATTCTTAGTCATTGTATTCAAATATCCCATTATATACACATTAATTGATATAGACTATATCCCCTTAAATTAAATCACATGAAAAGACAGACAGACAAACAGACAAACAGACAGACAAACAGACAGACAGACAGACAGCAGGCAGGCAGGCAGACAGGCAGACAGACAGACAGACAAACAAACAGCTAGCTGGCTAGCTAGCTAGCCAGATAGCTAGATAGCTAGATAGCTAGATAGCTAGACAGCGAGACAGATAGATAGCTAGATAGCTAGATAACTAGACAGCTGGACAGCTAGATAGCTAGATAGACAGATAGAAAGATAGATAGATAGATAGATAGAAAGATAGATAGATAGATAGCTAGAAAACTAGATAACTAGATAGCTAGATCGCTAGATAGTTACATAGCTACATAGCTAGATAGCTAGCTGGCTAGGTAGCTAGATAGCTAGATAGGTAGGTGGATAGATGGATAGAAGGATAGATCGATAGATGGATAGATGGATAGATGGATAGATGGATAGATGGATAGATGGATAGATAGATAGATAGATGGATGGATGGATGGATGAGACAAAAAGATAGATCGATAGATGGACAAAAAGATGGATAGATGGAAAGATAGGTAAATGGATGGATAGATGGATTGATAGAGAGAGAGAGAGAGCAACAAAAAAGATATAATATATGGATGGATGGATGGATGGATAGATAGATAGATAGGTAAGATTAGATAAGATTAGATTAGATTAGATTTACATTTAGATTTAGATTTAGATTTAGATTTAGATTAGATAGATAGATAGATACATAGATAGATAGATAGATAGATAGACAGATAGACAGACAGACAGACAGACGGCCACTTTACCTTCAGACCCGGGAAGTTCCCGATTCTTTTCTAAACAATGCATTGAAGCATGTGAACCTGAACTACAGGAAGGGGCCCGATATATATATATATCATATCATCCTCACATATATCATCATATATCACCATGAAATGATAGAGACATATATCCCATTGAACTCCATGAAACCACTATCAAAGCCCCATTAGACTTCCAGTAAATCGCTGAAAACCCAATGAAATGCCATGAACTCCGGTCAAATCCCATTGAAGTGCCACTAAATCCTATTACCCATATGCCATATGGTCCATGTATGGTATCTTTGTAACCTACATGTGGCAATTGTTTGAGGCAAATGTTGGTAAATATCTACCATACATGGAGAGTTAAACTACCATTTAAATTGATGGGATTAAACTATATCTTGCATATCTTGCTATGGCTGAAATACCATTGGTAAATATATACCTATACATACCCATACCATATCCACAAAAATGGCTTAAACAGGGGTTCGTAACTGTCCCATTTTGGGTATATTGGACATCACCTGAAATAGTAGCCATTATAGACTCTAATTGACCATATATACCTAATGGTTGGGTGATGTTCAATGGGGACATTTAATGACCCATGTTAAACTATCCATTTTTTGATGGTTAAGCTGCGAAATCCCGCACCTGGCACCGGCGCGGGCTGCTGAAAGGCACCCGTCAAGGCTTGCTCGTCGGCGTCTGCCTCACCGGAAAACTCACGGAAACCTGATGGGTTTTTAATCCCATACAAGGTGGTGCCCCCCAAGTTATAAGTTGATTTATAATCCCATTAACTGTAGATATATCATCACCACCCTTTTAATGAGGGGGGACGCTCAAAATGCAAGCTTGCAATAAGACGTTGTTTTGGGGGGGGGACGTATGAAAATGTATGCGTACATTTTTTTTTTTGAACGTCTTTATTGCAAGATTGCATTTTGATAGGTTCGGGGATTGCAATTATGTACCCCCATAAGTCCTAGTGAAATCAGAGTTATAAACCAACTTAGCTATCTTGGGGGCACCACATTGTAGGATCCATGGTGCTGGTATATATGCTAACATGACTGGGGTATATTTATGGTAAAATATGGCAAATGTTACCATATATAGCAGCACCAGTCGGATCCGTCATGGGAATGGATTTCGACTGGGGATTTCGACTGGGGAACTTTGTATGGGATATCCTGGGATGGTCTCTTTTTACCCGTTGTTTTTTCCGGTTTTAGAGGAAGTTCATTGGTGGTTTAAGTGCTCGATATTATCGGGATTCTAGTGTTTTATATGTTTATCGTTTTTTCTCCGGGTTTTATATTTTTATAGGGATTTTATGGGAGCTGATGTCTGTTTTCTTGGGAGACAATTGGGACAGCAATTGAAATACTGGATTTATGCGAAATGATGATGTAAAGTGGAAATGATTGGGAAACAAACATATAGATTAACATTACCCTCTGGTAAATTAACATAGACCCTGGCAAAAAATGGGGTTGGAAGATTAGTTTCCATTAAAACTAGGCTATGGATTCAGGGTCAACAAGTTAATTTACCAGAGGGTAAGAGAGGGTCACCATCACCATGAAATCTCGGGGATGTTGCGTCACCAATATCATGGGAGTCTCAGCGGGATACAGGCAGACATGACATATCCCATAGGATCCATGTATGCTATATATATGCTAACATGTGGGGTATATTTATGGTAAATGTTACCATATATAGCATACATGGATCCTATGGGTATACAAATGTCACCCAAAGATGTCTTGGACACTCAAAGAATCTCAAAGATATGGACAATGTGGACACTCAAAGATATGAGAATGAGAATTCTGAATTCTGTCAATCTTGGATTTGTGGAAAGGTGTGGAAAGGTGTGGAAAGGTGTGGAAAGGACAAATGGACAAAGGAAACACATATTCGGGAAATCCCAAGTTGGATAAATCCTCCAAAATTGATCCAGCCACAAAATTGTTAAGCTTCCATATGTACCCCAAAAATAAGGTACCGAAAGTTGTTGACCATGTCATGTATTGGGATTGGCAAAGATTGCAAACCCCAGAAATATGTACATGATTGTCAAAGGAAGTTTAGGGGGAGAAACTTCCGTGTTACGGACTTTTAGAATGTCAGGGAAAGAGTTAGTCAAAGAAAGAGTTAGCAAAGAAAGAGTTCGTCAGGGAAAGAGTTAGTCAAAGAAACAGTTAGTCAGGGAAAGAGTTAGTCAAAGAAAGAGTTAGTGAGGGAAAGAGTTAGTCACAGAAAGAGTTAGCAAAGAAAGAGTTCGTCAGGGAAAGAGTTAGTCAAAGAAAGAGTTAGTCAAAGAAAAAGTTAGTCAGGGAAAGAGTTAGTCAAAGAAAGAGTTAGTGAGGGAAAGAGTTAGTCAAAGAAAGAGTTAGCAAAGAAACAGTTAGTCAGGGAAAGAGTTAGTCAAAGAAAGAGTTAGTGAGGGAAAGAGTTAGTCAAAGAAAGAGTTAGCAAAGAAAGAGTTAGCAAAGAAAGAGTTCGTCAGGGAAAGAGTTAGTGAGGGAAAGAGTTAGTCAAAGAAAGAGTTAGTGAGGGAAAGAGTTAGTCAAAGAAAGAGTTAGTCAAAGAAAGAGTTCGTCAGGGAAAGAGTTAGTCAAAGAAAGAGTTAGTGAGGGAAAGAGTTAGTCAAAGAAAGAGTTAGTCAAAGACAGAGTTAGCAAAGAAACAGTTAGTCAGGGAAAGAGTTAGTCAAAGAAAGAGTTAGTGAGGGAAAGAGTTAGTCAAAGAAAGAGTTAGTGAGGGAAAGAGTTAGTCAAAGAAAGAGTTAGTCAGGATATATGAGGTAGTCAAAGAAAGAGTTTGCAAAGAAACAAGTTAGTCAAAGAAAGAGTTAGTGAGGAAAAGAGTTAGTCACAGAAAGAGTTAGCAAAGAAATTGTTCCCTCACTGTAAATGGGATTGCAAGTGGTGCTGGTGGAGGAGTTGCCGATGGAATTCCATTGTGATTTGCAACTCTAGGATCGTTCCCTCACTGTAAATGGGATTGCAAGTGGTGCTGGTGGAGGAGTTGCCGATGGAGTTTTGGAGGAAGTCCCGCACGAAATGCGTTTTTGAGAGATAGCAGATGCACGAAAGCCTATGTTTTTCCATACAAAGTGCGTCCCCGAACGTCGATGATCTACCTCTGCGGTGCGACGGGTGCGAGACGGTCTCAGGCGGAGTTTTTTTGGTCTTGCTCCCTGTTCTTGAAACAGTCCTTTGGTGGGGGGGGGGGGGGCTCTTCTCGGCAGGATTTAGAAGAGGGAGTTGTCTGTTTCCGCATTGTAAATGGGGTGTCAACTGTTTTTCGTGCATGTGTGGTCGACAGAATTCCATTGTGATTTGCAACTGTAGGATCGTTCCCGCATTGTAAATGGGGTTGCAAGCGCACGAAATGCGTTTTTGAGAGATAGCAAATGCACGAAAGCCTATGTTTTTCCATACAAAGTCCGTCCCCGAACGTCGATGATCTACCTCTGCTGTGCGACGGGTGCGAGACGGTCTCGTGTGTGGTCGGATCATTCTCGGATATTCTCGGATCATGGTCGGATCGGTTCCGCATTGTAAATGGGGTTTCAACTGTTTTTCGTGCATGTGTGGTCGACAGAATTCCATTGTGATTTGCAACTGTAGGATCGTTCCCGCATAATAAATGGGGTTGCAAGTGGTGCTGGTGGATGAGTTGCCGATGGAGTTTTGGAGGAAGTCTCGCACGAAATGCGTCTTTGAGAGATAGCAGATGCACGAAACCCTATGTTTTTCCATACAAAGTCCGTCCCCGAACGTCGATGATCTACCTCTGCGGTGCGACGGGTGCGAGACGGTCTCGCGTGTGGTCGGATCATGCTCGGATATTCTCGGATCGGTCTCGGATCGGTTCCGCATTGTAAATGGGGTTTCAACTGTTTTTCGTGCATGTGTGGTCGACAGAATTCCATTGTGATTTGCAACTGTAGGATTGTTCCCGCATTGTAAATGGGGTTGCAAGTGGTGCTGGTGGATGAGTTGCTGATGGAATTCCATTGTGATTTGCAACTCTAGGATCGTTCCCTCACTGTAAATGGCATTGCAAGTGGTGCTGGTGGAGGAGTTGCCGATGGAGTTTTGGAGGAAGTCTCGCACGAAATGCGTTTTTGAGAGATAGCAGATGCACGAACCCCTATGTTTTTCCATACAAAGTGCGTCCCCGAACCTCGATGATCTACCTCTGCGGTGCGACGGGTGCGAGACGGTCTCGTGTGTGGTCGGATCATCCTCGGATCATGCTCGGATCATTCTCGGATCGGTTCCGCATTGTAAATGGGGTTTCAACTGTTTTTCGTGCATGTGTGGTCGACAGAATTCCATTGTGATTTGCAACTGTAGGATTGTTCCCGCATTGTAAATGGGGTTGCAAGTGGTGCTGGTGGATGAGTTTCTGATGGAATTCCATTGTGATTTGCAACTCTAGGATCGTTCCCTCACTGTAAATGGGATTGCAAGTGGTGCTGGTGGAGGACTTGCCGATGGAGTTTTGCAGAAAGTCTCGCACTAAATGCGTTTTTGAGAGATAGCAGATGCACGAAACCCTATGTTTTTCCATACAAAGTCCGTCCCCGAACCTCGATGATCTACCTCTGCTGTGCGACGGGTGCGAGACGGTCTCGTGTGTGGTCGGATCATGTTCGGATCATGTTCGGATATGGTCGGATCGGTTCCGCATTGTAAATGGGGTTTCAACTGTTTTTCGTGCATGTGTGGTCGACAGAATTCCATTGTGATTTGTAATTGTAGGATCGTTCATGCATTGTAAATGGGGTTGCCAGTGGTGCTGGTGGATGAGTTGCTGATGGAATTCCATTGTGAGTTGCAACTCTAGGATCGTTCCCTCACTGTAAATGGGATTGCAAGTGGTGCTGGTGGAGGAGTTGCCGATGGAGTTTTGAAGGAAGTCTCGCACGAAATGCGTTTTTGAGAGAGAGCAGATGCACGAAACCCTATGTTTTTCCATACAAAGTCCGTCCCCGAACCTCGATGATCTACCTCTGCGGTGCGACGGTTGCGAGACGGTCGCGTGTGTGGTCAGATCATGGGCGGATCATTCTCGGATCGGTTTCGCATTGTAAATGTGGTGTCACCTGTTTTTCGTGCATGTGCGGTCGACAGAATTCCATTGTGATTTGCAACTGTAGGATCGTTCCCGCATTGTAAATGGGGTTGCAAGTGGTGCTGGTGGATGAGTTGCTGATGGAATTTCATTGTGATTTGCAACTCTAGGATCGTTCCCTCACTGTAAATGGGATTGCAAGTGGTGCTGCATGAAGGCTGCCACAGTGATTTGTCAGCAGATTTTCTCTATTTTGGCGCTAATGATTTTCATTCTAAAAATCCTTTTAAAAAGTGCTTCAAAATCGTCTTTTTTTCGCTCTGGCGTCGAGATCCGGTTTTGGAGCTACAATTTCCGACGCCATTAGTTCTCTTGTGTTTTGCAACTCAGTCTCCGCAGATCGCATTGTAATGGCTGCGTGAAGGTTGCTTCATGCTGTGGCTGCATGCGTAATACTATTGTCTTTTGCAGCTGGACTTCGTAAATCGTATTGGAGTGGCTGCATGAAGGCTGCGACAGTGATTTGTCAGCAGATTTTCTTCATTTTGGCGCTAGTGAATTTCCTTCTAAAAATCCTTTTAAAAAGTGCTTCAAAATCGTCTTTTTTTCGCTCTGGCGTCGAGATCCCGGTTTTGGAGCTACAATTTCCGACGCCGTTGTGCGTAGTTCTATTGTGTTTTGCAACTCAGTCTCTGCAGATCGCATTGTAATGGCTGCGTCAAGGTTGCTTCGTGCTGTGGCTGCATTCGTAATACTATTGCCTTTTGCAGCTCGACTTCGTAAATCGTATTGGAGTGGCTGCATGAAGGCTGCGACAGTGATTTGTCAGCAGATTTTCTCCATTTTGGCGCTAGTGATTTTCCTTCTAAAAATCCTTTTAAAAAGTGCTTCAAAATCGTCTTTTTTCGCTCTGGCGTCGAGATCCGGTTTTGGAGCTGCAATTTCCGACGCCGTTGCGCGTAGTTCTATTGTGTTTTGCAACTCAGTCTCTGCAGATCGCATTTTAATGGCTGCGTCAAGGTTGCTTCGTGCTGTGGCTGCATTCGTAATACTAGTGTCTTTTGCAGCTGGATCTCGTAAATCGTATTGGAGTGGCTGCATGAAGGCTGCGACAGTGATTTGTCAGCAGATTTTCTCCATTTTGGCACTAGCGATTTTCCTTCTAAATCCTTTTAAAAAGTGCTTCAAAATCGTCTTTTTTTTGCTCTGGCGTCGAGATCCGGTTTTGGAGCTACAATTTCCGACGCCGTTGCGCGTAGTTCTATTGTGTTTTGCAACTCAGTCTCTGCAGATCGCATTGTAGTCGCTGCGTCAAGGTTGCTTCCTGCCTTGGCTGTATGCGTAATACTATTGTCTTTTGCAGCTGGACTTCGTAAATCGTTTTGGAGTGGCTGCATGAAGGCTGCGAAATGGATTTGTTAGCAGATTTTCTCCATTTTGGCGCTAGTGATTTTCCTTCTAAAAATCCTTTTAAAAAGTGCTTCAAAATCGTTTTTTTTTCGCTCTGGCGTCGAGATCCGGTTTTGGAGCTACAATTTCCGACGCCGTTGCGCGTAGTTCTATTGTGTTTTGCAACTCAGTCTCTGCAGATCGCATTGTAATGGCTGCGTCAAGGTTGCTTCGTGCTGTGGCTGCATTGGTAATACTATTGTCTTTTGCAGCTGGATCTCGGAAATCGTCTTGGAGTGGCTGCATGAAGGCTGCGAAATGGATTTGTTAGCAGATTTTCTCCATTTTGGCGCCAGTGATTTTCCTTCTAAAAATCCTTTTAAAAAGTGCTTCAAAATCGTCTTTTTTTCGCTCTGGCGTCGAGATCCGGTTTTGGAGCTACAATTTCCGACGCCGTTGCGCGTAGTTCTATTGTGTTTTGCAACTCAGTCTCTGCAAATCGCATTGTAATGGCTGCGTCAAGGTTGCGTCGTACTGTGGCTGCATTTGTCATACTATTGTCTTTTGCAGCTGGATCTCGGAAATCGTCTTGGAGTGGCTGCATGAAGGCTGCGAAATGGATTTGTTAGCAGATTTTCTCCATTTTGGCACTAGTGTTTTTTTTGTTGCACGTAGGTTTAGAGCAGTGGGAAGTGTGGGGCGTAAAGAGTGCAGTGTGAAGTGTGAAGTGTGAAGAAAGCAGTGGGAAGTGAAAAGTGTGAAGTGTGGAGTGTGAAGTGTGGAGTGTGAAGTTTCAGTTTGGAGTGCGAAGAGCGCAGTGTGAAGTGTGAAGTGTAAAGTGTGAGGTTTGGAGTGTGAAGGAAGCAGTGAGAAGTGAGAAGTGTGAAGTGTGAAGTGTGAAGTGTGGAGTGTGAAGTGTGGAGTGTGAAGTTCAGTTTGGAGTGCGAAGAGCGCAGTGTGAAGTGTGAAGTGTGAAGTGTGAGGTTTGGAGTGTGAAGGAAGCAGTGAGAAGTGAGAAGTGTGAAGTGTGGACTGTGAAGTGTGAAGTGTGAAGTGTGGAGTGTGAAGTTTGAAGTTTGAAGTTTGGAGTGCGAAGAGTGCAGTGTGAAGTGTGGAGTGTGGAGTGTGAAGACTTTGCTTCGTCTCTCGCTGAAAAAATCAAACGGTTGTCGAGGGAAGGACACGGTCGGGACAGGGTGTCTTTGAACTATAGGTCATTTATGTTTGGGAAACTTCCGCCGCCGGCTTGCCCGGGTCTATGTTATATGTAGATACAAAGGTAGTACAAATCAGTCGTCCAAATTCCTAATAACTAATCATAATGGAAACCCTACAAAGCACAATCGATTCTTTGGCCAAACCTCTCCATTGCGGTTCACCAGGTCACCCACTCTTCACCAAGTGTCGGTGATTGCATCCCCATACAGATGTCAGTGCCGAGATTTGCCGAGATTCTTGGATCTATGAACTACGTACTAAGCCGACACAACCGTTCACCCCTTTTCCTGCAGATATTCTTTTAATATCTTTTAACGAAATATTCTTTTAATCTCCAGTTCCATTCAGTGCTTACGATCCAATGAAATTCTGCTTACAATCCATATACATCCATATATTTATATGATATCCTAGCATTTCTGGTGCTATCCAATGAAATCACCAGTGTTTCTTGGTCAAAATCCCCCCAAAGGCGCCATGACCAAAAAGGCACCAGACCTTGCCGCCGAAGACCTTGGCGCTGCGGCCCTTCTTCGCGGGCTTGGCTAGCTCCTTCCGCAACGGATCGTCCAGATAGCTTGGAATAGGATCATAGATCATACAGTACAATGTGGTGCCCCCAAGATAGCTAAGTTGGTTTATAACTCTAATAAGTAGGACTTATGGTAGATATATCTACAGTTAATGGGATTATAAATCAACTTATAACTTGGGGGGCACCACCTTGTAGATCATAGAAATCGCTCATAGATCATAGTGGATGATTAATAGTGGATATAGTGAATGGAGAATAGTTGTACCAGATTCTATATGGGTTTATAAGCCCGTTAACTATAGATATTCTACCATAAGTCCTGGTTATTGGACTTATTTGCACCAACTTGGCTAACTAGGGGGCACCAAATTGTAAGCATATTGGAGCTATTCAAAGAGTTTGATAGACCAAAATTTAGAAATGTTTGCTGGATCTTAAGATGAAGCAAATATGTTTGTTGGACCTATAGGACTATAGGGGTTTAAGCACTAGCTTAAATCATAGGGAGCTAGAGGTTTTTTCATGACCAAACAAGCCAGAGATCTCAAGTCTGAACCACCAAAAACTGTCGTCTTAACTTATCATCACCAAAAATCCACGGGTAATCTTTAACTGGCTCTGGAAAAGTGTGGAAAACCACCATTTTGAAACCGAAAATTCATCGAGTAATTCAGGGTTTTCATTGCCTGCTGAGATTTTCCAAAGGACACCCAATCTATTGAGAACAAGCAAACATGGGGGAAGTAAAAACCTTAATACGAACTGAACCCTAGACAATCTAGACATATAATGTATTGCATAAATGTTGTTGTCTAAATCCCAATTGACCCCAAGTATCGAACCAAGCTAAGAAACTGGGTGGTTGAATTCATTTCTCACTGAGACAACCTGTTCAAAAAAGAGGGGCCACCGGGACACTAGAAAACGGAAATTCCACCAGCAGAAACTAAGGCTGAGGTTGAACAATCAGGACCAGGGGGATTCATATCTAAGTCAAAGTGACAAACAAAGGTTCATTTGGATTCCAGACTCAAACAACAAAGAATCAGATTTGTTCCACCTAAATTCTGTCCTACTGTTCGATATATATATATACATACATACATACATACATGCTACATGACCATTACTATCCACAAAACCTGTTGTTTTTCTTTTGCGGTACATTGAAGCAGCTGTCCACATCGCGATGACTGTATGAAGCCATTAAAACCATTGGCAACCCCTAGAAAGCCTATACCCTTTACTGAAAAACAACACTTATGAGAAACTAATAATTAATAGTTATAACATGTAATGAACTAGATTACGTCTTAAACTAAGGTGTTTTTTCTTTTGTCTTTGGGGGACAAAAATCCCGTCATCGCGAATCGCACCTGTAGGGTGAAGGTCGGTGGCGCTCTTTGCGCTTGACCTGCGCTCTTTCGCCGATGCCGGTGGGATCCGAAAAGCCCCGGATGGTCATCGCGTCAAACAAAGTGGCGCCCCCGTTAGGATAGCGATTTCGTAGCTAAGTCAGGGGCCACATAACTCCAATGTCACTAGGGTTTATGGTACGCAAATAACTATACTTACTGGATCTTACTGGTGTTTGTAGACCAACTAACATCACTGGGGGGGCCCACATTGTAGAATATACCCTCCAGTTTTTTGTGAAAAAAAATCGCATGGAATCTGGAAACTCCGCCATTGATCAGGGCGACTGTAAGCATCATTGCGGACCAGCTATTCCATTTGAGTTGTCAGGAAGCCATGCGGGTCCATCGAATAAGGGGTCAACCCCCCAAGCCTTAAAATTTGATAGGAAACATAATAGTTGAGCATCACATGTTCGCAGAAACATGTGTTCAGCGCAAGTTTGTTGGCTGAATATAGCTTGCTTCCAACGAATGACATACCGGACATAATTTCTTCCATTTCGCTTGGTTCCCTACCCCAAGAATATTGCACCCAGAAATGGCAATTGTGAAAGGAACATCGTCTTCCAAACCCACCAATCTGAGGATTCTACGTAGATTTGTCTGAAAGTTTGATCTGCCTCTGAGATGATCTTCATGTTCACCACACAAATTGCCATGCTCATTTTGGATGACCGGAATATGTTTGGAACATGTATTGGTTTCTTCTGATGAGCATAATTCGCCATTTAAGATCATTTAATTCGCTAAACAAATGCCCATCCAAGGGTGAACCATATAATCATGTTGATGGTTAAGTCCCATATTTTGATGATTTTTTTGATGGTTAGCCCCATATTTTGATGGTTGAATTCCTAGCCGCATCCAACTTTTTCCAGGCGATTCCTTCGACCCCAATCCAACGTTAAAGGAAAAAAAAATACCCATCTGGCGCATGAAATCTCATGAAAGTCCCCAAAAATATTTCATCTAATTCATCATTTCTAGCCATTTTTTGTCCATTCAACACCCATTCAATCCCCTTTTGGTTGCTCAAAAATTGCCCCACCACTGGCCACGGCCACGTTCCACGGGGGCCCCGGACCCCAGCTGGGTGCCGAGGATTTGGGCTCCGCCAAGTTGGCGGCAAAGGCGGCTTTCTGCTTGTCCTGGTTACATGGTGGATGAAAGTTGGGGTAAACGTTTACAGAAAACTATGGAAAATCACCATTTTTAATGGGAAAACTCACTATAAATGGTAATTTTCAATAGCTATTTTGACATAACCAGAGGGTACACGGGGAAGTCACTAAGAAACCATGGTGATTTGATGATTTGATGGGAATGATGGGAGGGAAGTTCACCAAGATTCACCATGCATGGGGATTGGAATGATACTAGACAATGGGGATAGAATTTTGGCACAATTTATGTGTGATTTCGGTGTTCAACACAATGCATCGGATTTGGTGCCGGTCGGACTCGCGAAGTCGGTTCAAACATAACTCCGGAAGTTGGTGAACTGTTGGGCAACGGTTGATGCTTAAGTAGAGGTGGATGAAACTAAATACAGAGACGTAACTGGCACCACCTGGAAGGGGATAGTATGACATGTGGCAACCTCCAAATAGATACGGAAAGCTGGAAACAATGAAGGAGCAAGAATATACCATCCTGGACCCCTACAGCGGGATTACATATGGGATATCACTGAAGGTCATGGTTCCCAAGCATTTTAGGAGGATCGAATGGGATGCAGCATGAATGCGTTTGTCCAGAAATGGCAATTTCAATGTGAGAAATGCGAATCATATCTAACTCATAGGATCCATGGTGCTGCTACATATGGTAACATTTACCATCCATATACCCCAAATGTTAGCATATATATATATATACCATACATGGATCCTATGGGTAATAATCTGGAATTGGCGGTACCCCAAATTTATCGAGAAATCTCCATCTACAAACAGAGATGATGCCGTAAACCAAACCCATCAACATGGTCACTTGCGAACTCCTGGGTTTACACCGTTTTTTGGGGGCTACTTAAATGCATATATCATATATCACTACAGAACTATAGATATACTAAATATATAAATATCTGGGCAAATTATAATAATTCACTAACATGAATTAAGGCCATTTGGGGATGACTTCCCTTATTAACCATGATTCCAGTGAGGTCGCAGTGAGGTCGTTATAACTAGATATTATGTCAGTTTGGTAACTATGACCCCGGTATTTTCCAGTTCCACAGAGTTCCTTTCTGGTTTCACAAGACACGGGGTCCTTTTTGGACTGAGCAGGCACGCCGCCCAAATCTGGAAAGTGGCCACCAATCGCTGGACCTGGGTGAAAAACCCCTTGAATTGAAACATCCCCTGGTGAAAAAAACAAAAAAATAGCTTGTAGATGTTCATCTTCCCCCAACAACATCATCAATCTTACTCTACGTACGAAAAACAAAGGTCTTGACATGTCTTGACACATCTATCGTCTACTAGTAGTACTAGTCATTGTTTGGGGGATATAGAAGCCAACAGTCAGAATTTGGACACGTGGTCGTGCAGTCGACAGAATATCCTGGGAGCACCACCGATTTCGCAGGACTTCGCAACCACAGTAGATAAGGGCAAAGCATCGATGATTTACAAATTTGTACCATGATGCAGCCATCAAAACCGGTGATTTGGGGATGAGTCAACACATGTCAAAACCTATAGTGTTACAAGATTATCAATATGTGGGGGGAATAACATGGAATAACCACCCATTAATCAGCTATTTAGGGCTTTGATTTATGGTCATTCTGGGGCTCCAACTGGCCGCTGGGGGCGCCATCGTGTCTCCCCAAACAGACACCTGGAACGCTGGGACTTCAACGAAGCTCAAAGCTTTGGGGAGAATTAGCCTCCATTAATCGAACATAGCTATGGCAGCTATGGAAAACTAGCCTTTGTATAGTTGATTTACCTCTGAAAATTGCAATTGGTCCACGGCTATGTTAAATAACCAGAGAATATCATCATTTACAAACCTGAAATGAGCAAATTTGGAGATGACCCACCCTTACCATCATCTAAGTGTGTCTATTTTTCAGTCAGCTTGACCTCAAATTTACCCTGCCACACGGCAAGAATCAGCAAAAAAAATATGGGGGAGACTGATCGGATCTTGGCTTGAAATAGAGCTGGTCTTTTTGTGGAAAACATCAGGGTACCTGTTGCCTAATGCAAAGGTAGCTATTGAGAAAGCTGGTCTTGGCAGTTTTATATGTGAAATATTGTGAAATGAAGAGAACTCTGAAAGCAAAGGTCACGTGTGAAACCCCGATCAACATATTGAATTTCATATTATCATGTTAATATATGTTTATCATTGTTTATCTATCTTTATCTATCTATGTAACATGGTTGATGTTATTTGTTCAGTTTTCGGAAACTCACCTCAGCCATTATTTTATGCTTTCCCTACCTCGGCCGAAATGTTGGTTATATATGTGTTTCTATGATATATAATATATGTGTTGTTATATTTTAATAAGTGCGTTCTATCATATATCATGTGCTCTTATGTTGCCTGTTATTCATATTTACTTGTTTGTAATTGTTTGTACTTGTAATATCTATTCATTAGTATTGGCTGGTACCTCCCAGTAGGTACCCTTCTATGAGGGCCCCAGTTCTGTGAACAGATTTATCCCCCATTAAAGTGTCATTTTGGGGGGTATACACCAATTTCCAAACAAACACAAAGGCATCCAAATTCCTTGTCCAAATGCGGAGGCAACTTAGTGGCACCGTCTGACTCTTCTTGGTTTTTTTCCAAACAGCTCGCACGGTTTGGAGATGTGTTCCAAAACGTCCTCAAAAATATTCAGATTGGTGTGTCTGAAAATATTGTACAACCCCAAAATGGCTATCTTGATGTGAGGAAAATGTGAACCACCGGGTTTAGGGATACCAATCGATATCATATTTTCAGACACAGAGTATGTACACTGGCATACTATTTGTCTTTCATCGATCGCATCACTGCATAAGCATAACCTCCTTCAAGGTGAAAAGAGAGATCCCTCCCAAAACCATTCCGACGGTCAACTTGTGGCGAACCAGAGAATTCTGGAGCTGCCATCCGTGACAGACGGAGACATCCTGGTATGCCTGAATCTGTTTCCTTGGTATTTGCTGACACAATTTTGTGATCTTGAATGTCTATCCCAGTGAGCATGTGGTTCATAGATGTTCATAGCCCTGTTGAAACTGAGCTACGCTCAGGATGTAGCCAGTTGTGGCTTGCAAACAAGTACTGGGATGCACATCCAAGGGCCCCCTTGGGGCACTGGCGGTTGAGCCATCCCAACAAATATCAACTTGAGAGGTTTATCGTCCCAAAGAGGTCGTCCCAACATTTTTAAAAACTGTTCCAGACCGAAACCACGCTTCCACTGAGTCATGAGAAAGATCAAGGTGACCAGCGTCAAACCAACACCCACCAGGGGATAGGCGTCAAAGTCGCACGAGAAGGCGTCATGCTCTCGGGAGCACGTGGAAAAATGATCGACCAAAGTTGGGGCCAGCCAGGAGTACAAGAATTCCTGATGCTTCAGCCAATCGTGGTTTTTGGATGTTTTGTTGAGACAATTGGGGATCATGTTTTATCAGATGTTATCATGTTTTTTTTGGAACAGTAATCCACCAAAAGAAAGAGATAGAGCTGGTGTCTCATCCCGAAAATCTTTAGGATTAATGGATTGGTACCAAGGAAAAGAAAAACCTCTGAAAAGCTGCCTGACAATTGGAAAATACTTCGCCAATCGACAATGCGTTCTGTTATCCCATTGCCCAGTTTGCGCTCCTGGGTATATCCTATCATGATGCCTAGTTCGAAGTGGCTATAGCCATAGCCCAAGTGCAACTGACAAACATGTGACGCATTTTCACTTCAAGAACATGTCCCAGTACCACAGATCAGTTTTCGCAGGATATAACAGAAAGCAGACTCTAAGTATCCGGCATCATTTCCAGGTCTCCAAGAAACTCTTCGGCGTCTCAGGCTGTATCCAGTTCTAAGTGGATATCCAACCACAATATAAAAAGGGGTTATATATATCACATGGAGGCTTCCTGAAATGGGGGTACCCCAAAATCATCCAGTAACTGCGACCGTTTTAGTGTTGCTTCGCAACCTTGCAAATAACCCCATGACTTAGTCGAAGCACCACCAGATCTATCCCAAGTTCTGGAACTTCCTTTGCCCAAAGAATTATGCCCATCAAAAATCCAATGTTCACATAAGATTTCATCGCATATCCTTATTATTATCATGGTTATCATTCAGAAATCCCTACAGGATAGTGCCCCCCCCAGTTATGCTTGTTAGTTTATAAACTGCATGAACTAGTTCGTGATATCTACCACAAAGCATAGACTTCAGCCACTGAAACAAGGCAACGAAACGCTATCGACTGGGGGCCCCATCCCGCATGGGTCCCTATCCCAGAAGTCCAACATCACCAATACCCTCTGGTAAACATACAAAAAGCTATTGAAAATGGCCCAGTCGAAATAGTTGATTGACCCATTATGACCCATTAAAAATGGTGATTTGACCCATCAAAAATGGTGATTTTCATTGATTTTCCACAGTTCTGTAAACGTTTACCAGAGGCTATCGTTGTCCAACAAACATCGCTCCAGCGTCCGAAAAGTTGAAGGCCGAGGCCTGCAGCGTCATCAAGGTAGCCACCAACTGCGGCTCCAGCGAAGCCACACGGCCCATGAAGGCGAACTCCAACATGTCGCAGACGAAGAAGAGGAGATCGTGGAGTTTGTTGAGGGCCACCTGGGATAGGGGAGATCGATATATCATGGATCTATATAATAATATATAAACACATATATTTTTATAGTGTCTTAGAGTCTTAGTTGAAAAAAAGGATCTATACTGGATCTAGAATGGATCTATACTGGATCACATCTTTATAGTGTTCGAACCCAGTATCAAGTAGTTAAAAAAAGGGATACCCTCTGGTAAACTACAGTAACATAACTATGGAAAATCACGATTTTTCATGGGTCAATCAACTATAAATGTGCCATGTTCAATAGCTATGTGAAATTGTCAGAGGGTAGAAGGGGATATCATGGATCTATAATTGATCTATAATGGATCACATATATCTTTATAATGTTCTATCAATTAGTTGAAAAAAGGGGGAAATGTAAACCAAGCCAAGCAGTCTATGGAAAAAAACATGTTACTCTCTGATAGTCAAACGCGGCTGGGAAATCTCCGAACTAAATTCGGAAGTGCGAATATGAGACAATTATATATCTATAGTCTATAATATGAAATACTTGTAAATGATTATAAATAACACTTAGTAATATATATATATATAGTCTACATTGTAATTATAAATGATGATGTTTCAATGTGATACCCTCTGGTGATTTAACAGTGTGCTGTGGAACATGGCCCAACTAAAAGATGAGGATTTATATACCTACTGCACTCAAAATGGTGGTTTTCCAAACCAACCATATTTTACAGGGATATATATATATATAATGGATCTATAATGGATCTATCATGGATCTACAACGGATCTATAATGGATGTATATAATGAGACAGTATCAAGAAATGGATGTTGAAGTCTGCAAAGCAACAACTTACGGGCAAAACCAAATCACATATATTCATCCATCTTGAATTTGGGGATAGCCTGGGACAAATGGGGTTAAACCAAACATATATATCATGTATCATATATCATACATCATATATCCATATTTCATTGGGATAGAAGTGGAAAGGAAACCTTTTTTGGGATACTTAAAGGATGGAATTTACTGTTCATGATTTATGCCCTTTATGCCCACATACAATAGGCATTTTGGATGGAGAAAATGATGATAATTTTGTTTCATGATCCAACATTACATGGACAAATTGCAGCAACAAAAAGTAACGTGGAAGTATAAAACAAAAAAAACAGGGGATAAATAAACATGATGTTTTATAGAGGATAAACATGATGATTTACCCAAAAATGGTGATTTCAGTAATAGTGGGGTTTAGTAAAGTTTAGTTACCAGTAATGTGGGTATGGGTCAAAATTAGGTACCCCAATAATTGGATGGTGAATACTAAACTAGACTAACATCTGTGGTCCCACATCGGTCTTCCATTTTGACCCACATCCATATGGGATGGGTTTTGGACCCAACAACTGCTGGTTGATGGGGGGCCCCAACTATTCTACACGGCACTTTTTTTTGGGGCTGGCCCCCCCCAAAAATCATCGGCAAATTTGCCTAGCCACGTCACCATTTTAAAGGAATAGCCTCTGGTTATGACTAACATAGCCATGGTATAAATGGCCCATAGAAATAGATGGTTTACCTATTAAAAATGGTGATTTTCCATGGCTAGTAGCAATAGAACAATGTTTTATAGAGGATAAACATGATGATTTACCTAAAAATGGTGATGTTCCAGTGAGCTACGTCAGTTTTTCCTGAGGGATTGGTCGACCAACCCCTGATACTGGCGTCAGGTCACTCTTCCAATTTATGGACCATGTGCCAATCTTCAAAACGATTGATAACCGGATAAGGACTCCAAACATAACAAATATCCTCTGGTAATTTAACATAGCTATTGACAATGGCCCATAGAAATAGAATTAGTTGATTATAGTTGATCTACCTATTAAAGATGATGATGTTCCATAGCTATGTTAGTTTACCAGAGGGTAACGTGGATATGAAATGTGGGTCAGTCATGAAGCAAGACGGTTGCATTCTATTTTGAGTTCATAAGGCTCTCGACAGCGTCTTCTACCCCAATCATCTACCATTTACTGTAAAAAGAAAGCCCTAAAAGAAAGCCCTAAATGCAACATTATTACCAAGCCTCACACGCAAACTTGAATCCCCACCCCCTGGACTCCCTACGTATGGTGGATGAAACAGGCAAATCCTACTGATCGTCCTACTTGCCTGTATCATCCTGATTTTTACCCAAATCCTGTTCGGGAGTAATCATATTCAACAAAATCTTAGTCTATGACTCAAAACAAAAAAGAAACAAAAAAAAAACATATCAACCCCCCTCAGCAGCGTTCACAACCCTGTGATGTCTGCATTGGTTGGTTCATAGGGATTCCTCTCGTAGATTTTGATATTCCCCTAGGGCCTAGCAGCCACTGCTCCAATTCTTGATGGTTAAATATGGTTAAAACACTGCATCGACTTTTGCTGCTTCAAACCCCCTTTCCCTAAATCATGTTCTTAACTAGATCAACCCCCATTTTTTCATGGGTTTAAAAAAAGTGAAATAGCCACTAATCTATACTAATCCAGGCACATATGCGAACTTGAACCCGGCCGTGGGTGTTCCTTTCCAGCTCCAGTATTGGAGTAGCAGCGCTGAAACTACTGTAGCCTCCAACAGATAGCCCACGATCACCTGGGCCCCCCCAGTGGCCAACGAAATCGCGCTCAAAAAAAGGGTGATTTAATGGCATTCAACTAACAAAACTGGTGATTTAAGCAAACTTGTGATTTAATGGGGACTTGATGGGATTGAGTTGACTAAATTATCGTGACAACTTCAATAGCTATAGTTCATTGATGTTCATTGGGGTTTGCAAACTATAAAAACCTTCCAGCTCCAGTGAACCTATGGCTGGCACTGGGAAAGTCCGGAACTTTCCATGGGAAAATCAGCATAGCGGCTATGGCGGATGTTCCGACGAGCCATGTAAAAAATTATCAGAACGAAAGGGTAATGCACCAAATTCTGCCAAATCATATGACATGGTGATTAATTAATAAGTTTATTAGATACCATATCAATCCATATCATTCATGATTTCTTGAATTTGGCAAGGCCTAAACTACCAGTTCACCAGTAAATCCCATATAAGTCACCATCTTTGTAGCTTGTGTCTTCTTATATCCCCGGGTCACCATCAATTTTGCTGCTTTCCCATGACTCCCCAGTCACCGTTATGTTTATGCATTTCTGGTGAAATCACCATAAAATCCCAATTTTTCTTGGTGAAATCCCCATGAGATCCCCATGTCCGGTTGGGTCAATCGCAGGCTTCGGCGCGTAGCTCAACGGTTTCGTGGCATCCTCCGCAGCCCTCGACGCCCAGAGCAAGACCCCCACCGTGACCACGGCCACTGGCAGGTCGTAGGCGGCATAATCTTCACCGGAGAAGCCGAACCTGGGACTTCTCGTGGAAAATGCAAAAAAAACACTTGGACAAATTTGGTGATTTAACTGGGGAAAATGGTGACACAATGGTTTAAGCATATTTAAACCAACAAACATGGTGGTATTATGGCGATTCGAAGAAACAAAATGATGATTTAACTGGGGAAAATGATCATACCTGGTGATTTGAGCAACACAAATCACAATTTTTAAATTGGATGTGAATATGAATGGTGGATTTAAGCAACCATTTTCTGAGCGGGAAGACAATGGGACATATTCAGAATTGAGATGGGACGGTTAATCCAGATGTGAAGTGAACTGGGACAGCAGCCGAAGCTGCTGATTTTGGCTGATACCAGTCGACAAGTTTTCCTAAGGGATCTCGACAAGCAAAAACAGGGCAAGAAACATCTGATGATGCAACCATCTATCTGATGGGAACCTCGGAGTCATTGATTTCTACTGAATCAAAATCAAGAAACACTCGGATTTAAGCAAAAAAAATGATTTGACCCACTCAAATTGGATTAAAAAAAAGTGTACTTTGTGTGGTAGTCCACGCTGGTTAGATGGAAAATCACAACTGTGCGGGGAAGTAGCTGAAAATTGGTTCCTTTCCACTGCCGTGTTTGATTACTGTTTCTGCCACCAATGTTCATTGAATTGAATTGGTTGGGGGAAAAACTCAAGGAACAAAAAAGACATATCAAACCTTCGCCTTCAAGTGCTACATGTTTATTTATATATATATATAATTACATATAATATATTATATATATAATTTATAATTATATAAATTACAGTGGACCAAACCAGAAATTCACAAGACACATCAAGCATGTCTACAACTGAGGCTTAAGGAAATATGGCACAGTATGTCCATAAGCATAGCAGGATCCATGGACCCCCAAAAAGCTCCCAAACACGTCGCAGTAGATTCCCCATGCACCACGCAACTGCTCATAGCGACTTGGAAGTACGACGCCATGATGGAAGTTGACTGCAGGCATAAAGAGCTGATACAAGAGCCTGAGTTCTGCTTCAGCCCATCTCAAAGAATCCCAAAGATATCGACTCATCATTTGGGTATGGGTTCAAACCCTTACTGTAAAAAAAACGCTGCTGTTCACACCAAAATAGCTGGGCATTTATGGATCTCCAACAATTATGGCAGCCAGATGGCTTGATCATCACGGTTGATCCATCCCCGAGCGGTTCACCCACGAGAAAAAAAACCATGCTCTTTGGAGATCTGGACGGTTCATCCCTGAGAACGGTGTCAAAAACCCATAGGATCCATAGGACCTTGGCCAAACATCCAAAAATCGATAGCCAGCCTGGTCGATTGTGGGCACCAAGCCAATCCATGGAGTTCTTCTCTGGTGTTTCCTCATTAGCATCCCTTCCCATAAATATTGTAGGGATATACATCACCAGAATTCCTTGTTGAGTAAGAGTATTGAATCTGTTCATTTCAGGCGCCTAAAGAGGATATGAGAGTTTATGCTTTTGGATTGTTCATAAACCAGGGAGCTCGTGGCTGGGCCACAATCAACTTCTGGTTGATGATTTGACCATTCTAGGACTATGTGACTATCACATCTGAAACCGCCAGAATCTTCATGTCCATGACCTTCCCGCAACCTAAACCTGGAGAATCCCTCTAGAAACCCCCACGGTTGAACCGGGTTTCTACAGCTCCAAGGCGCCAGTGTGGCATGTTGGGCCGCCGCGTGGTAACGGCCCAGGAGTTCCTCAGCACGGCCCCGAAACCGCCGTCACCTCCGACGCGAGCTCTCGCGTCCGCGTCTGGGCGCGCGGTCAGCGCCACGGCCAGGACGGCCAGGAGAGCCACGATCGCCAAAAGGGCCACGAAGCCTTGCAGTAGGCCTGGCCAAGGCAGAGACGGTGCTCTGAATATCGAGCTTTACACTGGATATGACAAAATATATCAAAATATGGGGTTCAAGGAGGTTTACAAAGCGATTTCACTGGCAAACTAAAACATGTGTTTTTTTAACGACAAAAAAAAATCAGAGGCAATCAATGGAGATGCTCAGCAACAAGAATGGGGATGGCAACCAACGAAGACAAGGATTGAATCAACATTTAAAGTTTGTCAGTTTCAAATCCCTGCCTTCTAGTGGAAGTAGTTCCAGTGTCATCAAGAAGAAAAGTCCTCACAAATGTTCGCTGATCCCGCACCGTTCCAAGCTTTAAGCCCCTGCAAAGGAGCTATGTAATTTAGGTCACAACTCCATTCAAAAGTACTGCCGCCCGACTTGTAGGTAGATTCACTTTTGGCAGAACCTTTTTCGACAAAGTGGTGGTTCTGCAATCCAAGCCATCTGGGCAAACTGCGATAATTCTCAAATCAGAAAAGTACATAGTGTAGATTTTCATGGATTTTCCCATTAAAAACACACACACACAATTTACTTCCAGAATTTCTATGGTTTTCCCAGCTAGCCGTGTTTGATGACACCGGAGGCTAAGCCACTTTAAGGTCCCAACTTGACCTGACTTCGATGAGGCACCCGTCTTCGGTCCTGATTTCGCAGCCGTCATTCCAAGAAAGATTCCAAGCACCTGACAAACGGCGGGTAGATGCTGCCGCTCTGCCGGCATCTGCCTGGTAGAACCATTGAAGATTGGAGGAACCCATACCCATAGGATCCATGGTGCTGGTATATATGCTAACATTGGGGGTATATTGATGGTAAATGTTACCATATATAGCATACATGGATCCTATGGGATATGACTGACATGGACCTTTGGACCCCTCCAAGTAGTGGGACAAACTTGACAACGCAAGTTTGTGCTTGATCATCTGTATAACATAGCAATCAAATCTCCATTCCTACCATAGAATTCGACACCAGAAAGTTTCTGGTTCAAACTCCTGCTGGATAATTCCAAAGTTCATTCAAGTCCATGTCTGATAATTTATCCGATATCGACCATCAGACCATCGTCTTATAGATAACCCATATGATATTGCGTTCTTAAATATCTGGGAAAAAATGCTGGAACCAATTCTATAAAACGAATTTGGTTTGCCTGGCCAAACATCCGAATGTGACCGCTAAATTAGCATGTCTGATCCACCTCTTGCAAGAGCCTTTTTTGCAGATGTTTCACCTAAGGAGATTCATCCCCCCAACTACCGTACTTAGATGGGCCATGGAGTTAGTTAACTAGTTAGTAAATGGATTATACTTGGGATATAGATGGATATAGGGGGTTATATCCCCAATTACTAACCAGTCAGCTAACCCCATGGCCCAACTGCCGTAGAGCCTGACAAAAATGGTGGTTGGAAGACTGCTGTCATCTACACAAAATTGCTATTCTCAGGGTGAAACTGTGGATTCCGGGGAGGGGTCATGGTTTACCCTGCACCAATCAAACGTGGCAAGGGGAAATCCATGGAAATCCCCGAATAATACATAGGTTTTTTTTGGGGAAAACCATCGAACTAAGTCACGATCACGAGAAAAACATAGAAAATCTGAAAAACCCTAGTTAATCTGATCCTTATTCCCTTCAATCCCATTAAATCTAGGGTGATTTAGTTGGGTCCAATGTTTACCACCCCTGAGCCACCTGAGGGCAAAGGCATCCAGGCAGAGGTCGCTGATCGCATTGCTTATGGCGACCCAAAAGAGTGACCAGCGCAGCTTCTCCGCTCCCGGACGACCACCCAGCTGCAGCACTTCTGGTAGTAGTGGGATGAGGGAAAGGATGGCAGCAACCATCAAGATCTGTAAGCTGATCACCAGCTTCTTGTAACCACCTGAGCAGCGAAGACTTCTGGACTTTGACTGCACCCGAATCGGAGCTGATCAGGATAATATCGTAACTTTAGAAGTGATTAATTACATCATAAATCAAGACTATCAGAGTTGTCTTGAAGCACAGGCAGTACTGTCTCTACTAGGGTATCTTTGGAAACATCTAGAAGAAACCTCGATGTGTGGATGGTCAAACACCAGCAAGAACAGCGAAGCAACAAGAAGGATCTCTCGCAGATCACTGACAACTGATGGGAGATATGATATCACCTATCAAGCCATTCTTGTATCCATTTTCTAGAAATGATCACAAGCCCGCAAGGCCTTGTGGAAATCCAAAAATACATTCAGTAATGGAATATGATGGAATATGATGGAATTATGGAAATACATGGAGATAAAGCAGATATAGGTCTTTCTCATCCCGCAAAGACCTGAAGATTCATAAGTATTTTGACCTTAAATTTCTTTGTTGCCACAAATAGAGACGTATCACTGCGATGACGGAAGATTCGCACGAATTACCATCTGGCTATTGAACAGTTCGCCATGGAAAATCACCATTTTTTAATAGGTAAACCATCTATTTCTATGGGCCATCTATACCATGGCTATGTTAGTCATAACCAGAGGGTAGATGGGGGCCCGTCACCCCAATGAACAGCTGATCACCGGCTGTTTGCAAGAGTCGCCTGTAGAAATCTCTCAAAAAACACCGGAAATTTCCTGCATCATTGCATCACTGGTTGGTGGTTTCAACCCCTCTGAAAAATATTAGTCAAGGGGAAGGATTATCCCATATATTATGGAAAATAAAACATGTTCCAAACCACCAACCAGATCATAGGTCATAGGGGTCCTCAAATCGATTTAAACTACCTAGGATGGTCAACGAGTTTTGAAAGTCACAAACTTTTCTGTCTCGGTCACAAACGCCGAACAAAAACCAGAAAACGACGAAACCCTGCATCATTCGAGCACCAAAGATCAAACACTTGGTTTTTGTCTCAAAATATGGTATATACAAGGTGGGGCCCCCCAGTTATAAGTTGGTTTATAAACTCCATTAACTATATACATAAGTACCATAAACCATAGTTATTGGAGTTATAAACCAACTTAGCTATTTTGGGGGCACCACCTTGTATCATTATATATCCATAGATTCCATAGCTATCCCCAAATCCACTGGTGAATCATCATTCTCCCAGTCAGCCACGGCGATTCATCCCCCATGGTTCAGTGAACGATCTCCAAGCCATGCCCACCTGGGATCTTCTGAGCACCGTAGTCTGCCAGTGGTGCAAAGAACACCTTCAAGGCTGATGGCAAACGCACAATGGCCAGGGTTTCCGACGCGGCCAGGGACGTTTGGTTGCGATTCAGAAGCTGGGGGATGGTGTTGTCGCTCAACCTGGACAGGTTAAAACTCGGGAAAAATGCACTTAAGGTGATTGAACAAGAATGGGTGTATTTGAAAATGGAGATATTCAAAAAATGGTACAGGTGGGGAAAATGATCGTGAACGATCAAACCCAAATCATCCTAAGTGCGATGAGAATAAGGATAAAGCAACAGATCTATGCATTTGGGGATCCTTATTGGGGGGAAGGTTGTAAACTCAAAAGTAAACCACCCTCCATTCATCCAATTTCCCATCTACGGGTATCAAAAACCGTACCACATAATACATATGTTCGTAACGATTTGCTTGGCTAACACCGGAAAAAAAAAAAACTGATTATTAAAAAATAACTCAACCACCCAGAAACTTGGAATTACTTGGTAAAGACTGTGAAAACTAATGTGAATGAACGTGAATGAACGACACCCTCTGGTAATTTAACATAGCTATTGAACATGGCCCATAGAAATAGTTGATTTACCTATTCCCAGATGGTGATTTTCCATAGCTACGTTAGTTTACCAGAGGGTAATGCACCCCAGCAACCCATAGAGGCACCCCTGGATGGCATACATGGCTGCAACGGCAAGCAGCAGCCCCCGCATAGCGCCACTATCAATGTCCCGCGCGAGGGCATGGGTTAAAGAGTCGGTGGCTCAAGAAATGGCTCATGCGAGATCCTTTTTTTTGGGTGATTTTTCATGATCACATGAAATGTTGATGGAGTTTATTTTGGATGTTCAATCTAATTTTGTAATTTAATGGGATTACACCTATTACGATAATTTGCGGCTATTTATATATAATTTTATAATGTTTTTTTGGGGGGATTTAGTGGTATCATTCAAAATGGGGGACCACAAAATGAACCAACAGTTTTTGATAAACACGGTTGGCTGAAATGCTTGTGAATTAGAATAATTAGATTGCAACGGGACAAAGACGCAAATTCTGACAAAAGCAATTTATTCATGTTCTGTTCGCTGTTGGCAGCACGTATGAGACAGTGACGTCAGTCCAAAAATTAGGACATTTTCGATAAGGGGTCGGTGGCTAGTTTCAAGCTATCCGGAACAAGACTCATCCGAACAGTGATACTAAAAAATCGAACCAACATTCATCAAAACAATGCAGATCTTTTAGGACCACGAAAAAAGCAGAGAAAAAAGACAACTTTGATGCGGATGTTGACCCAATCCCCAGTGACTTGACCCAGTTTTTAAGCCACAAAAAAGACCACGACAGCAACGCGATGAGTTCCGCACCGGCGCGCGCGGCGCTGAAGTCATCTGAACCTCTGGGGCATCCGGTCATCCCGTGACCTATTGGGGGGATTGGAATCTGGAAAACTTCAGTTGGTTGATGTGTGTTCTGTTATGATAATGTTGTCCTGTTCATAAAAATATCTGTTTATATGATATGGTTCTATCAAAATTGTTCCATATTCATTATTTATATCTGTTTATATTTGGTTCTATAAAAATAATGAACCATATATCAATGTTAATGGTTCTATATATTAATGGTTCTATAAAATATGGTTCCAATGGTTCTATATATTAATGTTGTTTATATATTTGGTTTATATGTGTGTTAACATGTGACATTATCATAGAGTTGAATGGGATGACCCGAGCATCCCGAGCACCAGACCTTAAGGTATCACTCCAGAGGACCCTTTTTCGTTTTGTGGGGTCAATCTCCACAAGATGTTACCACTTTAATACAGGGGTGATATACTTTATAAATAAATATAATATAATATAATATAATATAATATATATATAATATATACCCTCTGGTTATTTAACATAGCCATGGAACATGGCCCATTTATAGATGATTTTCCCATTAAAACCTCCATTTATGGTTGGGATTTTCCATGGCTATGTTAAATAACCAGATGGTATATATATATATATCATAAACCAAACGAACATTTAAACCATCAAATTTGACGGTACCTGGTTTTGAGTCTGACGCATTTGCTGCTTCAGTGCCCATTTTGGCTGGCTGTATTGCGATAATTTACGAGCGGTCCCAAACCATATTTGTTCAGCCATTTTTAGGATAACTCTACGAGCATCAACAATAATTTATGGGGTGTGATTCTTGTGTGAGGCTCCTACAAATGATCAAGAACTAACTCAAAAACACGCTCTCTTAAAAAAAAAAAAACACGGTAAATCCCACATATTCCCACGTCGTGTGGTTCGAATCATGCAGTTTCGCTGGGTGAATTTCCTCATTCCCATAGGATCCATGTATGGTATATATGGTAACATTTACCATCAATATACCCCCAATGTTAGCATATATATATATACCATACATGGATCCTATGGGAATGAGTGTCATGTTGGGCTGCTGAAACTGCATCCGCCACGATTTTGTCCTCGCTCTCAACGGCTCAGGTGTTCCAGCATCTGGAGCACTGGCCCTGGCAACTTTCCTCAGATTCTGCAGGATATGGATACGGATGGAACTGGCAGACCAATTTCTTCCCAATGACAAATGACAATAAGACTATATCAAAAGATGGGAATTCCGTGAGGTCTAATTCTTTGGAATGTGATGCATGCACTATAAAAACACCAAGTTACGTGGCCCAATGACACATGAAAATCATCATGGGGAGGAAGATGATCCACATGGAACTCCCAGAAAACAGGGATTGTTGCCTTCCATGTAAGTTGTTGTATCTGTATCTAATCAACATGCACGGATGTATATACAATTTTTTTTATGGTTCACCGGCCCATGTTCTCCAATCAAGATGGGGGTAGTAGTCCGCCAGAGATATGCGGATCAAATTCTTGATTGATATTTGACGAGCAAAAGCATGGACTTGTTTTCTTTCGCGAGAGGCTTCCCTCATGAGTCATCTTCGGCCATGTTTGGAGCAAAACTGTGGCTATCTGCACAGTCTTTGCTTATACTCACAATCAAAGAGTCGTGCAAAAAAAAATCCTTGGTATCCATTGGCTCCGTCTTACATAGGCATGAAAGGAAACATGAATCATCAGTCAGGACATTTTGGGCAGTTCTGTCTCTTCGGACTCTTTTTAGATCTTTTTTTAAGAGCTCCTTTTAGAGCTGCCAGGCCACGTCCAGGCAGCCTCAAGAGTCGTCATTTATTTGTCATCGCGATCCGCAGCAAAAGTGCAATTTCATCATGGCCCCTCTGAGTTGCGACCTGCCAAGGGGTTGTTCGAACGCTGCCGCGATCTGTTCCAGCTTTGTCAACATCGGCTCCGGCCTCAATCAGCAACCGCACAATTTTATACAATTTTGAGGTGGCCATTCTCAGCAGCTATGTGCAACGACGGTGGAGCCGCCTTCGACATACCCTGTTTGTCCAGTCCAGTGTGAGTCTGGGGTTCGTCGACGTCGGCTCCACCAGCACGCGTAATTACAACTTCCCAATGGCCCGCACCATTTGCGAAGCGCTGCGCTCCGCAGTTGCGAGCCAGAGTTCCTCCAGCAGATGTCAACACTCTATCCACGTCAAGTCCTGCCCCAGAAAGAACACAACCTCAGCATGGCCATTCTGAGCTGCGATCTGCAACGCTGTTGCACCAAAGTCAAGCGTTGCGAGATCTGTGTCAGCTCCACCCTCAATCAACATACGAGCTACTTCCATATGGCCGTTCAAAGCTGCGAAGTGCAATGGGGCTGCACCAGAGTCAAACCTTCCCAGGTCTGTGTCAGCGATGAATCAACAAAGCAGCGCAGTCCCCATTGCCATTGCTGGCTGCACAGTGCAATGGTGAACGACCTGCAACATCTTGGGCATCTTTCTCTGCCGCCTGAAGCAGCAGCATTCGTTTTGCATGTCCCCAGCTGCCTGGTGCAAAGGAGCTTGCCCATCTGTATCTGTCACAGTGGGGTTGCGAGGACATTGAAGCAACTTTTCCAACATCACCAACATCACCAACAGCATCTTCATGGTTTCACAGCAAAATACTTCATCTTGAATCTGCTTGGAGGACCCGTCTCCCGACAGGAACCATTCCGAGCCGGCAGAAACTGTTTCACTTCTTCAGCAGTCCATAGTCCATGCCTTCAGCAGTTCATCTACAACAGCAAGTCTCTTGAGGGATACTGCCGAGTAGACCACATTGGATACATTGGCTCTGGCTACGCTGGCTACGGCCACAGAAGGCTTAAGGATTTCTCCGCACTACCTACCCTTGAGCGATGAACAAATTGGGGTCAACATGTCACGCCCAACCCGCAGATCAAAGGTTCACCTTAATGGGCTGAGAGGCTCATCCAGATTCCAACCCCCAAAAAATAGAACGTAAAAATCCTACGAAACCTGGTTGGTGGTTTCAACCCCTCTGAAAAATATGAAAGTCAGTTGGAATTATTATTCCCAATATCTGGAAAAATAATCCAAATGTTCCAAACCACAAACCAGAAATAAATGGTAATTCGCCTGTTCTGTCTTTTTGGGTGGTACTATCTGTGCAACATACCATATATGATAAAAGAGACACCACGAAGAGTTCGAAGGGTTCATTAGTTGACTGGCACAGCGCACAGCTGATGAGAACTATGACATGCCATACATGACCTACATGTCCTCTGTCTCAAGAGTTTCAAAATGCTTGCCCGGTGCCAATATCAAAAAGATCATGAGGCCCTTGGACTGTCCTAAACGAAAATCATCTTTCCCTCTGATACTGTACTCAAACACGGTTTGCTGGATTTTTTTCCATATACTTCGATTCTTTTCCATTCTTTTCCCAGCTAGAAATCTCCAAGGAGATTTACAGCCGGCAATGTTTGAATAATGGTGGGTAGGGTCTTTTTTCATTGGGCTTCCAGCCACACCTCTGATCCCTGGTCTCAAGCTTCATGCTCCGCAAGGCAGTCGTAGTTCTTTCCCAAGAGCTGCGGGTTGGAGCGGATGGCCTTGTTGTAAGCCACTTCGCTCTTCAGATAGCTGGGGGCAGTCTTCTGACCAGAGCTGAGCTCTTCTGCAGCCAATCCTAGGACTTCAGGGAACTTCTTCACCCAGTCCTGCGGCTGGAACGGGGCAAGCGATTCTTGCACGTGGGACCGGGTAGTAAACTACAGATCTAACATTCCTCATTCAGAAAAACCTTCTTGAATCATCCCGATTGGATGATATACCCAATTTTGAACCATCACCAATCACCACACCCAATTTTGGCACAAAAATCGAGGCGCTCTAAGAGTAGCTTAATCCACTTATGAGAACCCCAAAACAGACAATCGGAAGGTCGCCAACTTTTACTGGCAGCCGACACATCAAAACCTACTTGCTGGGGATTGCAAACTACAACTATATCTACATACTATATATGTGTGAGGTGCATGTAAGATAGTCAAATAATAAGTATTGTTTAAACATTTAAGCTGAAATTGCTATTATACAGTAGACTTCAATTCATGGCTATTTTTTCGGCAGTAGTAGTAGCCTTGATACATTAATATAATCACATATTATCATTGAATCATTATTACTATTATCTACATTTTTTTCCTATACATCAACTCCCCTCCCAAAAGTTATATACATGTTCTGGTTGGTGGTTTCAACCCCTCTGAAAAATATGAAAGTCAGTTGGGATGATTATTCCCAATGGAAAAATCATCCAAATGTTCCAAACCATCAACCAGTGTATAAATAAGTTCTGAAGTTATGTGTTGTTTCCCTCAAAGTTCCCATCCCATCTACCCACCTACCATCTACTTAGATGGGGCCATGGAGTTAGTTAACTAGTTAGTAAATGGATTATACTTGGGATATAGGGGGTTAGTTAATCCCCAGTTACTAACCATAAATCGCGTCAGCTTCCCATGGCCCATCCCATCTACCCATGCCACCCCCCAACCGCTCCTTCCGCGCCAGGTCCTTCTCCTTGAGCCACCGCACGGTCTCGCTGACTGCCTCCGGCTGCGGCTGGGCCTCGAGGCGGAGCTTCCGCCAGAAGCGGCGGCTCTTCGGTGTCCAGGCGAAGCCTCTGAGGGGCGGCGCGGCGTACGAAGCCATGGGAAGTTGATGAAAAATGGGGGATTGGAATACCTACCTACCTATGCTATACATGGTGGGGCTCAGGGGTCGATATATGTCAACTATTGAATGGGTTTTAATTTAAAACCAAGAATATATCCATCATGATGAGTTCATTTATCATTTCAAAAAAGGGGTGTTCTTCTGAATTCAGATGGGAGTTCACCCGCGAAGATGTAAACTTTGGAAAAAACCACCAAGAAGATGTCACCAACAAACATGGTGATTTCATGATTTTACTGGCAGGAATGGTGACTCGCTTGGGATGTTCAGGATGTTCACCTTCAAACAATGAGATTTCATGGGGTTGATTGGGATTTAGTCACTTAAGCTGTTGTTTTTCACATTTTTTCACCATGAGATGGGCCATGGAGTTAGTTGGTTAGCAAGTCGATAACCCTGGCGATACAATGCCCATATTATTTAAGGGAGCATAACACCATTGCCCATCCAAGTGGTGTTTTTTTGGTGCACAACATTACCTGAGAGTGAACAGAATCATTGAACAATTCCTACATCAGTAGAATATCAGTGATGTCAACCCCGGATTAATAAACCATGGTTTATTAATTAGGGGGTATTCCTCCCAATAGTCATAATCTAATACTTACATGGTACCCTCCCAATTAAACAACCTAGGGGTTTATTAATCCAGGGTTGACATTAGTGCTGTGCTAAACCACAACTCAAAACCCCCTGCTTTTTTTGTCATGATCGGATTTTCACCCCTCTAACTGGATCGATCTGAACAGTGCGGGTAAGCCAGACGTTACGTTGTGGATGCTTTCCGAGTTTTTACAACTATACCAATCTATACCATATATTTATAACTATACACTATATTATAAAACTCCATGGGTAGATATACAGTTATATTCATATTTTGACCCATCAAGTTATTGATGTAGACTCCAAAACAGTACCCCAATAACTTGACCCATACCCAAAACAGCGCCTGCTTGCAGCCACTGCTGCGCGTCTTCCTCGCTGCTTCCTTCAATGCCAGCCACAACCGCTGACACGCTCTCCTCTGACAGCTGACCATCAGCAATTTCTGAGGTATCCGGCAACTGAACCTCATTCGGTATGAAAAAAAAAGTACCCAAAAATCTGGTCACTTCAAATCTTCCAAAAACAACACTATATATATAATATTATAATGTAGTATCCCGATTAGTGTGGTGGGTCGGTATTGTGTCAAATTTTTCCAAAATAATTCTGAATCAGTGTATTTGTTGGGGTGGGTCGGTATTATGTCAAGTTTTTTTCTGATGCCATGTTTTTTTGTTCAGCATTTTTTTACTTTTGGTTTTTTCATTTTATTAAAAATAGTTATATAATTAATCATTTAATTAATACTTGCAACATGTTTTTGAACATACAAAAAACAATTATAGCATGCCTTATTAAAATACCATTAAAAAAACAGCACTCAAACAATTTTTCAAGGGGATAGCCCATGAGCAACCTTGATCTTCAATAGTATGGTTGTTTTTGGGGTTCTCTAGTGTGTCCAGTTTTTTTTGACGCGTTTTTTTTCACAAAATCAGTTTCTCCTTTCCTTTGCTATAGTTCTTGACTCTTACTTAGTTCAATTCTCCTGGCATCCTCTCCTTGATTTCTATGGTATTTCTATGGGAATTCTATGTAATTTCTATGGTGGTTCTATGATATTCTACGGTGTTTCTAAAGGTGTGTCTATGGTAGTTCTATGGGATTCCTATGGGGTTTCAAAAGGATGTCTATGGGATTTCATGTGGATTCCTATGGGGTTTCTGTGGTATTTCTATGATATTTCTATGGGATTTCTTTGGGGTGTCCATGATATTTCTATTGGATTCGTATGGTATGTCTATGAGATTACTATGGGATTTAACAATGATTTCTATGGTATTTGTATGATATCTCTAGAGGATTTCTTTGCGAATTCTATGGGATTCCCATGAGGTTTCTTTGGAATTTCTATGGTGGGTCTATGATATTTCTTTGGGATTTCTATTGGATTCCTGTGGGATTTCCATAGTATTTCTATATATTTCTATGATATTTCTATGGGATTTCTATTGGATTCCTGTGTGATTTCTATGGGATTTCCACGGTGGTTCTTTGGAATTTCTCTGGGATTTCATAGGGATGTCTGTGGGATTTCTATTGGATTTCCATCAGATTTCTATGGAATCTCTATGGTATTTCTATGATTTTTCCATGGGATTTCTCTGGGATTTCTGTGGGATTTCCATGATATTTCTATTGGATTTCTATGATATTCTATGGTATTACTATTGGATTTGAAGGTAAATTGAAAATCAATTGAAATCAATCAAAACACTTGAAAATCAATTGAAATCAATTGATCCAATTTTATTCAGTAGCCGGTCCCTAAAAAACATCATCTTAAAGAGAGTCTCAGAATTGTTTGGGGGGGCCTACACTAATCAAGATCCGACATTATACATATTACATCATATTACATCATATTACACCTATATATATATATTACATATAATATAATATTATATATATATATATTAATATCATTATATAATTCTATAATTATATATTATTTATCATATACATCGTTCAAGTACTACATCTATCTTAGTACCTCCCATCTCCCACCATCCCCACCCCGTTGGCCAACCGTCTCCTTCCACGCTTCAGACGTCAGATCCGGCTCGGCACAGACGGCCGTTCTTCCCTGCGCTGAAAACCGGCCACCGCGCGGCGCGCCGCAAAAGGCCACCGCGCCCAGCGCGAAAACTGTGACGACCACGGCACGGCCGTGGCGCATGCGGCGCGGCATGGCGCTGGTCCGTGGTCCGAAAAATGTTGGGGCAGGGGCAACCCTATGGGCAGGAAATGGCATGGCAGAGCAATTTCGAATCTTCACTCATATTCCTTAGAACTGCAATATGACTTTAGATCATCCCCGACAAAAAATACTGCTGGGATCTGCGTGTGATCTTCTCCCCATCTCATATTTCAGTGGCTGATAGGTAAGAAATAAGAAATAAGACTGACTGAAACTTCCCCAAAAAAAACATAATATGGAATATTCACTATGCATACAGACAGAGCCTACCTGGTTTGCCAGTTTCAGGCGTATGGTCCCATTTTCACATATTTGGCTCAATCTGAAAATTGGGTACTCCTAATTACATTGGTTAATCATAACTTTCCTAGTAAAATTGCCATTTAAAGGTATACCCCATTTTCAGACACACCTATAGCTTATCATCTTGTTGGTTGTATAATGTTATATATCCCACCAAGTCCCATTAAGTCCCATTCCATCCCATTAAATCACCAATTTGGTCGGTGAAATCTCATTAAATGGCTACTGGTTCACAGTCTTCGCACCCCTGTCCAAGGCTGAAACAACAGAAGGCGCTGAAGGCGGGGGCGGCTGCTGCCTAGGCACAAATACCGGAATGGCCTGACAGAGAGGAATGAGATTTGTTGGAATACCGTACTAAACCCACCATAAAATCCATGATAAAGCCGTATAAAAACCATATCATATGGTACACTGGTACACCAAATTCACGGTTGATGCAACTAATTTCCACTCAATAAAACTACCAAAAAATACGATTTGAGGGTCGGAACTTTTGAATAGTTTTGGACCCATCCCCAACTGATTTGATCTGGGTACTTATAAGGTGGGCCATGCAAATACTTCACTGGTTAATAGGTTAGTACTAGTAGCTCCGTTATATTCCCTTAATCCCTTGCAACTAGCAGTATATGTCATGGAACATCATGGAAACCACTTACCAACTAAAACTACATGGCCCGTCTAAGTTCGATAAATCAATTCCTCATCTTATACCATCCGGCAATTTCGCAAACCATAGAAAATAACCCATTTTCATAGGATCCATGTATGGCATATATGCTCACATTGGGGGTATATTGATGGTAAATGTTACCATATATAGCAGCACCATGGATCCTATGGGTTTACAGTGACAGCCTATTTAGCCATAAAATTAAAACAACTTAGCTATCTTGGGGCCCCATCCTGCGGTGATTGTCGTTCTCCATGTCTGGGGTCCACACATTGGAGGAGGCGGTAGCCTGGGATGTGGATATTTTCTGGACCCTAAGTTGAGTCGGTGGAGCCATCCTTGTCATGTGGGAATCCCTGAAAATGCTGATCTCCCAGAAAATGGTTCCTGGATTGGAATGGAAAATTCGGAACCTCTCAGGGATCTAACTTGGGAGGTTCCTGCTTGGGATATGGAGTCAGCTCGTAAGTGGCTTGCAAGCCACTTACTATATACCCAATAAAGTAGGGGAAAGAAACCAATTACAAACCAACGAACTCCACAGCCCATCTAAGCATGTCAAGAGATAGTACCAGTAGGGTCTGTCTTTTCGGCTTCTGTAAGAAGCTATGGCTACCGTTATGGCCTACATTTGGGGCTGGCCTTTTGGCTACCGAGGCAGATCACCGGCAGGCTGGTAGGGTCAAGTTATATCCCCGGCCCGCCCACTGTGGTTTGGCAATCTCAAAAGTTGACCATGCTCATTATGTTGAAGGATTTTCAGGGCTTGCCATTTCGAAAAACCCAAACCTGGCTCTGGGTGGTCCAAAATTGGTGGAACGGTGGAACCATCCTGATTTAGATGATTCATCATACATGTTGAGTTTATTTGAGCAATGGCTTGCAAGGTCAGAATAGCGAAGCGTACATACCCTGATCCTCATGTTCCGCGAACAAATTGGTTGAAAATGGTTGAAGCGCCCCAAGCTTACCAGGTTAAATATAGTTATATAAATCATGTTAAATACCCATGTTGGTAAAATCCACATTGTTGGGAGGCTCACCATGTTTGATGCTAAAAAGAAAAAAAACAAACACCTCGCCTTCGCCCACTGGACATGGAGGACGGCATATGCGCCTGAACCAGGGCTTTGCAGGTCGGTTTTCACCGGTCAAATTTGGGCACCCTGGGGGCCATCATATTGTTCCATACATAGTTGGAATCCCAGCTATTTCTTATGGATCTAAAAGGTTGGTTTGGTGGTTTCAACCCCTCTGAAAAATATTAGTCAGTTGGGATGATTATTCCCAATATATAGAAAATAAAACATGTTCCAAACCACCAACCAGAAGGATAGATGTGGGTAGCTGGTAGGCCTACAGCGCACTAATCATTGATGTGATGGGTCAAACAATTGTTTCGGCCCTGCTTGGTCAACTACCCTAGATGCCTCGTTCAAAACGCATCAAGTATCTATGGATAACGAAATCTACCGACAACAAATTCACCAATGCACCAACCATAAAATTAGAGATTACCGGTTGACCAGGAATATGATGGAATACGAACCACTGCGATTAGTTCAAAGTTGCCAGTGGTTTATGGTTGAGCCGCCCAAGAGTTTGGCCCAAAATAGTGTGAATTTTGGTGACACACAGTACAAGTAGCACCCCCGATATCAAGGATTCATATGTCACACGAAACCCCGGAAAATCAAATGCCATTATGGAGCGTGACTCCCAAACCCTCAACATCCGAAAAACATGTCTTGGTCAATCGCCTAGGTCAAAACCGGATCCCTGCATTTCGAAAAACTATATCATTCAATCATTCGGCGATCAAGCATGGTGGAGAATGCACCATTTATAATACTTATATGGTTTTCCATTCAAACCCTCCATGTTGAGGGATTTTCCAGCCAGACCCATCCCTAAACAAATTCCCCCCTCTCGCACCTCTTGAGGCTCTGGAACCTGCCACAAAAAAAATCCTCCCAACTCTGCAAAATTCCTACCCAGAATCCCATGGCTGCCGTTTGTTGTCATCTGGGTTTGTCTGAAGATAGGCTACCCTCTGGTAAAACTAACATAGCTATGGAAAATCACTATTTTTAATGGGTAAATCCACTATAAATTGCCATTTTCAATAGCTATGTTAGTTTACCAGAGGGTACCTGGGGTACCCAGATGACATCCCATTTTACCCCAAAATCTCCAAAAAGTTGATGGTGAAGCTCATGTGGCGACAGATCCAAAAATCTCATGCTTAGATATTCCCCGAAATGATCTTCAGTCCCACTATATTTATCCATATTTATCCCATGAAATCACAATGTTTGCTTGGTAAAAGTCATTAAAAAGCAAACCATGTGTGATTTAATCACCATTAAATCACCATTAAATCACAACATATATCCCATTAAATCACCATTTCTGTTGCCGATGATCTCCACATCGAGGCGGCCTCAGGCATCGGCATGTTCACCTCCACCCTCGGTGCTGGTGCCTGCAAAAAACCCGCATGGAATCCGTGGGATGAGGGATGGTCGTGGTAGAATTTGAAGCAGGGTTTATAGGGGTTTAATGGGATTTAATGGGATTTAATGGGGTTTATAGGGTTTATCCACCCATGGATGATTGGTTTAATGGGATTTGATTTGGGTTGATAGCTGATTTATGAATATTTATGATAGCTCAATTTACTTCTAACTCGGAACTAGCAGTTGGCCTCTCATGGAGGATAGAACATTACGAACTAGTCAATGTGAACATGGTGTATAAATCAACAAACATAACTGGGAGGCCTGACCTTGTTTAAAAAAATGGGATTGATGTGATGTCTGATGAGAGTATTATAAGTAAACATAATTGAGATGTATAAACTAGTTGGTTGAGATAACTAGACTCACAGTTGGCTTTATGGTGATGAAATGAGTATAATTATATAGGTGGGTTTAACCCAACCAGCATGCTTTATCAATGTTGGAGTGCCATTCCTAGGAGTAAAAACAAGTACACTATCACTCTTTTTCGCATCCGAATGTACGTATATAAATAAATACATGTATGTATATTCTATGTATATTATATGTAAATATGTATATATAATATATATAATGTATATATATATATGTATATATATATATATGCAATGTACTAATCAACGCAGCTGTTTCGTTGTGACATCGGTCGGTTTGGCGAATCGTTCTTTCCATTGCGGTTTCTCCCTGGGATCCAGAAAATCCCAGCACCATGCGACTCGCAGGGAGAAAGATCCCATAACTACAAGGTGGTGCCCCTCCAAGAAAAAAACTCCATATAATATCCCAGAAATATCCCAGAAGGGGATACATAAATATTAAAAAAACACAGTTATAAATATGAATTATAAGCCCAAAAAAACTAGTTCAATATATCACCTATAAACCGTAGTTGGAATTATATCTATAAACTATGACATTTCCCGTGTGGCGGCCAGGTCTGGAATGTGCCTCTGGCATAGGCACATGGATCTCCATGCGAGGCGCCTGGGCATGACCAAATATGTGTATTTGTATATATAGCCTATAATATATATATATATAATCAAATTCAAAATCATAAATATACATACTGTAAATATACAACTCTATACAGACGTATCTTTCCACATTTTCTCGCAACACGTTAACACACCGACAAACGTATTCCCAACCCTTTGGTTAATGTCAGGATCCGGAACTTAACCCGTATAGCTGGAAGCCTCTGAAGATTTAATGAGCAAAATATCACCAAAATGATACAACATGTGTCCTTTCAAATCATATATATAATATATGATATATATATATATATGCATATATATATATGATATATATATATGATATATATATATATATATGTGATATATCATATATGATATATCATATATGATATATCATATATGATATGTACATATATGTACAATATTTGTTGATTACAATTCATATCACACATGATGTGGCTTGGATAATGTTGGATATGATGATATGTGCGTCAGCTTGGGTATGGTTACAATGTTCAAAATGGGGAAGCTCGAACCATGTCTTGTGCAATTCTGACACCCTAGCCAACTGTGGAGCAGCATCGAACAAAATCCCCTAGCCAACCATGGCTTTCAATACTAAATTGGACAGACAAATTTTGGATGCAGTATAAACCACTACTAACCATAAAATTCAATAGTAAAATGGTTGTTGATGGTTAAAAAAAACATAGGAGGAATCCGGGGCATCCTCATTGCAGGAAACCTCCATATTCCATGACCCTTAAATTGGAATGGAGCCGTAAAATCCCCGGATTTGGCGAAGCGTCGCCTCCCGCATTTGCCGTGGCAACTCCGGTTCAACGACCTGGAGCAGCATGGCTCAGCATGACCAAAACATAGCCATGTTCCACCGCGAGAATCCTCAACTTCTGAAAGTATCTGTGAATAGAAATCGAACAGTCGAAAAAACACAGTATTCGGATTCCACTTTTCTGATCTTTCCTCTATTGATTCATGGAGATGGAATTCAGAATTCCCAGAGGTCCTTTTTGAAGCTCGCTGGCCGAAATCCACATTTTGACAGCTCGAGGTGCCCCAGATCGAAAATGGGCCGTGAAGCGCTTAAAAATGCTGGGACCTTGGGTATACAAACATCTGCTTGGTGGTTTCAACCTACCATTGGTTGGTAATCTACTGTTAATATTAATGGTTTAAGATTGATGGTTATTATATGGTTAATGATGGTTAATAATGATCTGGTTGGTGGTTGAGCCTACCCCTCTGAAAAATCATGGAGTTCGTCAGTTGGGTTTACTATTCCCAATATGATGGGAAAAATCATCCATTCATGTTCCAAAGCACCAACCAGACATGGTTAAGTCGTCTAACAGATACATCCCCCCTAGGGCCCTAGGCCCTAGAGCGTGATCATCACGTTATCCCATCTCTGGTGGTTACATGTGGTTTTGTGAAACTTCGATGCGATTCCATGGGTCACAGCAGATATCCCGACGCTTAAAATTGGGTGGTTATGAAATGTACTGAACGTGACAAGTCCAAACGTTTTTGGTCGCCATAACCTCTCCAGACATATGCCCAAATAGATCCAAATTTTGTATATCGTGTTCATAATTAGTTCATATAGTCGGTTGGTTGTATCTCCTTTTCACAAATCCCCTGAAGATCCCAATCCGCATCTCTCATGTCGTGCAGGCTGCCTGCCTCGTGCACCGGAGTGGCTTCGGAAACCTTGAGGCGGCTGGAGGTTGGGGGTAGGATGAACCCAATGGCCGGTCAATGGATGGTCAAACAATGGATGGTCAATAACAACGAACATATTTACCAACTTACATAATATAATTGATACATACATATATATATATAATGATATAATTATATATATATAATATCTCTATATAATTCTATATATATATATACCCAGCAAATCCTATATAATTCCCTGAATTTCCCACATGACCTTAACATTTTGACCGCGGACTCGCTTCACCGGCGCGCCTTCGGCTCGGGTTGGACACGAGGCCCCTCCCGTAACGCCTTGGGCTGTGGGGAAACCGAAGTTGCAATGCAGCTACAAGAGGTTGTAACTTAGGTTAAACTCATAACTATGCAGAAAACAAAGGGATTATAGCAAATTTTAATAATTTTTATAACTTAGGGTTAAAAACCCAAACATATCCGGTTTTCGGAAAGGGAAGTATGATGAAATATGCGAATTATGAGTGGTGTTAAGCTATTTCTCCAGGTTATGAGCCAATTTAATGCCATTTCGGGGTCCCAACTAACAATCCTGGACCATCTCCAATCCATGGCCTATCAGTGGCGTGTCCTGCGCATGAAAAATAATAAGCAATAAACAAAGCCCATATGCTCCATGGTGCTGGAATATTTACCAACATTTGCCCTGAAAATCACCCAAATGTAGGTAAATATACCATACATGGAGAATCTGGGAAGCATATGTCATGGATGATTCATATAGGTCCTATTAGGTGGTTTGGGAAGACGATTTTCCAGAAATGGCATGAAATTGTTAGAATTGGTCCTACATAGATTGGGTCCCTTTAGACAGCAATTTTCTGAACCCAGCGGGAAGAAACTTTCACAACAAATCTCAAGTATTGGATGACTTACATTTTGTTGTGATGCTCTCCGAGCTGCTCTCCAGTAAATTATAAATATGGTTGGTGGTATACCAACCCCTCTGAAAAATATGAGTTCGTCAGTTGGGGTTACTATTCCCAACATGATGGGAAAAATAATCCATTCATGTTCCAAACCACCAAATATGCTCACCATCTACCCCATCATGTTACCATATATACCAGCACCATGGATCCATATGGATCCTATGGGATGGAAGATATTCTCAATGAGATATCCTTTTGGACTCCCCCGATGACTGGGCCCTGGAACTTGCATATCTTTGTTGTGAAAAATCACACGGCAGGACAATGACCCTTTTACAGATGACTTACCCATAGGATCCATGTATGGTATATATGGTAACATTTACCATCAATATACCCCAAATGTTAGCATATATACCAGCACCATGGATCCTATGGGTTAGGATGACTTTACAGATGAAAAATGATGGAAATACCCATAGCTTCGTGATCCACAACCTTGGTCCTTCTGCCTTGTCAGACTTGTCAGTTATCCACTTATCGAAAAGGAAACTCGGTCAGTTCTCCTGGCCATCAGTTACCCATAGGATCCATGTATGGTATATATGCTAACATTGGGGATATATTGATGGTAAATGTCATCATATATAGCATACATGGATCCTATGGGTTATAACTGGTGATATCTGGGTATTGACTATGGTCCAATGGTTACTATCTCAGTTCTCCAATCAGTTTTTTCACTTCGTTGCTCTGGTTTCACCATGTTTCACCCACCTCTCCACAAAAATTTCACCACCGACCAGGGCCCAGTACACCAACCAGGGCCCAAAAATCCCGGGATGCCCGACACGAAGTTGTTCCTGCCGCTCTTCTTCCTGGAGAAATGTCGTGGAAAATCTACTGACTTGGTGGCCCCGCAGTTCGAAGTTCGTTGAAAAAAACCCATGAGTTCTAGGTATAACTTATACCATCTGGTTATGACTAACATAGCCATGGAAAAACACAATGTTTAATAGGTAAACCATCTATTTCTATGGGCCATTTTCCATGGCTATGTTAAATAACCCAAGGGTATAAGCCACTATAATCCCATGAATCATGGTTAATCGTGGATATGTGGATGACTCATGGATATGTAAATCTCGTGAATACCAATATGGTATGGTTTAGAACACCATTAATTCATATAAAATGTGAATATCTTCTGCAATAAACCACAGGTTTTGAGGATATAACATGATACAAGTCAACTTATGGTCAGTTTAGCTACTGTTTAGGGGTCCCAGCTTGCAGCATCTCTTGCGGTCTATAGTTCCCCATGGATCCCCATGTTACCGCACAAGCCATAGCTCTTTGGACGTTGTTCATCCGGGGTTGATATTGAAATGGATGTATAACTTATATAACCATACTATTAATTATATACGGTATATAATAGTATATATATATATATGTATACCGGACCTGTATCCCAATTGTTTTCAACGTATGGTTGTTATAACTATGGCCTTTAGCCATTGATAGCCCCAACTGCACCCGTTCTCCCGTTCTCCCAAGTGACGAACTGCGTTCGCGGGCGCCTCCATTCTCTCACGTTCGCGGGCGCGCTTTTCCAACAGCCGCAATTTCTCCTGGGGAGAAATGGGGTTGGTAATATACTATTAATATACGGTTTATATTAATGGCTATAATATGGTTTATGATGGTTAATATATATATATATATATATATGGTTGGTGGTTTTAACCACCTTGAGAAACATGAAAGTCAATGGGAAGGATGACATCCCATATATGAAATGGAACATAATCCAAATGTTTGAAACCACCATTTCCCATTTCAGAAATGTCTGTGAAATTTGAAGCTGCAAAAATCTCTCACCAGCCAGATGTGATGGCACGTCACTTTACCAAGACACTGGGCACGAACCGCTGGGATGATCCTCTAAGTTGACACAACCCTTCCCCATGTGTTCAAACCAGCTTGCCACGTTGGATAAAACCAGAGGCTATCCGCTTGAGAATCTATAAATTCCATATGAAATTCCGGTACATGACCATAATTACAGGGATGATATCCATATATACCATGGTTATATCAACTCGTGGGCGTTGGGAATGGTTTAAGACACCAAAATGGTGATGACTGGGGGATGGTGTCCCCATGGCACTGTGGATTACCCACCATCCATGACCTCCCAAGCACAGTTCTCACTCGGTGAACTCCCACATCTTTTTCCGCGGTTGACACTCAGCTCCAGTCATCATCCTGGCCAATGAGCCAATGAGCCACGACTAGTGAAAAGAGCTAAAGTGAACTTCATATCATTCAAGGTGGTGCCCCCTAGTTATAAGTTGATTTATAATCCCATTAACTGTAGATATATCTACCATAAGTCCTACTTATTAGAGTTATAAACCAACTTAGCTATCTTGCGGGCACCACATTGTTGGTACATATTGATACTGCATTGGTTGGTTGCTTGGTTTAACAACTCAAACAACCATTTTGTATCGCAATAAAACGGGGCTCCCCCAACTGTCAATGGGGGATACAACTGGAGGAGCTTGAGACCTGGGCCATGGAGTTACTTACTGCACTGATGATGTTTGGGTGAATGATCCAGAAACCCTGTCACGGTAATTTGGTGTGCCAACTATATTCTCATATCATGGCTATTTAGGAAAGGCTAAAGACTCAAACATTCAGCAGTTTGGTGATGGCTGATAGGCAGTTTTGCTACCAGAACGATCCATTTTCTACAGTGATATCCCCAACTTCTCTAGTCTCAAGAATACCCTTTTCATTGCTTCTCTGCACATCTTCCAAATGGTGAAATCTCCATGTTCTGTCGGCGCCCTGGAAAACGCCAGGAATCTCAACCTGTTGGTCGTTTTACACATCTTTGGACACTGGGCGGTTGATTTTTCCATGTAAAGCCACACAAAAAGACAAAAAAAACATCAGAATGATGCGTAATGCTAATATTTCATTAGTATGCCCTCTGGTAAACTAACGTAACTATGGAAAATCACAATTTTTAATGGGAAAACTCACTATAAATGGCCATTTTCAATAGCTTTTTGTTAACTTTTACCAGAGGGTAGGTCCAGTTTCTCGAACTCCAAGGGAAATGTTGCAGGAAACCCCCAACGTTTGGAACCGCAAGAACCAAGGTCTCAACCGAGGAATCGTAAGTGGCTTAAGCCCCAGCTATAAATGGACTAGGCTTACTTGCCCTACTGAATCAACTGGAGGAACCAACCATAACCAACACGATTATCGGGGTAGTTCACCATTAATAGGTTTGTCTGAAAATGGGCTACCCCATTCCATCCACCCATCAAAATGGCAATTTATAATTATAATATATATATATATACCCTCTGGTAAACTAACATAGCTATTGGAAATCACCATTTTAATGGGAAAATCAACTATAAATGGCCATGTTCAATAGCTATGTTAAATTACCAGAGGGTATATATATATATTGTGTGTGTGTGCCATTATTATATCCTCATTGAGTTAAAAAAAACATTGAATCACCATCTGTCATAGTTAAATCCCATTAAAGCACTACTTCTCCATAGTATCCATCACCATTTTTGCTGCTTCACTCAGCTGCCAGATTGCCCCAAGACCGGTCTCCTCCAGCGAGCCCTTTACCTTGGCCTGGACATCGGCTGATCGTTGCGGGATGCATGTGGAGCCTCAAGCTTTATAGGTGATATATCGAACTAGCTAATGGGCTCATAGCTAATTTATAACTGGATATGGGATATTTATCCCCTATGGAAAAATTTATGGATATTTATGGTTGATTCAACAAAAGGGAGTTTATGGAATCTTATGGATACTTATATATATATATGGATATTTATCCCAGATGCTCCATGGTGCTGGTATATTTATCTACATGATTGGGTGATTTTGGGGGCAAATGTTGGTAAATATTCCATGGAGCATATGGGATATGATCTACTATCTGGCATCACTTCGATCCAAAAAAAATAGAAGTCGTTCGGAAATGTCTGATTTTTTCATCTTTCATAGTGGTAAAAAAAAATAGCGTTTCACAAGTGACATGACGCAAATCAGGTTAATTCATCACTCAGCAGCATTGTTCGCTTCCATGAAATGTGCGGATTGTTCCCCTTTGGGGGGCCGCGGCCTCCCAGTTTAGTTTCCAAATATGTCCTGGAACTACTTCCAACCAAGGGGTACCCCGGTATTGGGATGTGGTTACTTTTGTACAAACCAAAACATCTGCGATAGTCCATATAGCCAATTAGGGATCATCACCCCAAGCGTTGAATCCCCGATCCATTCGACAAAACTTCGAGAAACCGGCGCTGGTCTATTTTGAAATCGCTGGTGACCCCTTCAGCCAAAAAAAAACTGTTGGAAAAAAACATGAACTTCTGGTGGGATATGAAGAAAAGCAGTTTTGGGCATCCTCCCGATCAATTCTTAAATACTTCAACATGCACTCATTCACCCAAAATCCTCCACCTGCACTTGATCCTTTGATGAGAGATCAGTTGGGGGGATCAACGACTCCCAAGCAGTTGGCAGCGGAAGTCCGATTCGCTGCCCTTTTGGCACACGCGCTCTCAAAATTTCTGAGGTTGAAGTATTCTGCAGCTTCTGTCTCACAGTTTCATACTGCATGGACTTCCTTTTCGAGAAATCATCTGCGTGCAGCTAAACATTGGCCGGCAAAAACAACGCGTCCCGAGGGTAAAGCTCATTACAGGCACCCCTCGGTGTTGGTGTTTGCAACCGGATTTGGGCATGGCTCAAAATGATTCACTCAAGAGTTTAAGGACGGATGGTGTCCGAAAACTGGGATGTAAATGAGATATAGTATCATGTAATCATATGTAATATGATGGGGATATACATATATATTATATTCGCTGCCCTTTTGGCACACGCGCTCTCAAAATCTCTGAGGTTGAAGTATTCTGCAGCTTCTGTCTCACAGTTTCATACTGCATGGACTTCCTTTTCGAGAAATCATCTGCGTGCAGCTAAACATTGGCCGGCAAAAACAACGCGTCCCGAGGGTAAAGCTCATTACAGGCACCCCTCGGTGTTGGTGTTTGCAACCGGATTTGGGCATGGCTCAAAATGATTCACTCAAGAGTTTAAGGACGGATGGTGTCCGAAAACTGGGATGTAAATGAGATATAGTATCATGTAATCATATGTAATATGATGGGGATATACATATATATTATATTCGCTGCCCTTTTGGCACACGCGCTCTCAAAATCTCTGAGGTTGAAGTATTCTGCAGCTTCTGTCTCACAGTTTCATACTGCATGGACTTCCTTTTCGAGAAATCATCTGCGTGCAGCTAAACATTGGCCGGCAAAAACAACGCGTTCGACGATGTTTGGCCAACTCAGGGCGATTGCTGGACGTGTCCCGAGGGTTAAGCTCATTACAGGCACCCGTCGGTGTTTGCAACCGGATTTGGGCATGGCTCAAAATGATTCACTCAAGAGTTTAAGGACGGATGGTGTCCGAAAACTGGGATGTAAATAAGATATAGTATCATGTAATGATGTAATATGATGGGGATATACATATTATGTATATAATATATATATATAATGAAAATGAAGCATTTTTCCACCGTTGCCACTTCGTGCATTTGAGATCTGGAAAACGCCGACAACGCCGTTTGATCGAAAACACCCGGCATGCGACTTTGGATCCAGACCTCTCCGGACCTTCGTTTTTTTTGGGTCAGAGTCACAGTCGGTTAGGCATCAAGGATGCCACTCTCGGGACGGATCAGGCGGTGGGCCACCCCCGTCGGCTTTTCCGAATTGGGCCAACGGGTCAAGTGATTCTTGGATTGATCCACAATTGATGGGTCCTGTTGGATGATAACCATGGACCATTCTAATTCAATCGATCTTGGGACCAACAAAGTCTTATAATTTGTACCTTCACTTGATTGGTCATTTGTAGTAAGCATATCAAATTGTGGGGTTTGATACTCTTGACCCATGCCCAACTCAGTCTTCATGTCCCCGAACAGTTCCAAAGAACTCAGCCATTTTCTGGGGCGGCCAACTTATATACTCTTATATGTATATATTGTTTCGCAGCCATGCGTTCTGAGCGTTCAATTTGTTCTCCGGCAGTTTGGGAAGGTGAAGAAAATCCCACCGATACCTTTGGGCCTCTGGATGTTGGAGTTTTTGTTGGGCCAAAATCTAGATAACCCTTGCCCATAAATAAAAAGAAAAAACATTGGTTTAATAGTAGATCTGTTCATTTTGATGTTCCTGATTGGGGTCCTTAGCATAGGGATCAATGGATCGCAAAACTGATCAGTTTTCTGTTGAAACCACTACTACTTATAAATCAATCATCCACGCAAAGAAAACATAAGATGTGGTATGTTCACAACACAATAAATCGGTGTCCTGTGATTTTTGTTCGGTTTTGATTCGTTCTCAAGGTGTTTTATTCAAGATCTCAAAAGGAAAACCATTCACACATTGAAGGTCTATTATAATGAACCTGACTGTGTTATTTTGTTTTTCAAAAAAATGCAGAACGTTATCCTAACATCATTGTCATTGTTGGTACCTTCCATTCCAGCTTCTGTGGCTACAACATGTTCACCCAATCTAACAATTGACCAGCCTACAATTTACGAAACCCTACAAATAATGCTCGAATCACTGCAAACCCAGGGGTTTTCATTCTCAGGGCTTCCATCGATCAAAATACACTGGAAAAAGGTTTTCGGAATGCAGTAGCTGAACCACATATCCGATTCGGTATCTTGCGCAAACCTCTAAGGTACAAACATGGGGGCACTCCAACATGAATCTGCAACCCTCGTTCAGCAGTCATGGCATACTCGTACTCGGGCAGTGGGAGCTGACATCTGGTCATTGCTTTAATGCCACGGAAATCAATTCTCCAAATCATGGTGAATCTTAGACACAGAAAACCGAAATTATGTCGTTTGTTCTTGTACCGTATACATATATATATATATACAGTATATTTATTTATTCATTTATGTATTTAAATTCACATATCTTTAAATACACTTTGGTAAAAAATGTAAAAAATATGAATACGTACATATATTATATATGTATATATACCAGCAGTACCGCACAAGGCGGTGGCGGAAGATGGCGGAAGTTTCAAAGATAGAAGTTGTTGTGATGCATGGATGGCAAAGCGAACCCACTGATGGACCGAAATGTGGTTGAGGCATGTTGAGGCTCTGAGTCTCTCTCTATCTCTCTGTATCTCTTGCTCTTGCTCTCTCTCTCTCTCACTCTCTCTCTCTCTCTCTCTCGTTCTTTCACTCTCTCACTCCATCTCTCTCTGTATCTATCTGTCTGCCTGTCTATCTGCTGTCTGACAATATCTATCTATCTATCTATCTATCTACCTATCTACCTACCTATCTATCTATCTATCTATCTATCCTATCTATCCTATCTATCCTATCTATCTATCTATCTATCTATCTATCTATCTCTCTCTCTCTCTCTCTCGCTCTCTCTATGCATCTATGTATATAAATGTTTGCATGTATGTATCTCTGCATGCATATGTGACATATGTGTATCTATGTATGCATATGAGTACCTATGTATGCATGTATGCATGTGTGCATCCATGTATCTCTCTGCTGTCTGTCTTGCCGTCTGTCTGTCTGTCTGTCTGGCTGTCTGGCTGTCTGGCTGTCTGCCTTTCTGGCTGGCTGTCTGTCTGTCTGTCTCTCTGTCTCGACAAATACGCGAAATACAAGCTTCTTGATCAATTTCTGATCAGTTCAACCAACCGAGACTTCCTTCAAAAGTGGAGGTTGAAAGGTCCGAAATGAAGCAATTCTGTGAGAGCTTTTTCAAAAAATGGAAATTCACAGCAGCAAAAAACGAAAAAAACTGAGTTGGCAACATCAAAAACGAAGCAATTCTGCGAAGCTTCCTTCAAAAATGGAGAGTTTGCAGAGCTGACGGCTTCTTGCCAATTCGTGTTGTGATTTTGCTGCCCATGTGTCTAAAGTACTGCGCCTGCCACAAAAAAGTGAGGCCAGGCCATACGAAGTGTTGCACCTGTTCACGCAAAATCGTCTCAGTGAACTTGACGGTCTGATGCTCCAAGATGCAAGCCCTCTCAGGAAATCAGAGGCCTGACCTCCCAACATGCATGCATCTTTGCAGATCCTGCTCAAACGTCCCATGCGTGCCATCGTTTTTAGAAAGTGCCGCAAAAAAACCCTCACGTTTGGACCATTTTTGTGAAAGTGCAAGATCCATTGCGCCTGCCAGGAAAAATTTTGCTCCAACGTCCAGAAGTGCTCCAAACACGCGGTGTTTAGCGTTTTGACTTCTAAATGATTAAATGTGCTTGGCGCCGTGGCCACGGCCGTGTACATTTTTTCAACAGCTCTCAGCTCAACTTCCAAAAGCGCTCCGACCCTAGTGTGTCTTCAGCATTTTGACTTGGAAATGTGTTTGGACGCTCATCCCGCCAGATGGCTCCGCACCGGCCGCTTTAGCAAGCCTACTTCTCGACCCTCGATCCGGAACCGGAAAACATTGGAAAAAGAAACAGTGTTTCGCGACTTTTCCACCTTTTGGCGCATTTTGATCTTCGTTCTACTGACTCTCTCTCTTCTCTGACTCTTCCCACAACTGTTGTTGCATCTGTCCATAGGCCATTTGGAGGGGTGAATTACCCTTACTTATATCATCATTCCGGTGATATCGCAGTGAGGCCCTTACTTCATGTATTAAACCTCAAAAATATGGAAGCATCACAGTACCAATCATTTTCACTATGTTAGAACCGGAGTTCACCAACTTCTATACATTTGATAGGTATTCAAAAAGGTATCAAACATATCAGGATAAGACCATTGAGGTGTAGAACGACTCGTGGGAAGTCTTCACATTCCAGCACCAGATACTCAGATACGAGCGGTGCCCCACCATTTTTTTCGTCTGAACCCACTGAATTGAGCAACTCCGAAAAAGATAGAAAAGTCGGATTTACCAACACTATTGCAGTGGGATTTTGATGGATTTTGTAAAATTCTATCTCTCTGGGAGGTTACTATAGACATATCCACCATAAACGCTACCTATTCTAGATAGATCATGATAGATCTAGATAGTCAGATAGTCGAGTTGCAACTGATGTAGGCATGAGGCACCACTTGGGGCAGTCGGGCAGTTCTGATGTGTCGATTCAGATATCCCGATGGAATCTGGATACCAGTTCAAGCCAGACGTCCTGATTGGAAAATTCATATGGGGGTTTCCTAGAATAGAGCTACCCACAATCATCATCCATATATTACTGTAGATTGGGATTTTCCATGAAATACACCATCCAGCTATTGGAGTAGCCTGCATTTTTTATCATGATGGGGATTCCACCAAACCCCAGGTCTCCCCCAAAGGACGAAAATCTTAACCAACCACCAACCATAGGCCGCATAGGCCGCATCGATTCTTGGGAGGTTCAACCCGACCCAATCCATCGACTCCTAATGAAATCCATGAATCGAGTGTTCATATCATGGGACCTCGACTTGAAGAGTCATCCCTTTTTGTTTTTTTTGAGCGACTGCCAGCTGCTTTAAGGCCAAGAGTTCACAGCTCAACTCCTTTCCGGGCTTGGTGGGCCTTGAAGTCCCGTTCAAAATCATGCAAATACTCCTCTCCACGCAGCTTCAAAAGCTACGTACGTTGTTTTCCTTGTCAACTAGCCTAACAACTTGATTTAGGGTGGATATATCTATAACTATCCATAGTTGGATGGCGTAAACCAATAAGATCCAATAAGCATAGTGGGGAGACCCCCAAATATAATTTATTTTCGAGAATTGCTTCAATTTCTCAGAAACACTCAGCACATCTCAGAACAAGATTCGTGACAAACAAGACTTTGGGCTAGATAAAATGCTGGCGACATAAAAATTTACGTCAATTTGTAAATCTCGGGTGCACAAGTCAAGTCAAGAACTCCAGCAACAAACCTCATTCACCCCACACAAACGGACAAACAAACGTTACCTCCCGCTTACGTCATTTACCCCGCGCTTGAGAACACCAGAATATAGCTATAGCTGGTGTGTTGCTCCATGGTCATGCCCAGATAGACAATCCCATAGGTAACCCACCCCAAATTCCCAAAGTCAAAACTGGTTTTTGCTAGCGGACAGAAAACCGCGCTGGCATTTTGTACGCTTTTTCGATGTCTATCAAATTGTTTGTGCTGCTATATGCATGGGGTGTGGCGGGGGAAATAACGTTCACAGCAACTTGCATACTCTAGACATGTCACGCCACATGTGTTACATTTACTAAAGAGATGTCACATTAGATGATATAATATACACAAAAGATAGACATTACATGATATTACGCTACATGATGTTGCAAACACAAGAGATGTCAGGCCACATGATGTTACAAACGTTGTTACGCTGCATGATGTTGGATTCAGAAGAGATGTGCCGCTACATGACGTTAGATCAAACAAAGAGTCACTGCCAGAATGCTCAGCCAAAGCTGGGCAGAAAGACCGCACTTCTGAAACAAAAAAAACATTTAATGTCCAAGACTGTGGCGGAAATACAAGATCCCTCAACAAAACGCAATTGGAAATCAACCATTTCTGATCATGGTGAAAGACTCTTCGCGGTAGCGATAGAATTAATCATGTTTTAAGATTAACGCGTTCTTGTGCGCGCGGAAATTATTCCGCCGGGTGGTTTGTGCTGCAACATGTAATCATATTCAGATGATTGTAATATGAGATGGCAAGTTATCATATATAGTATAATATAATCATGCATATATACATATATATGGTCCCGTGTCTCGTGTTCACGGGCCCCCCCCCACCCACCCACCCCCCCACCCCCCACCAGATCCACACAGGGGGAGGGATACATAGACACATGCTCATACGCATACTACATACTACATACGTATACATATATAATAATATATATACGTATATACTACTTACATATATATATATATATGTATAATAATATATATATATATAATATCATTATATATAATGATACTATACATAATAATAATGATAATAATAATAATAGTAATAAAAATAAATAATAATAATAATGATGATAATAATAATAAAATAATAATAATAATATATAAAAAGTTTAATAATATATATATAATATGATAATATATATATATATGTACTACTTATATAATATATACACATAACTTATATACATATACATATAGGGACCATCACCATCTGGGGTGGCAGGGAGGGACCACCAAACGCTGGGCCATATATATAATTCATGTCATGACCCCATTTTGATTTTCCATATTCCAATTGATTGCTGCTTGAACTGTCGCCAGTTTTGGATGGCTGTGATGTGAATCTCACGCTCTGGCGCAGGCGTAGGCTGTGTGCCAGGAAAGGATGTGCCTTGGCCGCCTTGGGGATAGGTCAAAATATCAGAAAAAACACAAATAAAGTGGTCATTTTCAGGTATTCACCATGCCTTTTATTCCCATATGCTCCATGTATGGAATATTTGCCAACAGTTGCCCTGAAAATCACCCAAATGTAGATAAATGATGATAAATGTACCAGCACCATGGAGCATCTGGGATTGGATAACCAATTTGGACTCATCCCCATAATCCCCACATAATCTTCAGGTGAGGAAATCAGGATTCCATCGTGAGGACCATGTCTATTATTCAGAACATGAAGTTTGACCATTGATAGTTCCTTCACCAATATTGAAGAATTTTCAGAGACTATTGTTTAGTGGGGGATTGACACATATCTGGGACAATTAGGGGGTGTTTGATATTGGGGGGTGGAATTTATTCACTCAAAGGGTTATAAAATCCACTGAATCACCATAAATCACCACGTTTTTTGGTTAAATATGGTGATGACCAACTTTAAATTGCCATTAAAACAGGCCATGAATTTTCGCATCTTTCATGGGGTATTGTGATGTATTGCGGTGGCCCCCCTTGGGGGGCCATGGTCCCTCGGAAAAAGCATTTGCATGTAAAAAAACAAACAACACTCCTAGCATAAGACACATGTCATTAAAATAAATTATATATCCATTATGATATACATATGTATTGTAATATATACATTTGGGATTTTGACCCAAAATTGCAAGCATTGCAGATATTTTAGAACAATTGTGAATTTTGGGATGTGTTGGAACTGGGTTGGTAAATGTTTGTAATCCGTGTGCTATGGACAGTCTCTTTTTCTATATATCCTTAGCTAATGCCGCTGATGACTTGGCTGAAATCGACTGTTATTACCATGATGACGGTGGTTTTATCATCTGCAAAGCACTCAGTTTTGGGTGTGAGATCAAATGGGGTATATAACTAGACTATATATACAACTATAATATACTAGTATTGTCTCTGACTTTACGTCTACAAAGCTCTTTAAACCTCTATCTTCTGATTATCGTCTGCCGCAAAAAGAGGTTGACAGTTAATTGTTAACTATCACTTGACTCCTTCCACTTCCAAGGCACGTCCCCATATCGATCGGAGGAAACCAGGGGTACCGGCTGGTGCCAATGAGGTAGACCGTCACTAGATCCGTCCATGTCCCACCATCACCACATAAATTCGCAAGTCTTTGAGAAAATGAAGATCATGATTCAGAAAAATGGTGACATGAATGTGAAAGTAAAGCACTGTCATCAACCTTTTTGGGATTGATGGTTGGAATTCCACCAAAATGCGAAGTGGGGATGGTGGATCCTAGTGCTTTACCGGCCTTTAGGGCTATTTCGAAGCTCCCGCATCGAGATGTGCGTGGCGACCCGGAGCTACGAAGTCGCCACGCTGCCGGTGCCTCTGTCATTGGGCCCTGGACGCAGCACGAAGAAGAAGGAAGCATGGATGGAACTAATTGTCGGATATTCTAGGTATTTTAATAGGTACCAAAAAAACATCATGGAATATCAATCAATATCATGGAATATCATGGAATATCAATCAATATCAATCAATATCATGGAATATCATGGAATATCAATCAATATCATGGAATATCATGGAATATCAATCAATATCATGGAATATCATGGAATATCAATCAATATCATGGAATATCAATCAATATCAATCAATATCATGGAATATCATGGAATATCAATCAATATCATGGAATATCATGGAATATCAATCAATATCATGGAATATCATGGAATATCAATCAATATCATGGAATATCATGGAATATCAATCAATATCATGGAATATCAATCAATATCATGGAATATCATGGAATATCAATCAATCATGGAATATCATGGAATATCAATCAATATCATGGAATATCAATCAATATCATGGAATATCATGGAATACCAATCAATATCATGGAATATCATGGAATATCAATCAATATCATGGAATATCATGGAATATCATGCAATAGGTCTGGCTGATTTTCTCATCGTTTATTTCCAAATCAGAAGCCGACTTGCCCATGTATTTGGTGGTGGATCTTGCCCTGCCAAACATCGGTCTGCCTGTGTGGTTGCTGTAAGACCCCATGTTTGCATCGTTTTTTGAGGCTGGCAGATGTCCGGCTTTGGAACAAATAGAGGGGCCGGCTTTGATTTAATGGGATTTAAGATGATTTAACCATCTAAAATGGGGATGTAACGGGTGTATAATGGGTATATTTCTGGTTGCTGGCTTCCAATATTTACATATATTTACATATATTTACCATCCTTTGCCTATTTACCGGGAACTACCCCTCGATACTCAAGCAATGGAGGGGAAAATATGGGGAAAAAACATCTATTCCGGACAAAATTTGTATGCCATTCCCAGGCAACTTTCCGGTCAACGAGCCAAAATTGCGCGATTTCACTATTGGCTATACTTGGGCCTTGAACAAGGACATATCCAAGACATCCAGGGGGCGTGCTTGAAATGAGGTCTTGAAGAATGTCGCTAGAATCAAAAGAAGATACCATCTGGCAATCCAAAGTGGCAATGGAAACCCCCAATTTAGAGATTGGATGAGATTGGTTTGGAATTATGTACAGTTCACTTCCTCAGTATTTGTTCTTGATTCCTTATCATTCTTGGTCAAATCCCAGCTAGTTCAGTTATTGGGCACTTCTCCATCTCCCATTTCCCCATGTTTGTCGCTGAAACATTCCCAGTTGGCTCCCATTCGGAATTTGGGGTGGTGAAACTCTTCATTTCTTCGGGTGAACCTCTAAACATGGTTAATCTTTGGAAGTCCACAAAAAATTGATCCTTGGCTATGGTCATTGTTCCTTAGCAAAAAACTCATCGGTAGGGGATGCAACCATGGTGAATAATTCAAACCCTCATAAGTTGGGATACAACACCTTTACTATGACTATATAGTTTGCATTAGTTGACTATATCCACATACAGCTGCTGCCCATCCACCAATCAACCCAGGCACGCCAATCTCCGTGCGCGACGCTCAGCCTTGGCTCCTTAGCTATCGGTGGCCCTGAGGTGGTGCCCTATAGCCATGTACCCACTAGAAGTCACCGTAAATCCCCAGTGGACAGGTAACTTCAAGTATGGATACAAGCAAATGAACAAAGATGAGCCAAAAAGTGGGTAATCATTCTATAATGCTGTTGTTTTGTGAAGCGTTTTTTTGACCTAAAGTTTCATCCTCAATAAACCACTCAGACCTGCGGCGCGTGTCTCAGTCCTCGGGCATTTTGGGATGATTCTGCAATTCTAACCATCAGTGACATTGCGACGTGAGGCTAGATTTTGATTCAGCAAGATTTATGAATTCCTTTTCTTAAATGGATCGAACATGATCAAACCCTATCATCATGGACCCCTGGGGGGGTAAGCGGGGGTTAAGTAGTTTATCATACAAGAGCCTAGTAAGGGCTTATCAGATATCTCCAACGCCAGGGAAAACTGTCTTTATTCCCTGGTCCAACCATGAATGAAACGAGAGATCCTTATCCAAGGTTTGTTCAGGGTTGGTTGAAAACTGATAAGGGCTTATTAAGGGCTTGTCCAGGGCTTAAGGATAAGCCTTGGATAAGCCTGTTTCCCAACCTAATTTGCCTACCCCCCAAAAAAAATCCCCCAAAATCCCCCCAACCCCCAACGTCCCCAACCACTCTCCAATCCTCACCCAAACCTTCCCGTACCCTCCCCAGACCCTCCCCAGCCCTTTCCCTCCGCAGACTCTCCCATACCTTGGTCCTAGGCTCCTTGGCTGAAGACTTAACCAGGCCTTGTTCAGAGCTTAACGGATAAGCATCTATTAAGCTTCTAATAAGCGCTTATTAAGATTTTATTAAGCTTCTAGTAAGGGCCTTACACAGAAGCCCCTAATAAACCTTTATATGATAAGCTACTTACCCCCCCTTACCCCCTCAGGGTCCATGATATCAATACTACAGCAATCCTGACTAAATAACATAAAACAAGAACTCATCCACCAACTTCAACAGATATTCCTGATAATCCCTTCCCCCTTTTGTACTAAACACCCCCAATCGCCCACCATGTTTTTGGAATTTCCACCAACTTCTGGGACAAAAAAGAACTGAGGTGCAAAGAATCTCCGGGGGATGAAATTCATTCATAGAAGTATGGGTCATTGGTTTCAACCTACCATTGGTTGGTAATCTACTGTTAATATTAATGGTTAATCGAAGGAAGTTTAGAAGCTAAACTTCCGACAATATGGACAGTTGAAACGCAGAGCAGGGAAGAGGCAGAGAGAAGAGAAAAGATCAGAAGAAAGAAGAGGTAGATGCGCGAAAAGATAGGAAAGTCGCGATTCACTGTGTTTTTCCCGAGAGCGTCTGAGCGCAGGGTTCTTCCAATAGTGGGGGTCTGTATCTCATCTTCTCATCTTCACACCTTCTCATCTTCACATCTGCTCATCTTCACATCTTCTCATCTTCACATCCTCTCATCTTCACATCTTCTCATCTTCACATCTTCACATCCTCTCATCTTCACATCCTCTCATCTTCACATCCTCTCATCTTCACATCTTCTCATATCCTCTCATCTTCATATCCTCTCATCTTCACATCTTCTCATCTTCACATCCTCTCATCTTCACATCCTCTCATCTTCACATCCTCTCATCTTCACATCCTCTCATCTTCACATCTTCTCATCTTCACATCTTCTCATCCTCCCATCTTCTCCTCATCTTCTCATCTTCTCATCTTCTCACATCTTCACATCTTCACATCTTCACATATCTTCTCATATCTTCTCATATCTTCTCATATCTTCTCATATCTTCTCATATCTTCTCACATCTTCTCACATCTTCTCACATCTTCTCACATCTTCTCACATCTTCTCACATCTTCTCACATCTTCTCACATCTTCTCACATCTTCTCACACCTCCTCTCACATCTTCTCACATCTTCTCACATCTTCTCACATCTTCTCACATCTTCTCACATCTTCTCACATCTTCTCATCTTCACATCTTCTCATCTCACATCTTCTCCTCTTGCCCTCTTGCCCTCTTGCCCTCTTGCCCTCTTGCCCTCTTGCCCTCTTGCCCCTCTTGCCCCTCTTGCCCTCTCCTTCTTTTCTATTTCTCTTCTGAAGGCGGGGGCAGGGGCAGTGCCAACGAGACGGCACGAAACGCAACCCTTTCGCACGAAACGAGGTTCGATCAGCAAAAACTGAGGTAAAATTGCGATTTGACTTGCCCCGGAGCAACCCTTTCGCACGAAATGAGGGTCGATCGGCAAAAACTGAGGTAAAATTGCGATTTGACTTGTCCTGGAGCAACCCTTTCGCACGAAATGAAGGTCGATCGGCAAAAACTGAAGTAAAATTGCGATTTGACTTGCCCCGGAGCAACCCTTTCGCACGAAATGAGGGTCGATCGGCAAAAACTGAAGTAAAATTGCGATTTGACTTGCCCCGGAGCAACCCTTTCGCACGAAATGAGGGTCGATCGGTAGAAACTGAGGTAAAATTGCGATTTTATCTGTGCCGGAGCAACCCTTTCGCACGAAATGAGGGTCGATCGGTAGAAACTGAGGTAAAATTGCGATTTTTCGTGTGCTGGAGTAACTTTTTCGCACGCAAAGAGGTTTATGTGTACGAGCGTTTCTGTGTAAAGATGTTTGTGTGTAAAAGTGTTTGTGTGTACAAGTGCCTGTGTGTAAAAGCGTCTATGTGTAAAAGCTTCTGTGTGTACAAGCGTTTGTGTGTAAAAGCAGCTCCTGTGTGTAAAAGGGTCTGTGTGTAAAAGTGTCTGTGTGTAAAGGCTTCTGTGTGTAGAAGTGTCTGTGTAGAAGCGTCTGTGTGTAAAAGCTTCTGTATGTAAAAGCTTCTGTGTGTAAAAGCTTCTGTATGTAAAAGCTTCTGTGTGTAAAAGCTTCTGTGGGTAAAAGCTTTGTGTGTAAAAGCGTCTATGTGTAAAAGCTTCTGTGTGTACAAGCGTTTGTGTGTAAAAGCAGCTCCTGTGCGCACAAGCGTTTGTATGTAAAAGCAGCTCCTGTGTGTAAAGGCTTCTGTGTGTAAAAGTGTCTGTGTAGAAGCGTCTGTGTGTAAAAGCTTCTGTATGTAAAAGCTTCTGTGTGTAAAAGCTTCTGTATGTAAAAGCTTCTGTGTGTAAAAGCTTCTGTGGGTAAAAGCTTCTGTGTGTAAAAGCTTCTGTGGGTAAAAGCTTTGTGTGTAAAAGCGTCTGTGTAAAAGCGTCTGTGTGTAAAAGTCTTTGCGATGCAAACTATTGTCTTGCACTTCTCACTATTTTGTCTTGATACTCCTCTTCTCGACTGCCTATAACACAGCTTTCATATATCGTTTCTAATATTGCGTCTCCATACTAACAAGAGAAGACCCTGCTCCTCTACGCTCTCGGGCCATCCGTCGTCTAGTTCCAATGATTTGTGGCTCCGGAGGGTCGAAAAATAGGCTCGCTAAAGCGGCGGGTGCGGAGCCAGCTGGCCAGATGAGACATGAAAAAGTGCACGCCGTTGTGGCGCGAAGCACATTTCCAAGTCAAAATGGACAAAACACTAGAGGAGCGGACCACTTTTGGAAGTTGCGATGTCGAAAAAGTGCACGCCGTTGTGGCGCGAAGCACATTTCGAAGTCAAAATGTACAAAACACACCATGGTCGGACCACTTTTGGAAGTTGAGATGTGGAAAAAGTGCACGCCGTTGTGGCGCGAAGCACATTTCGAAGTCAAAATGTACAAAACACACCATGTACGGACCATTTTTGGAGGTTCAGATGTCGAAAAAGTGCACGCCGTTGTGGCGCGAAGCACATTTCCAAGTCAAAATGTACAAAACACCACATGTTCGCGCCACTTTTGGAAGTTCGGATGTTGGAAAAGTGCACGCCGTTGTGGCGCGAAGCACATTTCCAAGTCAAAATGCACAAAGCACACCATGTTCGGACCACTTTTGGAGTCTGAGATGTCGAGTTTCGCAAAAGTGCACGCCGTTGTGGCGCGAAGCAGATTTCGAAGTCAGAGTGTCCAAAACACACCATGTTCGGACCACTTTTGGAGTCTGAGATGTCGAGTGTTGAAAAAGTGCACGCCGTTGTGGCGCGAAGCACAGTTCCAAGTCAAAATGTTAAAAACACTAGGGTTTCCGACCACTTTTGGAGGTTCAGATGTCGCTTCGCTTCGCTTCGCGTCACTTCACTACACTACACTACATGACACTACACTACACTACACTTCGAGCGGTTGAGATGTTGTTCCGCGCGGCCGGCACCTGCTCAGCAGATAGATAGATGGATAGAGAGAGAGAGAGAGATAGATAGATCGATAGATCGATAGATCGATAGATAGATAGATAGATAGACAGCTACAGATAGAGAGAGAGAGAGAACGAAAGGTAGAGGGAGAATAAAGAGATAGAGATAGATGGAGAAAGACAACGAGAGAGAGAGAGACAGAGCGAGAGAGAGAGACACAGAGATGGAGACGTTTATATATATATCGGTTTTGGAAGCACAACAGGGAATAGATACCATGGGATTTGATAGCTAAATCGATAGATAGACGGGCAACTAGATCGATGGATACATAGACAGATCGTACATCGAGAGATAAATCGAAAGATGGGTGGCTAGATAGAGAAAAAGATCGACAATAGACAGGTAGATGGAACGACCGATGGACACACGGATCGCCAGATCGAAAGATCGCTAGAAACGGCCATGTCCAGATAAACTCATGGATAGCTAGATAGATCGATGGATGGCTGGAAGAACAGAGAGACGGACAGATGCATGGATGAATCGATAGACACACAGAACGTGTTGTGAGAGCTAAACCGTCTTGAGTGAAGATGGACATTCTCATGACTAAAAACCAAGCATCTACACATCATTCATAGGATGAGAGTCATCGCATCACAATACCAACATATTGAACATATTGATGAATCCACCATGAAAGGACAACCGATATACTCTCATCCAATGGACATGTTCCTACCATAAGCGTCGATACAGGATTAGAAAGACAGCTAGCATGCAATGGTATAACCCACGGTTATGATCGTACAGAAAAACATGAAGAAATGTTACCCATCCCTCCGACGTGTCTACCTCACGGTGTCGCGGCAGCTTGGTCCTAGCAACAGCGGACAGGAATCGTCGGCTGCCGCTGTGCTGGCGTGCGCCATCATGCCGTCAGAAGTACAGAAAAACATGAAGAAATGTTACCCGGCCCATCCCTCCAACGTGTCTGCCTCACGGTGTCGCGGCAGCTTGCTTTGTCCTAGCAACAGCAGACAAAAAGGCAGAAACACACAACCACCTTTCAATCCATCAGTGGGTTCGCTCTGCCATTTTTGCGCCACAGCAACACGCGTCTCCTATAGGGTTCCTATTTTTGAAACTTCCGCCACAGCCTTGTGCGGTACTACTGGTATGAAAATGGTTATTATATGGTTGATGATGGTTAATAATGATCTGGTTGGTAAGAACGACCTACCCCTCTGAAAAATCATGGAGTGAAAGTCAGTTGGGATGATGATATTCCATTCCCATATATGAAATGGAAAATAATCCAAATGTTTGAAACCACCAAGAAGTATTTCTATTCGTTTCAACCATTCTGCATCCTTAAAAAATTGGCAAAAAGGGACCCCTGGTGGAACCTTTATCTCCTGTAGCTCCAGGCAGCACGTTGACCAAAACAAATGGCTGGCACATCCACGTTTCGGACCCTACAGGCAATCGACAAAGTCGCTCCTTTTTTAAGAAATGTCTATATTTAGTTGCGTCGAAGCTTTCCCTGGAAGTCGTGCCTTTTTGGAAAACGCAATCAAACTCCGGTGATCACAGCGCAACCATGTTTTTAAGTGTTTTTGTGTTTTTTCTTGCGTTCAGCTTGGGTTTAGGTATCTAGTTATGCTTTGGGTATATGTAGTTTTTGTTGCGTTCAGTTGGGGGGAAACTTTTTTTGTTGCAGCTGCTTTCTTATCAGTGACTTCTGTACGTTCAACTGTATTTAGCATTTACTGTTAAACTGCTACTCAATTGCTGGCTGTTGCTCAGTTGCTGCCGCTGGCTACTGCCAAACTGCTGCTGGATTGCTGCTGTGGAGGAGAAGCTGGAGGAGAAGGAGGAGAAGGAGGTGGAGGATGAGGAGGAGGAGGAGGCGGAGGAGGAGAACAACTGTGATAAAATCTAACAACCCTCACCTGGCAGGTGGGGAAATAGGGATCAAAAAAAAACAAATAGGGCTCAAAAAAACAAACAAGGATCAAAAAAAACAAACGAGAAAGGAAGGAAGGAAGGAAGGGGCAGGAAGGAAGGAAGGAAGGAAGGAAGGAAGCAAGGAAGGAAGGAAGGAAGTCAGGAAGGAACCCAAGTGGTGGGTGCTGTTGAGGCACATCAGGCACATCATGCGACATGCAGGTGAGTAGGAGACAAGTGGGACACCAGTGGAGACAAGTGGGAGACAAGTGTATAACATTGTATACCCAGGCGGCCCAGAGCAACCAGACCGTAGTCGGAGAGCATGCCAGGAATGCAAGCCCGGAGGCAGAAGCAAAATAATGCGACCCAGGACTGCAACCTTTTCAAAGGAGTAAGAACTTACAAACTGCATTGGCCTCTTTCTGTGTGAGAGGGCCATAGCTACCCAGTATCTATTTACAGAATTCTTATTGAGAACCCCATACAGATAAACCTGTTTGGGGAAGAAAGTGGGCAAATAAGAAATATTGAATCGCAAGGGCAGGGAGGAAAAAAAGAAGCGAAAGTGAAAGGTTCCAATTTGGAAAGGGCTATTTTGACGCTTGCGTTCACAATGGGGGAAGACCAAAAGGCATGACTTAGGCATGACTTCTTGATGTTGCGTTCACAAGCGGGCAAAGCGAAAGGAGTGACTTAGGCATGACTTTGTCAAATCCCTGTACCCGGGCGAGAGCCCATTCTATATCTTCTATCATTGGATCCACTATCCATGGATGATAATGATAATGATACTGTGGATGGTTGCGAAATCCTGCACCAGTTGATAGATGGCTTATCCCACTATTTATAGGCTTTCAACCATCCTTTTGGTGGTGCAGGATTTCTCCCATCAACAGTAGTATTTCCACTTCCAATCATCCACTTCCATTCTTCCCATGGAACCAACCGCCTTGCCAAGCATCGGTTCAGTTTGCGCCTGGTCTGCTCTGCGCTGCAGAGATGACAATGGTCGCAGGTGTCCCCGCGAAGGCATCCGTCAGCCTGGTAGGGGCAACTGGCGGTCCATGGGCCCCCGGTTATAAGTTGCATACTGCAGAAACCCTATTAACATCTGTTAACTATAGATATTTTTTTTAATATCATAAACTATAGATAAATATTTACATGGCTATTTACCATGAAGCCATCGTTAACCCAATGAAAAACTGTAAACCAACTTAGCCAAAAATTTGAGGTACCACCTTCTAGGTTTCTCTGAAGCCATGCTTCATTTGATGCTGATTTCAGAATTTCAGGGTGAATTTCTGGGTGAATTTCCACGGACATACCATGACCATGACTTGTGACCATGAACCATCCGAATGAATAGCAAATCACCAGATGATTAATGGTGATTATAGTGGATTATAATGGTTATATAGTGGATTATAGTGGATTATAGTGGATTATAGTGGATTATAGTGGATTATAGTGGATTATAGTGGATTATAGTGGATTATAGTGGATTGTAGTGGATTGTAGTGGATTAACAATGGTTAATAATGATGAAAACCCATGGTTATCTGGTTGGTGGTTGGTCCTACCCCTCTGAAAAATATGAAAGTCAAATGGGAAGGATTATTCCATATATGAAATGGAACAATAATCCAAATGTTCCAAACCACCAACCAGGTTAATAGCAATGAAATCTCGATTTGGATTGTGACATATTGTGACATATTTTGACATATTGTGACATATTTTGACCCGTTCCCATGAACCATCAGACGGGTTTACTCTAATTTCACACAAACCCATGTGGTCTATCTTCAGAAATGGGGATGTAAGATCCAGCATTTGATGGATGTGCAATTGGCTATTAAAGTATATCGCCAACAAAATCATGTTGGTTTGTCCAGAAATGGCGGACGCACCAAACATCGCTCCGAAAATGACGACCACTGGTGGATCTTAAGAGGTCCTCAATTTCAGGCGATCCCCCGTTGAAAGGTGTCCATGAAATGGTGGATTTACCATGATTTACCCACAACATCTATCTGTTTAATCTAATCTCTAATCTATCTGTGTATCTACTGTTTATCTATCCATCCATCCATCCCTCCATCCCTCCATCCGTCTGTCCGTCCGTCCGTCCGACTGTGCGACTGTCTATCTATCTGTCGTCTATCTGTCTGTCTGTCTGTCTGTCTATCTATCTATCTATCTGCCTATCTATCTGTCATCTATCTGCCTACCTATCTATCTGTCATCTATCTGCCTACCTATCTATCTGTCTTATCTATCTGTCTATCTATCTATCTGTCTATCTATCCATCTATCTGTCTGTCTGTCTGTCTATCTGTCTATCTGTCTATCTATCTATATATATATATATAAATATATATATATGTGTAATCTAATATTGAATCCAAATCTATCCTAATGTATCCTACTGTATCAACGGAACCGCCCCTCGCATATGTTGGTGTTGCTGAAAATTGGAAAATTATTTTGACTGATTGAGAAAAACAACATTAATAATTTGCCCCCCACCACAATTTAAGAACCCCGAAATACACGTATACATATGTACAATCTTCTATACATATTATATTGTTAATCATATAATGAATTATCCCATACAATATCCCGGGGGCAATGATTGGTTATAACGGTTATATGCCACAATTTTGAAAAGCCTCCATCACTTTTTTGCTGCAAAAATCTGTGTCACACCAGTGGATCATCCCACTGTGAAAAGTGGTTGAAAAATTCTGGGTTGGGTGATCCTATTTACAACTGGGTCATAAATAACAGAAAAAACTGGGTTTTCAACCAGAAAAAATGTCATAAACAAGAACTAAGCAGATAAGATGTCATACTGTAAGGCCACCTACTAAGCAACAAGTCAACTTTTCCGTGGGCTGATCCTTGAAAAGGATGGGGCGTCTCGGCCGGCCCCTACTAAGCCCCGCCTTGCGCGTGAAGAAGAGACAGGGCCGACACAGGCCACTGAGATGCCGATCCAACTGGGAAGGCCCTTCACCAGGCTTCACCCACCTGCTGTCAGGTCCCCAAAACAATGCAGACCAACCAAGCGGGCAGATCGTTCACGGGACAGAACATCTGTGGCGTTGATTTCAGATATTTTTGGGGCTGTTTTTGGGGCTGATCTGTTTCTCCCTCTCTAGGACTCTAGGAGCTGCAGTTGGGATTCACCGAGACTAGGGTCTGCCTAAATCCAATGGAACATCATTGTCCCCAGTACCCTCTGGTTCTTTAACGTCGCTATGGAAAATCACCGAATTTTTCATGGGTAAATTAAAAAATGAATCACCACTTTATTGGGGGGTGCCATGGGCTCATGGGGTCTAAATATTTAATGATATTTCCGTTCATAAATGGGACCCCTGTCATTATCTAGGGCCAATCCTGGGTTGGTGTTTTGATCCCCACCGGAAAGTCGCCGCACCTGGGTAAGCAAGGTGAGGAGTGACTGCGCACCAGCGCTGCACCTGCCAGTTTTTTGGAGTTCACCAAACAAAAAAAAACAAACAATTGGGAAAGCTAGCAAAAAAACTTGGACTTTTTCTGATTCTATCTGCAAAAAATGAGGGTTGGAAAAAAAAACATTGAGGAAAAACCGGTCTCAGCAACAAAAATGTCATTTTAACCAGAAAAAAAGGAAATTAACCAGGAGAAGTGGGGTCTTAACCAAGAATAATTGGGATTTCACATGATTCAACCAGTCATTTTGTGGTTTACAAAAAAACTTTGGCCATGTAATTTCCAAATTCAAGGATGGTTCACCTGCATCCGCGGCTAAGAGGGCTTCGTTGGGACAATTATTATCCATAGGTCCATAGATATCTATCAATGGGGTATGTTCCAGCCAGCCTCAGCAAGCTATGCTTGATGATACCGGAGGGTAGTGTTGGGAGCTGGGTCCACTGGGTCACGGTTCCCGCAAACATCAACCGCGGCAGGAGCTTCCCAGCAAGCACTCCGCTCTGAAGGCAGTGCCCCTCTCCAGTTATATATGTTGGTCGAAAAATCCGGGTAATTATAGATATATCATAAATCCATATGAATCCATATAAATCCATATAAATCTGAGTGAAATGTTAGTTCCAAACCAACTTAGCCAAGCACCTGGGTCACCACCTCCACACCCAAAAACTGTGGAAAAAAAACAGTTTTGGCAAACCAGCACGAGCCACTCGAAGCACAACCTTTTAAATCCCTGATTTGATCTCACAATCAAACCTTACCATATAATATCCACATAATATCCATATAATATCCACATAATATCCATATAATATCCACATCATATCCATAAAATAGCCATATAATAACCATAAAATAACCACATAATATCCATATAATATCCTTACCATATAATTCAAGTCACGTGCCAAAATGCTGGGACCAATGAACCTCCAATTGACTACTCTTATCCGAAGAACAGTCGAAAATAGGGTTTCAACATGAAAATTGCCCTTTAGAGGGTAACTATTCTGGATTTTCAGACATACCACAGAAAAAACGAATATTGCTGGTTATACATCACCATTAAATCACCATTTCCGTTGCTTAAATCCCGCGTCCCATGAAATGAGCCCCATAAATCTCATAAAAATTGTTGGGAAGTAACTCAAAATCATGTTCCGTCAGTTCCATCCCAAAATTTTGCCTAGTGACTTCCCCACCATCCCCAGTGATATCCCCACGACATTCCCGTTGTGCACACGACAGGGCCGGCCTTGTCCCTCGACAACAACATCAATGGAGCCGTGCCTGAGAGTAACAGTCACCAGCTCCTGCGAGACCTCGGAACAAAACACGAGCAAGAATGGTTTGATCATGTTTATAAACCCCATGAATACTATAGTTATAAGCACCACAAACCATAGTGAAATTGGAGTTATAAACCAACTTAGCTATCTTGGGGGCCCCACATTGTAACAATGTTGAATCATGTTGAATCAGCATTAATCATGCTGAATCATGTTGAATTGTGTTGAACACCATGTTGAATCATCATGATATACTCATGTTAAACCATGTCTAATCATGACCAATCATGTTTAATCATGTTTAACCTTGTTGAATCTTATTTGATCATGTTTTAACCATGTTGAATCATCATTATATATTCATATTGAATCATGTCTAATCATGTTCAATCATGTTGAATCATGTTGAGCCATGTTCAGTCATGCTTAGTCATGTTTAACCTTGTTGAATCATGTTCAATCATGTTTTAACCATTTTGAATCATTATTATATACTCATGTTAAATCATGTCTAATCATGTTCAATCATGTTGAATCATGTTAAACCATGTTTAGTGATGTTTAATCATGTGTAACCATGTTGAATCATGTTCAATCATGGTTTAACCATGTTGAATCATCACTATATACTCATGCATAATCATGTCTAATCATGTTCAATCATGTTTAATCATGTTACATCATGTTGAACCATGTTCAGTCACGTTTGATCATGTCTAACCTTGTTGATTCATGCTGAATCATGTCTCTGTCTAATCATGTTGAATCATGTTTCATCATGTTGAAATATGTTGAACCATGTCCAGTCATGTTTAATCATGCTTAACCTTGTTGAATCGTATTTAATCATGGTTTAATCATGTTGAATCACCATTATATACTCATGTTGAATCATGTCTAATCATGTTCAATCATGTCGAATCATCATCACTCATGTTGAATCACGTCTATAATCATGTTCAATCATGTTCAATGTTTAATTATCTTGAACCATGTTCAGTCATAATTCATCATGTTCAATTATGTTGAATCATGTTCGATCTAGTTTAATCTAAAATCAGTGTCTTGCTTTCAGAATTATACATGTACAGCAATAGAAAATCAGTTTCCATCTACAATCCTACTACTCCAAGATGGCGACGAAACTCGTCTGATCCGCTCAAAAAAGGCGCGCCTGCAAGGTTCCAATGACCTCATTGCGGAACTCTTCCATGCCTGGTCAGAACATAAAAATAGTGGCTATTTCTGAGGGCTAAGTTGGTGAACATAACTCCAATGTCACTATGGTTTATGGTACGTAAATAACTATAGTATTCATGGGGGTTATAAACCAACTAACATAACTGGGGGGGCCCACATTTGTGGGTATATATATATAACATATATAGGATGCTTGTGATTGGCATGTCAAATAGAACCCCAGCATTTGATGAGGATCAAAAAGTGGTTATAAAATCTTATAGATCTGTTGTATGCTTTTAATTGGCATATCTATTGGAAGAATGCCAGATTGCCCCAGTTTGTTTTTTCTAAGTGGCTTTGTAAGTAGGCTAGGTATCTCCCTGTGTATTGAGGTTTCAATGGGTTGGTTCCCAGGTTTGTTTTGGTTCAAAAACACAATCTTCCGGGCCTCAGGGTGGCAAAGGTTTGTCCTACCTTTGAGTGCTTCATGGCTTCTGGCATCTTAATCCTAATCATTAATCAACAAGATATAGATAGTGGATTATAGTGGATTAACAATGGTTAATAATGATGAAAACCCAGGGTTGGGATGACATCCCATATATGAAATGGAAAATAATCCAAATGTTTGGAACCACCAACCAGTAATCTATGTTGTTGTTTGTTGAAAGAGTACCCAAATGGGTGGTCACAACTGGGAGCAAAAATCTTGTAGAGAAGCCGAACTTCATGGAGCTCATGTTCAGTAGATATCAGTAGGTACCATCAATATCATCAATTTAACCAAAAGAAAATGGGGATGATCCAGTTTTTGAGGCAAGAAGTCAACAGAATGATCTTTTGTTCTTTCTTCATGTTTAATTTCATCGACAAAATGAGGGTCTGCACAGAGTTGTCACCGTCTTGTAGGTGGGACCAGGAAATACATGGCTTACCCTCCATGGCTGGGACATGGGAAACTCATATATCGAAATGCGGGATTTTCGATAGCTATGTTAAATTACTAGAGGGATGTAGAGGGTAGATCTAGAGAGAAAGATGGGATGACAACATTAAAAAAAAAACAACTACTACTACTACCAGTAGTTTTACAATAAATGGGATGAACATCCGGATGATAAATGGGATTAGACCCCAGTGTGCATGGGAGACTTACAAATGATTTCTTCACCACCTACCTAGTACAATTTTTGAAACGCACATCCAAGCAGGGTTTCTAGATAGGGCCCCAAAATCATTGAGCCAAGATGAATATCTGATTTGGATGTTTCCATAAATGGGGGATCCCAAAATGGTTGGTTTATAATGGAAAATTCCATTAAAGTGGATAATTTGGGGATACCACTATTTTAGGAAACCCCCATTTGATCGAGAGTGTAACGCCACCAGGTCCCCCAAAATACTTTTTTTTAAAATATGTTTATGTTGTTTTCTACATCTTTGATCATATGAAAGATCAAAGTTCCTGGGAGATGTACTGTTTTTGGTGTGTTAATCCTTAGCTCTATGATGCTCTATTCTTGGCTGCTTGCTTTTTGTAGCTCCATTGGTTTTTGATAGGTGGTCTTAGTATATGAATGCTAAAGTTCTTTGCCCAATAGCGTCTTGAAACATAGATATTCATTGTGTCAGTTGGTACTTCATGTGTATACAGCTATTGCGAAGACGGTATATATATATACATATACATAGCACTTTGTATTTGCATTGGTGGTCTTTGAGATTGGACTGCCAGGTCGCCTTTTGGTTGACACGACAGTTCCAGTGGAACTCTTATAGCAAATGGAAGTGCAAATTCCAATTTACCGTGCCTGCTCAAGTATTTGCAATATGTTTTGCATACTTCATGGTAACTTGCTGCATAAATGCACAAGCAAGGCAGCCATTCTAAATTCTATAGATACAATTGTTTGGTAAGGTTGCTTAAGTGTTCCTTTCGCTTGGTTTTGTGCCCTTCGGCTTACCATGATGACCTTATACTGACATAGTTTAAGTTTTACGCACAGTCATGAGTACATGTATGGTAATAAAATGTCTGCCGTTATATCTGCAGTGACACAGCAAATTACCTTTCTATATACGCAGGAAGAAAACGCCTTGTCTGAAGCAAGGGGGAAATGGACGTGCCCTTGGCATTTGCCAACTCTTGTGATCAACAAATATTTTAAGCAGAGCTGTTTCTGCATAAAAACTTGGAAGAATACCATTGCATATATGCAGAAAAACATGTGCAAAACTTGTGTCTGCAAGGGCGTAGGTGACTTATATGCCACCCATTCCATAACTGTATGTACTATATAAGAAAAACGTGTTTGTATATAGAAAATAGTTGCATTCTAAGTGCATATGCAGCTTGGATGTGTTGACACAGCAAATGGCTATGGCATCTGCAAAAAAATGTATTGCTTATATCACAACGAACCCTTTAGATATCAGTGCATGTTTGAAGCTGCCACTTCTACTGTATATATACTGCACACTTGTGACAACGCGCTTGCATACTGGTTGAAACTATGCACCCACTAAAGCACAAACAACACATGAAACTGAAACTTTTCATACAGTATAGATCAAAGAACTAAGAACATGAGTGAGTATTGATCAAAAGGATGGAGAAGGGACCCCTTTCCATATGAATGCGTTCTGGGAGCTGCTACTTCCTAGTCCAATGTGTTGTGTCATAGCTGTTTTCTGTCAAGTTTTATAAACAGTCTTAACTCTTTTTGGGTGTTACTCATCCTGTCATAAAAGCACGGCCAAACAATTATGGTAATAGGGTACCTGCATATTAGATGTGCAGTAGCATAGCAAATTACTGTGAAATTTGCAGGATAAACTAAATTTTGGAGAAAGGGTAAGCTGGAGTTGCCCCTGCCATTTGCCAACTCTTATGATCAAAGTCATTTGTAACCAAAGAGTATTTATTGCATTCAATCCTGGAAGAATTCCATTACATATGCAAAGTACATGTGGAACATGTGTATACGTATTGGTATGCGCTACTTATGCACCATCCATATCATAGATGCATACAGGGGTACTAACAAGGAAAATGCAAGTCCATCAATCTCTATATATATATATACACATAATATGGCTACAGTGACATTCTAAACACATATGCACCTTGGGTGTGTTGATACAGCATATGGCTATGGTATATGATATGCAACATCCATGTTGTCTATATCACAAGGAGCTCTTGAGACATCAGTATCTACTTGAAGACTGCTTTTTATATGGTATTGTATAAGACATATTGTATACTTGTAGCGAAATTATTATATACTATCAAATCATATCTGAAACTATTTCCTCACTAAGCACAAACATTACACGTTTTTTTTCATGCACCAGATCTAACAATAAAGACCAAGTCTATTACTTGCTCAAAAAAATGGAACAACACACCCTCTCCACATAAAGCATGCTGTGCGTTGCTATTTCCCATTGTGTTATATTTTTGAAAATCAAATCAATGTTCTTACCGTTTTTGTTTTTTTTGGCAGCTGCTCATGCTACGTCACGCAACTTCTCAGGCTACGTCATGCCGTTGTGCTACTTGCCACTTGCTTACTATATAAATTCTGCAAAGTTCTGTTAATATGCCGTCGTATTCTCTAACTTAAAAATAATTTTGTACGTTATTATTTTCTTTCAGAATCAGTTTCTTCCATTCGTATTCCGTTCTTGTATTCAGTAGTCCGTTCCTTCATTTTACCAGCCGTTAGGGAAGGGCTATACATAGGATGACTGATGACTAGGAGAGGGGAGGTCCAAGTTTTTTTGTTTGGGCTCGGACCCTCTGTCCCCTGAGGAAAGCACAATCCTTTCCATGGGGATCTTTAAGGCTCTCTGGAAATCTCTGGCAACCTCTGTGGAAGTCTAACAATATTTGAGGATCTCTAGCAATACCTTTAAAGTGGTTTCCAATGGGTTCAAGGTTCTTCATGTCGATCTTTTCAGGACATCAAGTAACGTTATCTATAGTATATGAACATCAATGATCAAACGTGATGTAGCAGAAACACTGCATTCCCAAAAACGTGGTTAAACGACTGGGGACCTTTTTTCGAAAGTGCCTTTCTGATTCGATCAGGATGAGATGAGTCGAAAACCAAGCCACCATGGTCTGCTGATGGATCTGGTGGGTCGTCTTGAAAAAAAAAACTGTTGTTAAGAAACAGACTAATGTGGTTAGAACAATAATAAACCATCCCGCAAATCACCATAAAGAGCTGGTTTTTGAACCATTCCCAAATGGCTAGTTTATGCTAACGGGTGCCAAACCGTACGTGTAGTTACACACATTTTCAACATGGGGTGGGGTGGGGTGGGGATGTTAACGTTCGTTAGCATTTGAACACGCCACGCATGCTACGCTGAGCATGTGGTGGGGTGGAGATGTGAACGTTCGGTTGAAGTTGAACACGCCACTGCTGCTACGCTGATCATGGGGTGGGGATGGGGTGGGGAGGGGTGGGGATGTTCACGTTCGTTAGCATTTGAACACGCCACGCATGCTACGCTGAGCATGTGGTGGGGTGGAGATGTGAACGTTCGGTTGAAGTTGAACACGCCACTGCTGCTACGCTGATCATGGGGTGGGGATGGGGTGGGGTGGGGTGGGGATGTTACGTTCGTTAGCATTTGAACACGCCACGCATGCTACGCTGAGCATGTGGTGGGGTGGAGATGTGAACGTTCGGTTGAAGTTGAACACGCCACTGCTGCTACGCTGATCATGGGGTGGGGATGGGGTGGGGTGGGGTGGGGATGTTCACGTTCGTTAGCATTTGAACACGCCACGCATGCTACGCTGAGCATGTGGTGGGGTGGAGATGTGAACGTTCGGTTGAAGTTGAACACGCCACTGCTGCTACGCTGATCATGGGGTGGGGATGGGGTGGGGTGGGGTGGGGATGTTCACGTTCGTTAGCATTTGAACACGCCACGCATGCTACGCTGAGCATGTGGTGGGGTGGAGATGTGAACGTTCGGTTGAAGTTGAACACGCCACTGCTGCTACGCTGATCATGGGGTGGGGATGGGGTGGGGTGGGGTGGGGATGTTAACGTTCGTTAGCATTTGAACACGCCACGCATGCTACGCTGAGCATGTGGTGGGGTGGAGATGTGAACGTTCGGTTGAAGTTGAACACGCCACTGCTGCTACGCTGATCATGGGGTGGGGATGGGGTGGGGTGGGGTGGGGATGTTCACGTTCGTTAGCATTTGAACACGCCACGCATGCTACGCTGAGCATGTGGTGGGGTGGAGATGTGAACGTTCGGTTGAAGTTGAACACGCCACTGCTGCTACGCTGATCATGGGGTGGGGATGGGGTGGGGTGGGGATGTCAACGTATATCGTGTGTTCTCGTTACCTGTTTTGAGGAGTGCATCATAATAATTTATAATGGTTGTCATACTTCTGTTGATAGTGTCTTTCACCACGGTAACGATAAAGTTCATCCCAATGGTGATAAAAATCACCCTCTAATTTCATATGTTGGTCATTATTGGATATGCTTGGTATGATAGCGATCTTTCATATCGTGAGGATAATAACTCATCAAATCACTAGTCAGTGAGGTCTACATGCACAATGATCAATGAAAGTGGCAAGGCAAAAAAGGTCCGAAATTTGTGCTGTAAGGGTTGCAAAATCCAAGAAAAATGACCTTTTTTGGGAACATTTTTTTCCTGATCAGAAGGCCACGAAACACTGAAAGGGTTGTCATTTTTTTCAGCATGTTGATGCGCCTACACGCGCGATTCCGCACCCGGCGGGTAGTTTATGATTGTTTTAACCACGTTGGATCAGATTAGCATAAAATGAGGATAAATCTCATCCAAACATACGATTATATACATCCAATATCATCCAATATACATCCGCATATACACTGTCTCAACTTCAGTGATCACAAGCAACCAGAGTTTGATGAGCCACCCCTCAAAATTAAAGCCCCAACCAGAGTGCCAGGGTCGCGTCGACCATCTTTTCCATTCTTTTCCTGCTCCAACTGATGCTACCAACAGCTCCTTAGACTCCACGGGTCCTGCCTCCAGTCAAAGGGTTTCGCTCTGCAGGTGGTTGATGGTGTTTTTTTCAACCGAGGGCGTGATTGTTTCAAACAAAAAAAACCCTTGCAGTGGGCACCTGATTGTTGAGCCACAGCAGCAGCGGATATGTTGAATATGTGGTGGTTGAGCCATCCCCCTGGAATTGATAGTCGGGATCATCATCCCATTTCTTGGGAAAAAGGGGCCGACTGATGTCAAACAGCAACGAACATGAATGCTGATTTCATAGAATATCTGATTTGTGTGGTTGAGGATGGAATAAAAACACCAACAACGGTTCGGAAAGTCACCAATCATCGATAGAACTATTAATATTATTATAGATGGTATTCCTCCATCATTATATCCGATTAGATTCCATGAATGATAGAAATTCTAATCAGCTAATCAGCTAATCCAATGCTTACATAATATTCCTCCATCATTCCATGATCATTGGAATAACCTTTTGTAATTTCCAACAACGGGACCAGCAAAAACAGGCCGGCCTTCAGTAGGACATGGCTCAGCTGCGACAAGAAACGTACCTGCTGCGTTACGCGCAGGGAAACGAGCTGTGGTCATCAAGGGTCAAGAGCCAGTTTGGGTGGAACTTCCAGGTTTACTCAGTTCACCTTGAAGGGGGAACCTGCTCGCCTCATCCTCTGGGAGGTCTCCTGTTTGGGGAATCTAATCGGATGTATCTTTTAAGAAAACATGCTAATAGCATCTGATAGATCTGATAGCCAGAAAATGGTGTAGGATCCCCGATTTGAGACAACTATGGGGTAATCAAATTCAGGTGTGAGGCATCAAACTTATCAAACATGTTTTTTTTGAGCCAACAATCATGGGAGATTGGCTGGACACACTCTCAAAATTCAGCCTGAAGCCCAAAACATGACGAATTTCGCACCGAAATTTGAGGGTCCAAGGGTCCATCTCAAATTTCGGGCTTGTCGACCATTTGAGCAATGTCAACACCGGGAAAAAAACTAATACACAACAGGTGATTTCCATGGAGATGTCGTTACTGGATTATGTTCATCCCCGATAGCAAGGGTGGTATAACCCGAAAGAAAAAATGCAATCACATCAATTATAGCAAAGTATATGTTTGATGGGTAAACAGTTCAAACCCTTAGAAAGAATGGTTAACTTCCCAATTAATCTACTCTACAATCATCAACCTAAAGAGAGAAAGAGAGAGAGAGAGATGTGATATTGTCACATTGATGGTAATCTGCATATATATATATAATAATAATACTAATAATAATAATAAACACATATTCACATAATTTCACATGCCCGTTGTATCCCCATAATCTTAACGTTAAACGCTAACATCAACCGCCAGGCTTTTTAAAACTGCTCTCATTTGGGTGTCTCCGGTGTTTCCCAAAAAAGGGGATCCTCCCAAATTAGCCAAAATGTTCGGCGGATACCCCCACCCCATTTGGGAAATATCCGTTTCAGCGGTGTTCAACATCCTGTCATTCCTGTATATATTCTGGTTGGTTAATAGGTATTCTCAGCTCATGGATTCTCAGTTCATGGGCTATGTTGCTCCCCGATATATCAATTGTAGCATACCCCGTGAAATAATCATCAATTATCATTTGTCATATATTTGTATCCCCATGTGTTTGAAGGTTAAACCCCATTTTTGCTGCTAAATTCTCCAAACTAATCATCAACAAGGGTCTTGCAGCCACTAAACCTCTATTTTTCTTGTTTAAATCCCATGAAACCATAACTTAGCTGGTAAATGCATATATATATATATAGTGATATATATATATATAACTTAAATATACTTAACTAGTTAGCAAACAAAAAATGGTTGCTTCAATCCCACCGCTGGCACCTTGGCCCTTTGCAGCCGCTCTTTCAGCTCCTCCGGCGCCAGTTGCCTCGCACAATATGCATCAAGAATGGGGAATTCAGAAGCAAAAACTAGGGACTTTTCGGGTATCCGCAAATGAGGATTTGCCCTGCAAGAAGTTCATCCCTAAAACATGGCTTTAAGTGACAACAAGAAGTGAATCGCACCACTGAAGATACTCAAGATGAGATTTCACCGACGAAGAATGGAAGTTGACTAACAAGAACATGCGCAAAATGCTATAGTTTTTTTTGTGAAATGTGGAGGTTGTCAAGTTTCAATAGATATCAAATATATCCGTAGGGATTCGACAAATCCATAAGGGCTTCCTGCATGATGCTGGGTGGATCTTTTTTTGGCATGTCTAAAGAGTTCAGATCACCATTTTCGGTTCCAAACATCTCAAATTTGTGGTGCTGAATCCATTTTTGTTCGGTGAATTAATCCAATCTTTGCGGTTGAAAATCCCCAGTCTGGGTAGGGCCAAAGCACGTTTTAACATCACCTTGGGTGAAATCCCATGAAATCCACCTCATGTTTCTTCCCATTGAAGTGGCTTCAAAATTCATCCATGATTCATCCATGTTCCCATCGTTTTCCTGTGTTTTTCCCATCTTTTCCCATCTTTTCCCATCTTTTCCCAGGTTTTCCCATGGCTTCCACCCCCCCCCCCCGGGACCGGTGGATCCGATCCGGCCTCGCGTCCGCTGGGGATGGGAGGCCTCGGGCCGGGTAGCCCGCCTCCGTCGATGTGGCGAATCATGGAGAATGAGATTTCTTTTAAATAATGTATTCAATGGATTGGAATATATAAGGGAAATTTTACAGACTATAGTACTATAGGACTATATATGGTACTTATAACTAGACTATAGTTGATGGGGTATCCCCTATAGATTCTCCCGATATTCAATGGATTCGCTAATATTTCACTAACCTGAAAAGTTCGGCCATAAAAGGGGATGATTTCCCTTACTAACCATGATTTCCAGTGAGGGAGACCAGTGAGGTCGTTATAATTTACCCAGAATAATGTATAGACTGTATATACCCATACAATGTGGGGCCCCCAAGATAGCGTTCAGTTGGTGAACATAACTCCAATGTCACTATGATTTATGGTACTTATAACTATAGTTAATGGGGTTATTCAATGGATTGGATTAAGGGAAAACCATATAGTACTTATAGTTGACTATAGTTGATGGGGTACTTATAACTAGACTATAGTACTATAGGACTATATATGGTACTTATAACTAGACTATAGTTGATGGAACACTTATTAATTATATTTAATTATATAGTTATCAAATTACCAGAGGGTATCCCCTATAGATTCTCCCAATATTCAATGGATTGGATTAAGGGAAAATTTACAGGTTTAAGCCCCATATAAATAGTGGGAAAATCTCTATGGTTTCCTGTAAATTGTCCCGACTAAACCAACCCATTGATGTATAGACTGTATATACCCATAGGATCCATGGTGCTGGTATATATGCTAACATGACTGGGGTATATGGATGGGATCCATGTTACCATATATATATAGCATACATGGATCCGATGGGATATATATATAATAATATATATATATTATAATGAAAATGTAATATTTTTGTTTAAATGTATATGTATATTTTTTTTCAAAAAATATAATGTAACAATGTATATGTACGATATTTTATTATTCTAATGGATAATGATAATGGATAACAGGGCAACATCCGAATGTATAGATATATGGTTTAAAGAAATAAACATAAATTCTATAAGTGAAAGTTCTAGACATCCAGGTTTCTTGACAAAAAGTATGCATGAAAGGGATTAGAATAGGAAAAAATATTGCGCAGTTCGAGATGTTGAAACCGAACATCTGTGGAAAACAAAGGCCTGGATGACCACTAGATGCATTGTCGTCTCCAAGTGCAAGAAAAAAACGGCATGACCAGAAACACAAAGATACAGTTGACACCGGTGCAAGGTGAGGTCATTCCAGTTATAAGTTCGGTTCATACCTCCATTAACAACTTCGATATATCTAGCATTTTCACGAGTTCGATATATCTATGTCACTGTCTCGATCGCCATATCACCATAGTTTTCTGAAAAATGTATCACCCATATGCTCCATGGTGCTGGAATATTTACCAACATTTACCCCATAAATGACATAAATGACATAAATGACCCAGTCATGTACATAAATGTACCAGCACCATGGTTCGCATATGGGTCAGCATGTTCACCAACTCCAATCAAATCTCCCATCCCCTATGCTCCATGTATAGTATATTTACCTACATGACTGGGCCTTTTTTTTTGGGGTAAATGTTGGTAAATGTTGGTAAATCTTCCACAGAATTGGATCAAATCTCCCATGGAAAATCACCAGTTGTGGACCGATGAGGATCCACGGATCGCTTGTCATGTTGCGCTTCCTGTTGGGCACTTAAACGTGCCAAAGGCATACAAAAAACAAAAACAAAACGATGGAGTCGAAATCATGCCAAACTTAGATACCATGAAATCTTTTTCTGAATGTTGCTTGTCTTATATGTTTTATGTATTTATAATCCTATATTATTGATCCTTAGGTCCTATATGGTCCTATATATCTATATAATTATAATTGTAATATATATATATATTTAATTATATATATACACGGTTTCCTAAAATAGGGCTACCCCTCAAATCATCCATGTTAGATTGGGATTTTCCTTTATAAACCAAGCAGCTTTTGGGGTACCCACCTCCAGGGTAAACGCCCCGGTTCCCTCGGCACATTCCATAAGGCGTCACGTAGCTGCACCACGCTCATCCGATGCGCCTCCAGATGTGGGAACGAACATCTCTGACAACAGATGTGGGGATGGGTCAAATTTTAAGCCCTATGAGATCACAGATTTTAGTATATGTTGAGTATTAACCATCTACTTATCGAGGTACCCAATTTTGACCCATAGCATCCCATAGGCCATGTATCCAAAAATGATTTCACCAACAGAAACGGTGATTTGATGACCACTTCACCATGAAAATTTTCGTGATTTTCCCATGGGATTCAACCAATAGACATGGGGATTTAACGGGATTTCAGCAACAAAACGAGTGATTTGACGGGATTTCACGAGCAACAAGGTAGTTGAATGGAGTTTGACCCAGAAAAATGGTGACTTTTCAGTGGGATTCGGGATTTTTCAGCAACAAAGAAGAGGGTCAACCAAACAATTTCCGGGTGACGATCGCGATATTCATCAGCAAAAATGGGCTTATCAATAGTATAAGACCAACCATTTTATGATTTTTACGGGGATACTCGCGGGATAAATTTTATAACCACATATACCACCGACATTTGCTTTTTTTGAAACATGTTTTTTTTCTGGGGTGCGTTTGAAGAAAGGGGGGTTGACTGCAAAATGCCGTACGTTGATCAACACTCATTGGGTGTACGCAGATCGCGCCGCGGATCGCGGGTATCCCGGATATCCCGGATCCGGCGCTAGAAATTGTGCATTGGTTCGCGGGATGAACATTCAGAACCACGTTGATTTTTTGAAGTAATATAGAGTACCCTCTGGTAATTTAACATAGCTATTGAAAATCACCATTTTTAATGGGAAAATCCACTATTAATGGTCATGTTCAATAGCTACGTTAAATTACCAGAGGGTAAAATGGAGCTGACAAAAATCGAAGAAATGGGGAGGAAACGAAGCAACATGGAACTCAAGATATCTCAACATACTTCGGCCACACGAACCAACCTCCATCCCATCTCAGTCTATCACCTCTTCCAAACTAGGAAGTTCGACCTCAGTCGTCACCATATCAGTAGCCTGTGATTTTGGTCGCCCCACATCTAGATCATCTAGATTTCTGGATGCTGAGTCGGACACTTATGCAGCAGTTTCATGGTTTATCCATGGTTTATCCATGGTTTATCCATGAAGTTTCGCTGTTGGGGGATGGAAATCTGATGAAAATCCTCGATGAAACCCATCTGATTTCACCGCAGCTTAAGTGGGGATCCTCCCAGCTGAGACGATCACCTCAGAAAAACTGCGGGTTTTGGCCCTTCGGGGATGTTGGTTCGGAAAACCCACATTTTGACATTGACTCCATCCCTACCAAAACATATTCCCTTTTCAGATACTATGCTATAAGTTGCTCAATCAATCACTTACATGTATAATGTTGATTATTCCATGTCGGTTGGTCGGTTGATCGGTTGATCGGTTGATCGATTGATCGATTGATCGATTGATCGATGGATTGATTGATTGATTGATGGATTGATTGATTGATTGATTGATGAGTTTATGATTTAAACAATGGTATATACAAATGTCCAAAGACAAACAAGTGGTCTATGAATGATAAGATTAAAAAAATAAAAAAAAAACAATCATTGATATCCCATGCTTTTCTATACAAGAAATCGCCATTTCCCATAGCATAAAGTCACCGGAAAAAAAAATGCTGGTTAAATCACCAGTATTTACCCCTGTGTCGTCCCTTGAAACTGTTTGAGAACTGAAAGGCTCCCCGATAAAATTGTTGGTCACTGTAGCATAAATCAGCAATCCCATGAAAAATCACCGATTTTTCTTCTTGGTTAAATCCCATGAAATTCCCTTTTTTCTTGGTTAAATCCTATTAAATCATCATGTGTTCTTGGTTCAACCTCATGAAATTTCCCCATGTTTCATCATTTCCCATTGAACTGGCTTCAAAATTCACCGTCATCCATTTTCCCATCCTTTTCCTATGTTTTTCCCATCTTTTCCCATGATTTCCTATGGATTTCCCATGATTTTCCCAGGGTTTTCTGGGGCCAAAAACCCGTGCTGCCCAGCCACCCCGTGGCTCTGCGCCATGCGCTCCGCGCGGCGCCGCTCCTTGGTGGAACCCCAACGCCTTGGAGTCTTGGAGGCGGAAAAATCGATGGAAGATGCGTGGGATGTTTGTGGGATATTATATATATATGTATGTATGTGTATGTTTCTGGTTGTTTATGTGTATATGTATATCTATAATTATCAATATATATGTTTGATTATCAATGTATTATATATATATATATTATAGCACCCCCAAATGTTGATGTCCACCAAGGGAAAAATCATCTGGTTGGCTCCCAGCTTCAGTTCAACTCCCAACAGCCCAAGTCGAAGCCAGTGGCTAGGACAGGCCATGGCACAGACCATTAATAGGGGCTAGTCATCCAATGGTTCATAGGGATTTATAATAACCATTATTTTTGGATCCTTATTATGGATGGGATGACCATCAACCATATAGTGAGTATTGACCATGGCTCATATATAGAAATCCATGTGTTCAACAGTGGAACGTCATGTTAAGGGGAGAAAAGAGTAAAACATCTTCAAATTCATGTTGAGGAACGTATGTACGATTGTATACGTCGTGCAAATATGTAATATATGATAATATATGTATTTATGCAAGTAGATTATGCGAAGGCTTGGCAAAAGCCCACATCGTCAGCAGATACTTGGATCCATAAGGTGTGTCTGTATATCTATAGATCATATTACATATATACAGATATATAATACATCAATTATAATACTAATTAATACTATATAATACTATATTAGCTTCCCATACTTGTACAATCAGGCTTTCTCAGCATTTCTCCAGGTGGACCGGGTTTCTGTTCCTGTTTTCATAAGAAAAATCACCGCGGTGAATGGTTCAATTATGTTTCATTGGTAATTTACTAGTTGCTGCATGTCATGTCATGTCCCAATGTTTTTTGGCATAAACGAGGCTTTTCCTGTTGTATTTTTGTCAGGAGTGATCCCGGTTTGTGTTGGAAGTACATGGAATCTGCATCCACGCAAAGCTATACGCTACAGCAGTAATGCTGTAAAGCTAGTCACAAGCCACAAGCCCTCATGCTGTAAGGTTTGTAGACTCTGAGAAGGAAAACATCAGGTCTAGGTCTGGTTTATGGATTACGACATGAATACGTACCCATCCGAAGCAAAAGTACACCCTCTAAATCATCATCTCTGGGTGATACCCTCTGGTAAACTAACATAGCTATAGAAAATCACCATTTATAATAGGTAAATCAACTATAAATGATCATGTTCAATAGCTATGTTAATTTACCAAAGGGTATTTCTGCAAACAAATAGTTCAGTGCTGAAAGGCTTGCCATGTTGTGGAGGATTCCCCAAAAACCAAACAGATTGCCCCGTGAGCACATCCGCAGATGCCACGTCTTTGATAGATCCCGAAATTTTTGCTGTTTAAAAATCCCATGCTTGGTGGTTGAAACCCCAGTCAAAATGCATAGTTCATTCGATTTTGGCTCTTACTTCTAGTCCTAGTCCTATTGATGACCAATCTTTTTATTGGGCGGTTCAGCTCTCCATTTTGAACGAATTCCGAGTTCAACCGGATAAAGTCCCATCCAAAAACTGACATGTGTCAATGTGGCATCCCGTTTCGATGTATCATTGATGACATATTATGTATATGTATATAAACATATATATATCATAGCACATCTAATTATATTATCCATGCATACATATCTATACATATCTAGTTCTATATACATATATATATTACTATATATTACTATATCTATATTGTGGCTTGCCAAAAACATCCCTTAGCGGATCCCCAACGGCCCGTCGTCCCGTCGAACGTCCGTCGAAGGCGCTCCGCTTGAAGGCGCTTCTCCTCCTTCCGCCGCAGCTGGCGCTGGAGCGACGTCGTGGCCTTCAACTCTGCCTCGGCGGAGCCGCTACAAACATGGATGGTGATATACTGGTTATATAATGGTTATATAACGGTTATATAATGGTTATATAATTGTTATATAATAATTATATAATTGTTAATATTGATAGTAGTCATAATAATATTATGACGGTTTATGTTAATAATTAATGGATAGTAATAATAATAATCGTCCATTAATATTAATGGTGATAATAATGGTGATTATAATGGTTATATAGTGCTTATAGTTATGTTTGTAATGGTTATCATGATGGTAAATGATAGTTAATGATAGTTAATAACAGTGATTAACGGTTAACAATGGTTAATAATGATTAATGGTGATTATAGTGGATTATAGTGGTTAATGAGGGTTAATAATGGTGATTAGTGGTGGTTGTAATGGTTAATGATGTTTAAGAATGGATGATACTCCCATCCCCCGTTCATATTAAACATTATTAAACACCCCCTATTCTATAGTCCCAATGATGCGGAATTTCCCTACATTTTACCATGGTTTCAAAGTTTCCTTTGGGGGATGGGATGCAATAAAAAGGTTCAATTCATCACCTTTTCAGTGGGATGAATTACTCTTCTTATCAGTTCTTATCCTTTTTTGGGGCGGTGATTACATATGTAATGTGGATATCATAATATACATTATATATAATATATAATTATATGTATACAATAATAAATATATATATATATGTATACATATAATTCGATTTATATCTCTACATATGTATATATATATATATCAATAACAGTAAGATAAAGACTAGTCATAGGCCAAAAACAGATTATGATGATGCTCTCGGTCATTCACCGAAAGATGACAAGCATGAAAGCCGGCGACATTTGACCGAAGCTTGCACCAAAATTAATCCATTGGGGTGTTCAATGGAATCAGACAGGAATCGACTGCTAAGGGTGGAACTAGAATATGATCATAATCGTTGCTGCAATGATGTTGATGTTGATGCGAATTTAATGTCAGGCCTACATTTTGTGTTCTGTTTATTGTTATTTTGGTCCTCAGAGTTGTTCCTCACGGATAATAATCAAAAGGCTGAAGTGCGGCTTGTTTCTGGGCAAATCATCTAGGAATAGGTCATATATACCATGGCGATGCAACAAATTACCGTTAAGGGTAAATCGAATTACGATCCCATTAGACCACCATTACATCCCATTCATATCCATATATATAATATATATATATCATCCATTTTTTCAACGGGGTTATAGATGACTTCCCATTTAAAAAAAATGAAACTAGGATTTTCAGTTGCCACGTTTGATTACTCAAGGGTGAAACTGCAGAGCATTCAAGCAGCCGAACTCAAAATGACTCGTTGCAGGATTGATCCCCAATGATGTTCTTGCTATCCCCATGTGTTCCTTCAATGTTCATTCTGCTTGGTGGTATACCTACCCTTCTGAAAAATATGAGTTCGTCAGTTTGGATGATTATTCCCTATATGATGGGAACATAAAATTCATGTTCCAAACCACCAATCATTTTATGGTGTTTTATCCCAAGATTTCCAGAAGATACGTCCATCTTTCGGATATTTCATGATACTCTCATATTTCTTTTAAAAAAATCCACATGTCCGATATGTATGTACATTCAAGATACCCTCTGGTAATTTAACATAGCTATGGAAAATCACCATTTTTCATGGGAAAATCCACTATTTCTATGGCCATGTTCAATAGTTTTTTGTATGTTTACCAGAGGCTATCTCCGTTATATCTCCGTTAAACAAAACAAAAATCTCCAGCATTGGCGCCCAGCTCCCAGTTTGGCTTCGCAATCACCTGGGTCTCCTTACCTCCTGGCGTTCCTTTGCACGCTTCGCCTTAGCATCTCATTGGGAATCCCCTGGGGGCGTTTTTTTTTTCGGGCTTCATTTGATCATCGGAATGTTTTTCTTAGGGGACTAACATGAAGAAGTTGATCTTCCTATTCAAATCCTGATTTCTGGGTTTCCTTCAACACCATGGAAAGCTACTGGGAAGATCAACCCCCAGTAAAAATATGGGAATATCCACCCAATCAGTCATCAATGGTGGCAATTGAGCAGCTTAATTAAAAAAAAACTCTGGAAATCTACATTCCATTGAAAATTGGTCCGAAAAAAAATCCATGGGGCCATAGGCTTAAGTGGTGATCGTCAGCGGCTTATACCAATACCCATGATATACCCAGTTACAGGGAGACAAAAGCCATGCCCTAAGCCTATACTAACCACTTAAATAACTCCGACTGGCCCACCTCAGAAGAATACTCTGTGTAGATAGAGATTATGATTGTATAAACTGTATATTTATTTATTTATCATTATTTATCTATTTATTATTATGTATTTATCTTTCGCACATATGTTCATTCTTTCTGTTTTGAACTTGGAGCTTCTGGCTTGTTGGGCTCATGATTGGTTGTTCCATTCCATCGCAGATTTCGGCGACGGCTTTTTCGGCCTGTGAATTCCTGTGAGACTTGTAGAGTTTTGACCCTGGATGTATGTAAAACACCATAAAATTGGGCATTGTTCTTGCTATGTGAAGGACCCACTCCAAATAAATGGACGGTTAGACGGTTAGACCATGTTTGACCATTGCCAAATATGGCTATATAGAAAACCATTGTAACCACAGTGACCCATCCCAACATTGGGGGTTTCTGAAGGGGTTTCTGAAGATGGTACCCCCAAATCATTGAAAATTATCGACTACATTTCGGTACTGAAACACACAAAGTTTTGGGCTGGATAAATTGAAGTAATTCACTAACCTCAAAAGTTAGGCCATTTGGGGATAGTTACACCCCAGAAATTTAACAAAGCATAGATCAGCTCTGGCACCGGCTCATTAACATAGCATCCGGTACCGTTGTGCGGCCTGGGGAAAAGGAGATAGGTAGATTTTGGGCCCGTTGGGCACCAACTCATAAACATAGCATCCGGCGCCGTTGAGGGAATAATTTGTGCATTCCCCAGGAAATGGAAATCAAAAACCTGCGATGGGTGCTAACCTGGCACCTGAAAGAGACTGACCTAGCTAGAATCCTGGAAGGCAGAAATGCTATGTTAGTTTTTTGTTTCCCCTGTGTATCTCCCCGGGGTGGTGATCCCAATGCAATGAGTCGGGGTGAGCAGCAGGTGAGCAGCAGCAGGTAAGCAGCAGCACGCAGCAGCAAGGAGCAGCAAGGAGCAGTAAGCAGCAAGGAGCCAGATTGGCAACATCGACCAGGAGATTTTTCCTTCTTCAATCCATTATGTAAAATTGTTCGTTTTGAAGCTTTTTTGGGTCCAGTAAGGGCGAGCCCCAGGAAGACATGCAAAAACAGTTGTGCCAGTCATGATTTTCAATCCAAACCAGAGTTTTGGCAACAGGATTGCTAACATAGCATTTGCCCAGGGTTCCCAAAACCTCCAATAGTACATCATAATCACCATGGCAGCAATGAACCAGATTGGCAACATCGACCATGAGTTTTTTCCTTACTCAATCTATTATGTAAAACTGTTCGTTTTGAAACTTTTTTGGGTCCAGTAAGGGTGAGCCCCAGGAAGACATGCAAAAACAGTTGTGCCAGTCATGATTTTCAATCCAAACCAGAGTTTTGGCAACAGGATTGCTAACTCCCAAAACCTCCAATAGTACATCATAATCATCATGGCAAGGAGCCAGATTGGCAACATCGACCAGGAGTTTTTTCCTTATTCAATCTATTACGTAAAACTGTTCGTTTTGGAGCTTTTTTGGGTCCAGTAAGGGTGAGCCCCAGGAAGACATGCAAAAACAGTTGTGCCAGTCATGATTTTCAATCCAAACCAGAGTTTTGGCAACAGGATTGCTAACATAGCATTTGCCTAGGGTTCCCAAAACCTCCAATAGTACATCATAATCATCATGGCAAGGAGCCAGATTGGCAACATCGACCAGGAATTTTTTCCTTATTCAATCTATTATGTAAAACTGTTCGTTTTGAAGCTTTTTTGGGGCCAGTGAGGGTGAGTCCCAGGAAGACATGCAAAAACAGTTGTGCCAGTCATGATTTTCAACAGAGTTTTGGCAACAGGATTGCTAACATAGCATTTGCCTAGGGTTCCCAAAACCTCCAATAGTACATCATAATCATCATGGCAAGGAGCCAGATTGGCAACATCGACCAGGAATTTTTTCCTTATTCAATCTATTATGTAAAACTGTTCGTTTTGAAGCTTTTTTGGGTCCAGCCCCGGGAAGACATGCAAAAACAGTTGTGCCAGTCATTTTTCCAACAGAGTTTTGGCAACAGGATTGCTAACATAGCATTTGCAGATTTCCCAAAACCTCCAATAGTACATCATAATCATCATGGCAAAGGAGCCAGATTGGCAACATCGACCAAAGTTTTTTCCTTATTCAATCTATTATGTAAAATGTTCGTTTTGAAGCTTTTTTGGGTCCAGTAAGGGTGAGCCCCAGGAAGACATGCAAAAACAGTTGTGCCAGTCATTTTTCAATCCAAACCAGAGTTTTGGCAACAGGATTGCTAACATAGCATTTGCCCAGGGTTCCCAAAACCTCCAATAGTACATCATAATCATCATGGCAGCGAGGAGCCAGATTGGCAACATCGACCAGGAGTTTTTTCCTTATTCAATCTATTATGTAAAACTGTTCGTTTTGAAGCTTTTTTGGGTCCAGTAAGCGTGAGCCCCGGGAAGACATGCAAAAACAGTTGTGCCAGTCATTTTCAATCCAAACCAGAGTTTTGGCAACAGGATTGCTAACATAGCATTTGCCCAGGGTTCCCAAAACCTCCAATAGTACATCATAATCATCATGGCAGCAAGGAGCCAGATTGGCAACATCGACCAGGAGATTTTTCCTTTTTCAATCTATTATGTAAAATTGTTCGTTTTGAAGCTTTTTTGGGTCCAGTAAGGGTGAGCCCCAGGAAGACATGCAAAAACAGTTGTGCCAGTCATGATTTTCAATCCAAACAGAAGTTTTGGCAACAGGATTGCTAACATAGCATTTGCCCAGGGTTCCCAAAACCTCCAATAGTACATCAAAATGATCATGGCAAGGAGCCAGATTGGCAACATCGACCAGGAGTTTTTTCCTTATTCGACCTATTATGTAAAACTGTTCGTGCTTTTTTGGGTCCAAAAAGGGTGAGCCCCAGGAAGACATGCAAAAACAGTTGTGCCAGTCATGATTTTCAATCCAAACCAGAGTTTTGGCAACAGGATTGCTAACATAGCATTTGCCCAGGGTTCCCAAAACCTCCAATAGTACATCATAATCATCATGGCAGCAAGGAGCCAGATTGGCAACATCGACCAGGAGTTTTTTCCTTATTCAATCTATTATGTAAAACTGTTCGTTTTGAAGCTTTTTTGGGTCCAGTAAGGGTGAGCCCCAGGAAGACATGCAAAAACAGTTGTGCCAGTCATGATTTTCAATCCAAACCAGAGTTTTGGCAACAGGATTGCTAACATAGCATTTGCCCAGGGTTCCCAAAACCTCCAATAGTACATCATAATCATCATGGCAGCAAGTAGCCAGATTGGCAACATCGACCAGGAGTTTTTTCCTTATTCAATCTATTATGTAAAACTGTTCGTTTTGAAGCTTTTTTGGGTCCAGTAAGGGTGAGCCCCAGGAAGACATGCAAAAACAGTTGTGCCAGTCATGATTTTCAATCCAAACCAGAGTTTTGGCAACAGGATTGCTAACATAGCATTTGCCCAGGGTTCCCAAAACCTCCAATAGTACATCATAATCATCATGGCAGCAAGGAGCCAGATTGGCAACATCGACCAGGAGTTTTTTCCTTATTCAATCTATTATGTAAAACTGTTCGTTTTGAAGCTTTTTGGGTCCAGTAAGGGTGAGCCCCAGGAAGACATGCAAAAACAGTTGTGCCAGTCATGATTTTCAATCCAAACCAGAGTTTTGGCAACAGGATTGCTAACATAGCATTTGCCCAGGGTTCCCAAAACATCCAATAGTACATCATAATCATCATGGCAGCAAGGAGCCAGATTGGCAACATCGACCAGAGTTTTTTCCTTATTCAATCTATTATGTAAAAATATTTGTTTTGAAGCTTTGTTGGGTCCAGTAAGGGTGAGCCCCAGGAAGACATGCAAAAACAGTTGTGCCAGTCATGATTTTCAATCCAAACCAGAGTTTTGGCAACAGGATTGCTAACATAGCATTTGCCCAGGGTTCCCAAAACCTCCAATAGTACATCATAATCATCATGGCAGCAAGGAGCCAGATTGGCAACATCGACCAGGAGTTTTTCCTTATTCAATCTATTATGTAAAATGTTCGTTTTGAAGCTTTTTTGGGTCCAGTAAGGGTGAGCCCCAGGAAGACATGCAAAAACAGTTGTGCCAGTCATGATTTTCAATCCAAACCAGAGTTTTGGCAACAGGATTGCTAACATAGCATTTGCCCAGGGTTCCCAAAACCTCCAATAGTACATCATAATCATCATGGCAGCAAGGAGCCAGATTGGCAACATCGACCAGGAGTTTTTTCCTTATTCAATCTATTCTGTAAAACTGTTCGTTTTGAAGCTTTTTTGGGCTTAGTAAGGGTGAGCCCCAGGAAGACATGCAAAAACAGTTGTGCCAGTCATGATTTTCAATCCAAACCAGAGTTTTGGCAACAGGATTGCTAACATAGCATTTGCCCAGGGTTCCCAAAACCTCCAATAGTACATCATAATCATCATGGCAGCAAGGAGCCAGATTGGCAACATCGACTAGGAGTTTTTTCCTTATTCAATCTATTCTGTAAAACTGTTCGTTTTGAAACTTTTTTGGGTCCAGTAAGGGTGAGCCCCAGGAAGACATGCAAAAACAGTTGTGCCAGTCATGATTTTCAATCCAAACCAGAGTTTTGGCAACAGGATTGCTAACATAGCATTTGCCAAGGGTTCCCAAAACCTCCAATAGTACATAATAATCATCATGGCAGCAAGGAGCCAGATTGGCAACATCGACCAGGAGTTTTTTCCTTATTCAATCTATTATGTAAAACTGCTCGTTTTGAAGCTTTTTTGGGTCCAGTAAGGGTGAGCCCCAGGAAGACATGTAAAAACAGCTGTGCCAGTCATGATTTTCAATCCAAACCTGAGTTTTTGCTAACATAGCATTTGCCCAGGGTTCCCAAAACCTCCAATAGTACATAATAATCATCATGGCAGCAGGGAGCCAGATTGGCAACATTCGACCAGGAGTTTTGTTTTTGGTTTTTCCTATTCAATCTATTATGTTAAAACTTGTTCGTTTGAAAATTTTTTGGAGTCCAGTAAGGGTGAGCCCAAGGAAAGACATGCACAAAACGTTGTGCCAGTCATGATTTTCAATCCAACCAGAGTTTGGCAAACAGGATTTGCTAACATAGCATTTGCCCAGGGTCCCAAAACCTTCCAATAGACATCATAAATCATCATGGCAAGCAGGAGCCGGATGGCAACATCGACCAGGAGTTTTCTCCTTATTCAATCTCTTATGTAAAACTGTTCGTTTTGAAGCTTTTTGGGTCCAGAAGGGTTGAGCCCAGGAAGACATGCAAAGACAGTTGTGCCAGTCATGATTTTCAATCCAAACCAGAGTTTTGGCAACAGGATTGCTAACATAGCATTTGCCCAGGGTTCCCAAAACCTCCAGTAGTACATCATAATCATCATGGCAGCAAGGAGCCAGATTGGCAACATCGACCAGGAGTTTTTTTCCTTATTCAATCTATTATGTAAAATTGTTCGTTTTGAAGCTTTTTTGGGTCCAGTCAGGGTGAGCCGCAGGAAGATGCAAAAACAGTTGTGCCAGTCATGATTTTCAATCCAAACCAGAGTTTTGGCAACAGGATTGCTAACATAGCATTTGCCCAGGGTTCCCAAAACCTCCAATAGTACATCATAATCATCATGGCAGCAAGGAGCCAGATTGGCAACATCGACCAGGAGTTTTTTCCTTATTCAATCTATTATGTAAAACTGTTCGTTTTGAAGCTTTCTTGGGTCCAGTAAGGGTGAGCCCCAGGAAGACATGCAAAAACAGTTGTGCCAGTCATGATTTTCAATCCAAACCAGAGTTTTGGCAACAGGATTGCTAACATAGCATTTGCCCAGGGTTCCCAAAACCTCCAATAGTACATCATAATCATCATGGCAGCAAGGAGCCAGATTGGCAACATCGACCAGGAGTTTTTTCCTTCTTCAATCTATTATGTAAAACTGTTCGTTTTGAAGCTTTTTTGGGTCCAGTAAGGGTGAGCCCCAGGAAGACATGCAAAAACAGTTGTGCCAGTCATGATTTTCAATCCAAACCAGAGTTTGGGCAACAGGATTGCTAACATAGCATTTGCCCAGGGTTCCCAAAACCTCCAATAGTACATCATAATCATCATGGCAGCAAGGAGCCAGATTGGCAACATCGACCAGGAGTTTTTTCCCTTATTCAATCTATTATGTAAAATTGTTCGTTTTGAAGCTTTTTTGGGTCCAGTAAGAGTGAGCCGCAGGAAGATATGCAAAAACAGTTGTGCCAGTCAAACATAGCACCTTCCATTTGGTGGTTCCAGCTTTGGAGTATTCGCCATGTTCCCAAACACAGCACGAACACTAACTTGACACTTTTGGGAATTTGTGCTGATGGAGGCGCGGCAGGTGTTAGGTTAGTATCAAAATCACCCCATGAACATGCAAGATTTCAGCTGCTATGTTAGCGCTGTTCAACGGGAAATCCCGAACGCTAACGTAGCGGGATATTTATTTTTATTTTTTTTTTGGCCCAGGTTAGATTTCACGGGAGTACCCTAATCCAATAACAATACCCATCTTTCCAGCCACAAGTTGTCCCGTGAGGTTGCAACCATGTACTGTAATACTCCCCAGTCTATCCCAATTATCCCCGCTGGTTTTTCTTAGTTGCCCTCCGGTGTCATCAAACGCGGAAATTCGAGAAATCCCCTACAGGATGGTGCCCCCCAGTGATGTTTGTTGGTTTATAAACCCCAGTAAGTATAGTTATTTGCGTACCAAAACACCATAGTTATTGGAGTTATGTTCACCAACTTAGCTATCTTGGGGGCACCACCAATGTCAATAGAGGTTTGACAAATCGGGCAAATCATCCCCTACGTTGGATTCCCGGAGTCGGGCCGGCCTCCACTCTCTTGCGAATCAGATTGCCCTCGCGCTCCACATCCTTTTTACCGGAAAATCAAGTCATGGATGGCCATCACTTAGTATTGAAACCCATGGTGACGACTGGGGATGCCCCATGACTTAAGAAACCCCCCATACAAAGACACAGGATATGAATCTCGCGCAGTAAATCGGGATTATAAAATATCATAAACGTGTTGATCTTGCGGATAATAAAACTGGGATATGATAGGGTATCAATTGCTCTTAGTGGTGTTCGTTCAAGGATCATCAGCAACAAAACTATGAGGATTTAACAAACCATTTTGGATGATAGTCAACAGTAATTACTAGTGGAACATCGTGGAACCAGTTTGAAACCCTAAGCACTGCTGATTGTTGAACCAGCTTGTGTAGCTATGGTTGCTGTAGAAATTTCCCTGTGGTGATTCTCCCCTGTGTTTTCCTATATCAATGGCCATGACTCAGGAACCGATAAAAATTGGAGGTACCGATTCCATATATAAGGCCTATGTTTGAGGCCTATGTAAGGGGATCCCCCAAAATATGGCCTTATATGGTACAGTAAGTACAATACCTCCATTTTAGGATCCTGAAATTCCCATTGACTATACATCTGTGACTGAATGAACCAAACATGTTCCATTCTGACGCTTCTGGTGGTCCCTATGCCCCTTTTCAGTCGGTGATATCCCGACTAGATATTGGACGAATTGCACTGATAGTTACCGCCCGGTTGCTTCAAGTCGTTTAATTCACAATGTGTGTTCTTATGTAAATTGTCAATCCCTTATAGTAGCCCACCAAACGATAGAAAAGCATGTTTTCATTGAAATAGTATGTCATATATCATTTTTCTATCTTTTTGAGGGATATATACTTTACTATAGGTTGAAATCCAATTATATAATTATTTGACCATGCTCTCGTGCAGGATTATTTTCCGCACTTGGATAAGAGCATTTTTGGGCTCCAAGTAGCTACTTGGAGGATCCCACTTAGTGATACAGTCAATAAACCTGCTTAGTAAGTCCCCGATCCGTGGGCTATCCTGTTGATGAATGCTTAAGCTCATCAGGTACGATTCGATTCATGGGCCGATCCTCCATTTCGATAGGTAAGTTCAGAGTACGGGTAAGCTCGGGGGCTCGTTAAAGACATCACCCCGGTATTCAGAGGAGCAGCTGCAACCCGCTGCGCCGAAGCGCTTACCGCGCAGATCAGATCTGCCCAAAGCCATGGTGGCTTTGTAACTGCAACAACTGAGATTTATTGTGGTGATATCCAACTAGTTCGATGGGGTTGTATGGCTTCTAAAACGGTTCCATTAGTGACCTTTAGGGGGCCTAAACTCGCACCAAACAGCTGCCGTCCCAGCATCGCCCCTTCCGTTGGCCCCAGCATAGCCCCCTTTCAATGTCCTGTGCTCGATCTCCCTCCAAGGTTGCAGGAATATCCTTCCAGCACCGAGGTTGGACCAATCTGAAAACATCTGAAAACCCCATGGTGCGGTCAGAGGCGAGGTCCGTTTTTTTTCCAGCAAAAACTAGCAAACGATTTAACGGAACCAAAAATGGGGGTATGTAAGTACTGTAACCCACAAAAATGGAATCTTGCGGGGAAATCACCAACAAGCAATGTGGGTTTGACCACCAAGACTTTGTTCTGCAAGAAGACAGTAAAAGTCTATGCAAAATCAAGAACAAACATGGGGGGTGTCCAGTTTGCCGATGAGTACAAGATCATTGCCAATTTAGATTCCCGGCGACAGCATGTTTCTAAGCTGGCTAGCAGATATTACCATTGATAGCAAAAATGTAGACTGCATTTATAATATCAATCATAAACCTTAGTTAACCTACAACAAATTCAACCAACTTGGCCAAAATTTTCATGAAATTCCATAAAATCACCATTTTTCATGGTTAAATCAGTTAAATCCCATGGAAAATCACCATTATTCCTGGTATAAATACCAGGATAATCTCAACCAACAGGGGGCCCCCCTCACTGGAACTAGCTCCTCTTGCGACCCTCCGGAACCTCCAAGACGTCTTCCGTGTGGAGGTCCAACCTCTTGCGAGCCTTTGCCAAAGGGGGGGACGTCAATTCAGCCAGGTCCACGCAATTTTCATCAATGTTCAGCTTTGATGACTCACGAAAACCATAGAAAACCAATCAATAAAGGGAGTCACTTTTGATGAATTGATGATGAAATAATGATGATTCAATGATGATTCAATTAGTCAATTTTATTCTCAGAATTTGCTAGCCCCTTATTCAATGATGATGAAAAACAAACAAATCGTTTGTGAATGTTTGGGGCTACCAAATTCTGAGACAAACCCAACGGATCTTGGAACTTCTGCAACGTGAACAAACATGATAAACACTCAAGTGGAGATTTACCGCGTCGCCAAAAGCCACATAACTTGGGAAATATATGAAAAAAACACTCCTTCAATTGTTTGGAAAGTCAACGAGTACAGATGATCAAAGTTTTAGTTTTGATTTTTGAGACAAAGAATAATGAATAATGAGTGGTGAATCCTCTCAAACATGTATTTCTTGACCGCCTTTCTGGCTCCTTCCTATGGCAGCTATGCTGTAGGTCCAGAATCATCTGCACCTTTCCCCAGTCTTACGGTTCTCATCTGTTCAACAAGTATGCCTGGAACGTCACCCATATCATGATTGCGTGGCCAAAAAATGGATATCTCATCAAATCTTCCCCTGGTATCCCCTGGTAAGCAAACCATACCCTATTTAGTTCGATGAAGTTCCAACGTTCGCCAAGGCTCACCATGATGATGCATCATGTTCCTTATTAGAATCGCCATAGACTGGCCATTTAAATCACTTTGGGGCCACAAAAAATAACACCACCATATGCCCTAAATCGCTCTTGCGGTCGGTTCTATCTGTCCAGGATGATTCGTATCCCATATCTGTGGGTGATATTACGACTTACTACAAGCTGGTGCCCCCCAGTCATGAGTTGGTGAAAATAAACCCAACCTAATAGTTGTCAGTAGTTATATATATATATATATGAGTTCGTTCATAAAGCCATCTAACCCACCTAACTATAGTTGTAATCACCATAAACTAATTCATAAACCCACCATGCACTATAGTTATATAATCACAATAAACCCACCATGAAACTACAGTTTTAATATCTTTTAATCACCTGACTATGTGTATAAACCCCAGTTCACCAGCTGAAAACCTGCCAGAACTTGATCTGCCCGGCCCAATCTGCACGCCGCCGAGCTCGAGCGCGAAGGGCCAACGCCTAGGATCGTGGCGGCAACGGCAAGACATGGTGCAATAAATCGTCTATGAACAGATAGGATAAACATGGATAAACAACGATCTTAAAGCGATTTATTTTATGTTAGGATCTTTAAACAGCGATTTAAATAGATAGTTAGGATCAACATGGATAGTTAGGATAGTTCATAGATTTTGAATCCTAACTATCTATCTTAAATAATTGAGATACCCTAAATTGGAGGTACCTACCCATTTTTTTAGGCCTATGTAAGGGCTATGTAAGGGAATATGTACCCTAAATTTGGCTTTATATGGTACAGTACTACTTACTAAAGTACCTCCATTTTAAGGTCCTGAAATTCCCATTGAATAAATTTAATAAATAGTTTATGAATAGATAGGATAAACAACTATCTTATGGTTAGTTCACAGATTTTATCCTAACTATCTATTTTAAATAATTGAGCAACCATTTTATCGCTGGGATAAAATCTAACTGGATCAACCATCATCCAACTATAAGTTATTAATCTATCATCATCTATTAATCCATCTATATACCCTCCGGTGTCCTCAAACTTGGCTGGGAATTCCCCAGCCATCGCGTAAGATTACTAAGTAAGTAAGCAACAAGTTAATAGCTGCAAGTTTTTTGGCCCCCAATATGTAGCTAAGTTGACTTACAACTTCCGAAAAACTAGGGTTGTTTAGGGGGGTTTAGGGTTTAGGGATATAACTATAGTTAATGGGTTTATAAACCAACTTGTGGGGTCTCACCTTCCAGGAGATCTACAAAATCTTGGGATTCACCCGCCAGCTTCACCCGTCATCCAGGCTGAGGGGAATGACCACCAGTGATGCCCCCAGTGATAATAGTTATATGGAGAACATTCCTTTTCTGATAACACCGCTCAGTTATATTTATGTAATAGCTTTATTTAATATAGATAAACTACTGAGTTATTTATGTTTGTTTCCACCAAGCAGTTTATGCTAAACTCCAAACTGATGCTCAGGGCCCGGAATAGCTCCTCCTTTGCTTCCTCCAAACCACCGGAGTTGTCCATCTAGTGAAAGGGGTGATTCGTAAAGAGTAGACAGATTGGAAAGCAAACAGATGCTGGGCACTGGACCGTCTCATCCGGAAGCTTCCTAGGCCAAAGATCAAACATCTTCAGCTGGTACAGTCGTGATTAAATGCGTCAAATTCTAATGACTGGTTGGTGGTTTTAACCATTTTGAAAAAAATTAGTCAATGGGAAGGATTACCCCATATAATTATTATGGAAAATAAAAAATGTTCCAAACCACCAATCAGATGATGTATTGATGTGAATATGATGGGCTTTTCTGACCATCGACCATCACAAAGAATTCAAAGTTGGATACTGTGGATGAGCCAGCGAAATCCTGCATCACCAACCGGATGGTTGAAACCCCAACAAGATAGTGGGATATAGTGGGATGCTTACCACCGTTTTCAACTGGTGCAGGATTTCGCTGGCCCATCCACCGTATAACATGACCCAAAAGATTCCAACAGATTTGAGCAGAAAGAAATCCTTTCATTGGGCCTCAAATGACAGGGAGGTATGCTCCAGGGGGGGGTGAATTTGTCCTGGAAAAACGCAAGAAGATAGAACCCAAAAGATGCATTCCTGGTCACCAACATTCACCAACAGCAAAATTTCATTTTCGGGCCCAGTTCTAGCATGGTTCGAGTCAGTTTCCGTGGCAAATCAACTTTGATTAGAGGATTTTACAGTCATTCTGCATTAAAAAACACGGGAGGGAGAGGGAGAGAGAGAGAGAGAGATATCCGTTCCTGCTTGAGCCCATCAAGCCAAGTTAACCAAGTTATGGGCGTCAACTTATTGCAAACGGGACTCACCAACTGTGGGGTTTTCATGGCTTTCCCCGCTGGGTGGCCCCGTCAAGTCGGAGTCCCCAAAGAGAACGGGCGCCTACACGGGTCAGGAAGATGGGGATAGTCTGCTTTTGTCGCTAATTACTGACTTAATATAGCTGTATTGTGATGGTTACTGACTATTGTTATTGGCTGTATTTGTGTTCTTCCGTAAACAAGAGGTGGATTTGATTATGAGTTGTGTAGATGGTACTTCTAGATGCGCTGTTTGTCCCTCCTCAGGTGTTCAACACAAAAAATTGCTACTAGGGTGTCGAAAAATCTAATGAAATCAAACATGAAATCGGACATGTTTTTTCAGTGGAGGACATGGCCAATACCCTCTGGTAATTTAACATAGCTATGGGAAATCACCATTTTTTATGGGAAAACTCACTATAAATGACCATTTTCAATAGCTTTTTGTATGTTTACCAGAGGGTATTGGATTTCCGTGTTGGACTTCTTGCTGGCAGTCATGGGATCCCCCACACATTGATGACTGTCGGACCACCAGAATTGCATTCTTCGCTTTGAGGATCGAAATCGGCGGGTTGTTAACTTTAAGGCAAAGGGGACCATGTTTGCGTATGTTTTATCCAGTTTTACTCTAAAGCATATATTATGTATTTGCTTAGTACATCTTGGCATAAAACTGTGGATCCATATCCCGTGGTGGGTATCTCTCATCACAAGGGCCAGAGTCGAGTGATGGTGTCCCATGGCTTATCCCCCACGCCAGTCTGTCCACTTCCATAAATGGCGATGGGCCAGTGATATCCCCTCCTCGCCATGCTTGGCCCCGCCTCGGTCCTCGCCTTCTCTTGCAAGGCATTCTGCTCCCCTGTCGCCTGATTTCAATGATTCGCCAAGCTGAACTCAGGTGCATAGAAAAGGCCGCCCCAATATCATTTGTGACGTGGTGATGATGAGGTCGTTATAGTTCACACAAATATATAGAGGGGCAACACAAACGTTCACTTGGCCCAGCTGAGTACCATAACATGAACAGAATCCTTCAAGGAAGAACGACACCATGAACTAATTAAAATATGTGCATGCTGCGGTGAAAATGAAATCAACACCATGCTGATGAACCAGACCACACTTAATTGAAACACCGCTGAGCAGTGCCCCCAACTCAGAGGGTAGCTTCATCATCATCCCAAAGAATCATCAGTGGGATCCCACAAAAACATAGCTATGGCCGTGTTCATCCATTTTTCCAAATACCATAGCTACGTGCAAAATTACCATCAGGAAGTAGATCACAAAAACCATTTACCATGGGGAAAATCCCATTACCCGAAAAATATACGAATCATGTTCCTATTACCTGCTGCAATTTATATGTGTATGTATATATATATATATTCATATATATATATGTGTATATATATATGTATATAATTATATACGTGTATATATATGGTCCCGTCCTCCATCTCTCCACACCCCCCCCACCCAATGGGTTGGGTCCCCAGGTAGCACCCCCCATTCCCTTCTATTTGCAAGCTATTGGCAAAATTTCTGAGGTCCAGCTTCGTATTTGCTAGGTCTTTGCAGCATTTCTGTGTACCAGCCTCGCATGTACTAGGTACATGCTACCTTTTAGGCGACCTACGTAGCACACATACTCCCTCAAAGTACCTACGTGCTACCTATAGTCATATATACATGTGCTATGTATCTACTTCCTATTTACTACCTGTGTACTCTGACAACACTACACGTGTTTAACATATACCGTACCTACCATACATTCCAATGATGCCATGCATACCATACCTATAATACCTATCATACATACCACACATACCATACATATGAAACGTAATTACCAAACCTACCATGCATACAATACCAAACATACATGCCATACAGTACATACTATACCTACCTTACATAGGAAACATTCCATACCCATCATAGTAACCATACATACCACACATACCATACAGACCATACATACTGTCATATCAAACATACCATACCCAACAGACTTACATACCATACCCAACAGACTTACATACCATACCTACCATCCATACAATGCCAACCATTCCTGCCATACATACCATACCTACCATACATACCAAACATACCATACTTTCCAAACATGCCATACCAGACCGACCATACACACCATACATCACCATACATACCCAACACCATACCATACCCCCACCACACCACAGGGGGGGAGGGGGACGGTACCACACCCCCACCACACCACAGGGGAGGGCTCCCACCAGGGGGAAGATCTCATATGGAGGCAGTATATGGGACCCATCCCATTGGGGGGGGGAGGAGGGGGTGGCAGGGCCTGGTGCATATATATATATATACATAAATAAATAAATAAATACCATGCTGTTCCATAGGGTAAAAAACGTCAGAGAAAATGATTGGCGCTGCTCCCTTCCAACTTCGAACGGTCGCCTGTCGGACTACCCATCTTTTGAGCCGATCGCCTCCACGTGTGGCCAGAGGTTATGGCTACCATGGTGAATCTACCCCCATAGGTCGGGATAGTAGCCTTGTAACTATAGTTATATACTGTACGTTATGAATTTCTAACTGGAACTGCACTTCTGCTTGGGATCTTTTGAAAAAGAGCCTGGGAAATCTCAATGTCAAAGGGGTGATCATAACATATCAGAACCTAGTCTAGAGACCTATATAGATTGGCAATGGCTGACGAGTTATTTCATGGTGATTCAACAGGTGGATATCTGATACGGCAGCAGAACAGCAGCTCAGCATCACTTTGGGATTGGATCAACAAACTGCCGTGGCAAAGTGAGCAGGAGATAGCCATCGTCACGACGTGTTTTTCTAAGATACCGAAGAGTCCAGTGTTTTGGCATGTTTTGGCCCTGGAAGCCTCTGTTATACACTCCGATGGGTTGGTTGCCAGGCCAAAAAAGGGTGATTGCTGACCATTTCAGTGGATTTTCCTGGCATCAAATATGAGAATTTCCTCCAGGTTTTCCTGGCGTCCTCCATGAAAAGGACTGGGACGAAATATGAAAAATTCACCAAGATCTTCACCAACCATTCCGCCAAGCTGTTTTTCCCCCTAGGAGAAGAACTCACATAGACCTGCAGAACCCAATACTCCCACATAGATTCTATAAATGTGGAGAACCCAACACTCCACAGTATTTTCTACCGTTTTGCAGGTCAAAATCCCTGCAAAATCACCAGGACCCATGCCTCTGTGGGCCTTGGATGGCACATGAAGATCAAACAAACAGTTCTACCCGCAGAAATGGTAGATATGCACAATACCGATCTCTATAAATATAAAGATAAGAGTATATATTCTAATACTGGTTGGTGGTATACCTACCCCTCTGAAAAATATGAGTTCGTCAGTTGGGATGATGAAATTCCCAATATGATGGGAAAAATAAAAAATGTTCCAAACCACCAACCAGAATATGTAGCATATGCATATTTTTCCCCGATTTTTGCATATATCGAGCAACCAACCGGATCTGGATATATCTCACCAGCTGGGTCTCCAGCGACCCCTCTGGGTTTCAAACGAGGCCCAGCCATGCCCTTGACCACTGCACCGCAAGGAGAAGCAGACCATGCAGCACTGCCCTGGAAGTGGGGTCCTTGATCCCTACTGCATGGGAAGCTAAGATCAGTCCTAAGAATTCCTAACATCTAAAATTTGAAAAACATAATAAAAACATAATAAAACAAATCAAGAACATTCCTTTGTACATCCAATTGACATATCAAGAATCTCAAGGACTCTAAAACTCTGTCCTAGCAGCACCAGCAGAGACCACGCCTCCGAAATGCCCTAGCAGCCCCGGCCATGGCATCATGGGGGCTCCGAAGGTTGAGTGACGATCCACGTAGATGTTCACCCAGCGAAATTATATACTGTATTGGCTGAGTTTACTATTTTGACTTTATTATCTATGTTTAATTAATTTCACTTTTATATATGACTGCCCAAATAAAAAAATAGTAAAATTGGTGAACATCCGTGTATTTAATATAAGCCTGCAAAAATTGGTAAACATGGAGATGGTCCAAACCATGTTGGCTTTGAGATGGTTTGACCAAAAACTCGTCAAAAATCAAGATATTTGAGCAGCTGATTTTCGAATGGGCCTAGTTTCAACTGACCAGATAGTGGAGTGGGGGTCTGGCACCAATTGCTTTCTTCCAAACATCGACAGTTTTTTCAGCCATCGCGTCAAACAAAAATGTGCCAAATATGGGGATCAAAATCATCTTGCTTCCAAATTCAGGCGGAAGCAGTTGAAAATTTGGCTCCATGCTGGGGCGGGAAGCCGGGCCGAGCGACGGGAAAGCCTTTGGATGACATAGAATTTCCAATGAGAATGACGAAGTTGGTATTCTGAAGTCGTTATCATTCTCATCTGGGGTATGTGTTCCCATTGAGATTACCCTCTGGTAAATAAACATAGACCCTGAAAATCACCAATTTTTAATGGAAACTAGTCTTCCAACCCCTATCTGCCAGGGTCTATGTTAATTTACCAGAGAGTAAATAATGTCAGATCCATCTGTTTCCAGATTTTGGCGAAGTCGAAAAAAAGCACCGCCAGCGGAGATGATGGTAGCCATGACCGGGCACTGGGTCAAAATTCGATGGATCAAAAACATCTCATGTACTATTAGACTATGGTTTATTGTACTAAACGTACTATTAGACTATGGATTATTGTACTAAATGTACTATTTGACTGTGGTTTATTGTACTAAATGTACTATAGACTACGGTTTACTGTAGATACTAAATGTACTATTTAGACTAGGGTTATGATGTTTTACCATGTTTTACCATTGTTTGCTATCATGTTTATTACTGTTTGCATTGGTTTAAACGGGATCAACATCTCGTTGCACAGCCAGTCATCGCTGAGGCTCAATGACCATTCTGGTCGCTCCAGCACCCAAACATACCCAAAGGACTTAACTCTTCACCCATTTCCCATACGCTCCATGGTGCTGGTATATTTACCTACGTGACTGGGTGATTTTGTTCGGGCAAATGTTGGGATTCATATTCCATCCATGGTTCGCATATCCCATAGGATCCATGGTGCTGCTATATATGGTAACATGGATCCCATCCATATACCCCAGTCATGTTAGCATATATACCAGCACCATGGATCCTATGGGTATGGCTGTGCTTCCATTTTCATTTCATTTCGAGGCTTGAAAGGTCGTCCCTTGCCGCCTTGCAATGGTACCTGTGTCAAGTACCCTAATTAGGAAAAAGTCACCTGCGTTGGTAATCTGGCAACCATGTCGCTGCCTTTCGCAGCACGCTGCACTGTACTGCAGCCTCTGCCAGCCAATTCGCAAGCTCCGGCTCAATGTCAGCCTTGACTGTGCAATTTCGTTGCAACTGGCAGGTCTTAATTTGGTCAATCAACGTTCCTGCCAGTGCATCGCAAAAATATGGCGGGTATTCTTTGCGCGCCGCCGTTTTGAATTTTCCATCTGTACCCAGCCCTATAGCCACATCTTGTGGCTTCGCTGCTTCCGGCATCTGTCTACTATACATGGATGCCTTGAACCGGGGAAGTCTCAAGGCAAGGAGTCCAGTCGGCTTGCTAACTGTACAGCCCCAACGCCACTGACTGACCGTATGAAGAGCAATGTCCGGATGGGCACACAGAAGTTGGATCCATGGGGTACACCAAATACTCGCGGCCTCCTGGTTCTGCGGAATGGCTGGATGTTCACTGATGTAAAGTCCCCCTGTCCTCAATGCCCACGCAACTGTCGTAATCATCTGCATGAAGAACAAAGTCCCCTGTTTCAGTTGCCTCAGCTCCTTAGCCGTAAGGTGCCTGCGTCCAAAAAGTCTTTGTCTATCACGCAGTGGTCTTGGGAAATGCTTGGCATTGACGGATGATTCGATCTCAAGAATGAAATGCCGGGCTGCTGACCAGGTTTCACAAGGTGCCCCTGTGAGCGTTGCTGCTATCTTACCTGTCTGGTAAAGCTTGAGCAGTTGCTGCCACGTGACACCTTGGTGGTGCAAATCACCATACGTCGCCGAGTTGGCCGTGTCCAGTGATAGGACCAGGATCTGTACCCCTGCTTTGTGGGCCCAAAAATGCAGTCGTTCATGTACATCGCCTTCTCTTCTCCGCCCACTAAAGAGATGGGCAATGACAAAAAGCTTTCCCTTGCACGGGTGCTGGTACATCGGCATCTGGGCTTCGTCTGGTAAGTCTAGCCATCTAGCTTTCCTGACTTGATCGAAAAATTTTTCTTGGTCTTCAAAAACTCCCGGCACATGTGCTGCGCTGGTTGCTCTTTCTTTGGGATTGGCATGCCCTCGTTGGGGTTGTCTGTGTGGAAATGGCAGATCCTTGTCGGTCTCCAGAAATGCATCCTTGGCTTTCAAGTGGGCAATTTGGCGCAAGGTTTGGACACGAGGGAAATCCTCAATCATTTGTGCATATTCTTCGTCAACAAGTCTCTCTGCAACTCCATCAACAAATCCCGCAATCACATCTGGGAGACAATGTTGTCCCCATTGGAGAATCTCATATTCGATCCATTCATCCATCCCTTCGCCAAACTGGCAAAGGACTGCAAGCCATCGATCTGGCAGCAGTGTTGAAAGTTCTTCGGCAAACCCATCCGCACAGAATTCTTGGTACCATTCTTCGGTGGTTGCGGTCAAGAAGGTACACAACCGTGCCTTGGCCGAGTCAGGATCCTCTGGCTTACAGGAGATACACAACTCATTCTGGAGGCCTCGAAGTGTCTCTTGCAGAATCCTCTGGTCTTCCTGTCCACGGTCTGGAACAGGCTGCATGGGGCCTTGTGTCTGCAGAGCTTCAACCCTACCTAGTCCCTTGACTTCATTCGGCATAAGGCAAAAACCTCCCATCTCCTGCTGTGCCCTGAACCCTCTTCTGCGCAATGCTTGGTAGCACTGGTTGACCCCTGTGCGCCTAGACACATAGGACAGATGTTGATAGAGGCGCTGTTTCGTCCAAAAGTGTCGCAAGCACTCAGGACATGTTGCTCCTTCCAGCAGATCATGCTCTAAAGAGAACTCCTGATGGGCTTGACGTTTATGTGTGGCCAGGCCCTGGGCTGACGTGAACTGTCGCCCACATCCACAAGCAAATGTACCTGTCAAGCCATCCGCTGCATCAAAGGGAGAGGGATCAAAACTGGCATTGGCCTCTTCCAGGACACGGAAAAACTTCTTGTGCATTCCGATGAGTTCATGCATCATAGTCTCCTGAAAAAGAAATCGTCTCCATGCCTTGCGCACTCCAACTTTCCATGCATCACCTCCTGCCTGCCAAAAATCAAAAAGCTCAGTCAAGTCTGCATGCTCAGGCTGACTAACACTTCGGATGGCTTGTAGTGGGAGGTTCCCATCCTGTTCCAGGGCACTAAGCCAGGCAAGATCGTGCTTAAGGCCGAATAGCCATGAGTCTGGCAACAATGCTTCTTCCCTATGCAGACAGTGTTGCAGCATCTCTGGTCCATGCTGCCAAACTCGTTGTGCATACAGGAGCCTGTCTACCGCAAGTCTTGCTCTGGGAGAGGAAATCTTTGCACGATGGAAAAGAGTGGCTGCATTGGTGTGGAGTATTTCTTCTGGTTTCAATCGGAAAATCTTTCGCAACATGGAAACAAGCGTGGCATGCAGCTTCGCAAGTTGCCGGGTCGTAGGCGTCTTCCAGGCTCCCATACCAAAGAAAAGTCGACTTTCGATCAATGCACGAAAGAGTCTGAGCCTGGTGGTTTCCGGAATGTGCTTATTGCACAAAATAGGTGCTGCTATTTGCGCAAAAGCACTTTTCGCCATTCCGATTCTGGTGGCGATTTCTTGATCCATTGAGTGGTTGGAGCTGAAAATGGTCCCTAGGTGCTTGTAATATGCCATGAAGTGGATGAAAATTGGCTGGCCTGCTAGCATCACCTCCATACCAGGCTGGGATGTCAATTGAAATTTGGCTCGCATCAATGGAGCTCCTGGGCCGCGAAATGTCGCAACTACGCTAGTCTTGCCTTTTTGGAAATTCAGGACAAACCCTCTAGTTGCAAAGATCTTGTGCACTGCCTGCAGCGTACCTGCAATGGCGCCTGGAAGATATGCTGCATTAACGGTGGCAACTGGGATGGCTACATCATCGGCCCAAATGACACTTTCCGCATGTAGGTCGGCTCTGCTCAGAATGTCTTGCAGATCATGGTTACTGGCAACTACATCGTTCAGCTCTGTGGCTATGTCAGCCATCAGGATGTGAAAGATGCAATCTGCAAGCGGTGATCCTGGTCTTGTGCCTTTCCTGGTTACAATGGGCTGGTATGCACCCGGGACATACATCCAGGTTCCTGTGTGAAAGTCTTGGATCAGCTGTGTGATGAAAGGCGGTGCACCTAGACGTTCTAGCAGGCTTGGCAATTGCAAGAGCTCAATAATGTCAGGGACTGGAAGTCCTTCATGGAGCAAACGTTCTAGGACTGCTTCAACATCGTCTGGCACCACAATTCCTGAAACCAATTCACGGATTAAGCAATGGAAAGCATTGGCCAGGTCAATGAAGACAATTGCCGAGGATACATTGAGTGAATCCATGATACGTCCAAATGTTTGCAGGAATTGGGATCCAAAGGGAACTTGCATGGAAGGAAATCCTCCCAGTTGTCCTTGTGGGCGTTGAGTCCTCAACATCTTCATGAGTCTTGTCCTCATCAGTGCATGGACTCTTTTTGCAAATGATGGGAGCAGCATGATCCCCCGATAGTTCTCTGCAAGGAATCCCGATCCTTTCTTGTAAATCACTGCCATTTGTCCGCCTTTGGAGGTGACAGGTTCATGTTGCCACAAGCAAGTCTTAAGCAAAAGTGGAAAATATGCAGTGGCAAGGGTCACGGCATGCTGCTTGAAGGCTCCTGACGGAATTGGATCGAGTCCCGTTGCTCGATCAGCTTGAGTGGTCCTAAAAGCATCTTCAAGCTCAATGATGGACGGAAGATCTACATGAACGAAGTGGTCTTGCACAACTGGCATCTGCATCTGACGCTCATGACACTCTCCAACAATCTGCTGCGTTGAGGATGCATAACCACTTTCCAATTTCTCAAAATAGGGTGTCCACTGCTCTTGCAAGACTTCAAGCTTGTGTGGGTCCTGGCCTAATTTCCTGTTGCGAAATTTAGGTAGGCTTCTACGTAAAACTCGCCAAAAGTCTCTGGTCTGATGCGGTTGCATGAAATCTGATACTTCACTTGCAAGACTACGGAAGAAATCAACATCATCCTTTCGCAAGGCTTGGGTGACTTGTCGGCCTATGCAACGGAAGTGGTGCAATGCAACCGCAATTTCTCGATCTTGCTCAGACATGATGCTGTGCTTCCCACCAAAAAAAAAAAGGCGCCATGCTTCCATGGTCCCATGACGTCCCAGCCGGCCATTGGCCACGTCCTGTGCTCGCTCGAACTGTTGTCGCGCCCGCTCCTGAAAAAATGGGGAGAAAAGCCAACGATGATCTGAAAAAAGGGGTAAACTAGATCATCAACATTCATCAACCATCAATGTTGAGGCTATTTTCCGACAAAGCCATCTGGGAAAGGGGGGAAAAAATGAGATCCAATATTCAGAGTCATATAAAATTATACAAAATGATCAATCCATAATCACATCTTCTGGTGAACATCTGGTGAAGATTTTTTTGGTCCAGCTATGTTCATCTTTTCGCAGCCGCCTCTTCCTCCTCCTTCTTCTCAGCTCGACGTTTGTCCGCCAAGTTCTTCATCAACTCCTGGAAAGCCGAGAACATCTAAGGGCGGTTTTTTGGGTCAAACGGAACGGTGGTGTTTGTGGTAGAACGGAAAGGTGCCCTAAGAAGTCGGATGAACATGGGATATTTTGAAATGAAGAATCGTCCTAAAATCAATAGATATGAGAAGATATGAGGATCTTCAATTCTCAGCATTCCCATCTCCATCTGAAAAGCGACAGAGAGTCCATGGGGGTTTTTGACCTGTTCAGCCGAGGTTCAACCCCAAAATCTCGACATGTACTTGGTGGTCCACCCGAGTTAGTTTGCGGAAGTTTGCGGGTTGTGACCCCCAATAGTAGGGTAAGGTTCGGATGATACACTCCAGCTATAACCGGGGCAGTCCACTTGAACCACCAAGTCACCACAAGTTTTCGTATGTGTTTGTCGCTCATCACCTTCCCTGGTAGCCAAGCAATTCTTCGGTATCTTTTTCAGCCAGCACAGGCGTGTAAAAGTCATCGTTCTCGCTTGAAGACTCGAAGCCGCGGCCTGAGAATTGTCGTCACCAGGCTTTCGAAGTCACGTCGTGGAGACCAGCACGATATCATCTGGTTGGTGGTTGAGCCTACCCCTCTGAAAAATCATGGACTTCGTCCGTTGGGATGATGAAATTCCCAATATGATGGGAAAACTATGGAAAACTAAAAAATGTTCCAAACCACCAACCAGTCATTGTGGATCAAATATTGAAAAATCAAGTTGTTCTATAGGTATAGATGACTCATATATGGGCCGTTTTCCACAAACGATTGTGTTGAATGACCAGAGAGTAGAGGCAAGGTTCAGCTAGTAGTGGTATAGTCAATAATGTGGTACAACAATTGGGGTTAGTCTTATATAATAGCCAAATTATATATATATCCAATAAACTAAAATTTATTATATTAGCAATTAGATAATTATAGTCAATTGTATACAATCAATAAACTTGGTCGAGCAAGACCTCCCAGCATCGAGGTGCGTCTTGCGATAGTCTTTGATGATGCACCGTTTCTTTGTCTGCCGACCCAAAGGTCCTGGCACAACAGCAGGACCTATGGTCCGTCCATGGTCAATTGGTTCCATCCAAAACTGTCCAAAACAACTTTCTGAAAAAATCAGGTGCTCATAGGTGCTCTATTTAAGTGCACTGTGAGGCTTTCTCCCAAATTGCGCGTTGAAACTTGAAAATATCCGGATTCCCCACGCATTTTGTCTGTCATGAGACATGAAACTCATTGAAAATCGATGTCCAAAGATCCCTTTCCTTCTTCCGCCAGGTTTTCTTCCGCATCACCAGGTTCCACACTCACCTGTCCTGTGAACTGAGGGATGGCTGAGATGTAGCGGACCTTCTTCACCTGAAGCAACACGAGATCCTTTCACCGGTGCCCGACTGGTCACAAACTCTCAGAAACCGGGTACGGTACGTCCTTTTTGGGAGATGAAACACCCAAATCTGGAAGGTATGAAACTTGAAAATGTCGTCTCGTAATGTCTCATAGGAAAATCACATCGTCCAAGTTCTGAGGCGTCCAGCTTTTTTCAAATACCTTGGCATGGCAGGGAGGACTTGAATCCTGTTCAAAATCGGTTCTGACCCCCTCAATAACCCCCATGAAACATCCATTAACGAGGCCAAGACGTTGTTAATGACTTGTGTGATTTTGGCATGCGCTGAAACGTTTTCTAACATGAAAAAGGAACCAGACGAACACGCAGATCACTGAACTTGTTCGTCATTTCCTGGAAGCCAGGTCCCCTAAGACTTCCCAAAGACAGCTCTTGGTTTTTTGCACCATTGGATCGCAAAGACATACCCTCTGGTAATTTAACATAGCTATTGAACATGGCCATTTATAGTGGATTTTCCCATAAAAAATGGTGATTTTCCATAGTTATGTTATGGTTCAAAAAGCATCGTTGCCGCCCATCTGCCTGGGAATGAACTTTATTAGCCCACCCCACCCCACTCCACTCCACGCTACTCCACCCCATACATGCACAACGCAACATAATGTGTGGGTTGGTAATAACTCAGTCAGGAAAAACATGTTCTGTCATCCAGGTTGTTTTCAGCGACGCCAGCATAAACGAGGGCCCAAGAAGAGTCAATAAGAATCGATTCAATATTCAAGCATGTTCTTTTCTGGGCCCAATTTTTGTATGGAGAAGGATTGACTTTTCAAATCTGAAAGGCTCGGTAATTGTTTGGGCTTGATTCTCCCAGTACAAACAAAAAGTTATGGGGTTGTTTGAAGGTGGCTGTGAAGTCCTTATCATTCGCCGAGATGATTTCAACTGGCCATTTTGACCTTGGAATTACGCTGTTTTTTTCCCCACACATCCATGTGGAAGCCTTGTAGAATAAGCTATGAATGGGGTGATCCGGTGATAAGTTGTGGTGTTTCTGGGTTTCTTGTTGTTCACATCCCAAATGCTGTTGGTTGTACAGTACTGCAGTACCACATACTAGTTTCCTGAGTGTTGTATCTACAGCTAGATGTTGATTGATTATCAGTCCCTCACAAACAAAGTGGTCAAAACCTCATATTTCTTTCGGACTCCCAGCAGATTTCAGTATCACCAGTGCTATTGACTGCTGAACAGCTACGCGGCGTGGCTACATGTGGCTACCACGTCACCCAGCCGCGCCATGTGACACCGTCTCTCCACCGTCTCTCCACCTCTCTCTCCAAGGTGCCGGTGCTTGCTCATCTTGAATCGAATGCGAATTTATTGCTGAGACTCCTGAGGCAAAATGGCGCAATTGCTGTGGCTATGACGACGGATCCGACTGGTGCTGCCAAAAAAATGGTGTGCCATGGATCCCATCCATACCCCCCAGTCATTTTAGCATATACAGCGGTATGGAGTTTTCTCCGGTCGTAACCGTTGAAGTTTGCCATGGAAAACCAGCATGTCGAAAGGTAACATCATCGAACAAAGTGGGCCATTTTATTGAAAATAGTGTATGTGTCCACAACAAGAAAGAGGGTGACGGTAAAAATGGAAGATTGATACATCATCAATAAATGATGGTTAGTAAATATCCATCATTTCTCACTAGCCAGGGCTACTGTATGAAGCGATCATATGCTCATGCAACACCTTTGTGGATGGGGGATCTTGCTGTACGTGCCATGTTAGGGAAGATAAGCTTGATCTGATAAGCCGACACACACGGGGAAAAAAGAAACAATTGGGCAGATAAGTAACATCGATTCATATCACATGCCTTGCATATAGAAATCATGTATATATATATATATTATGTAATATATATATATATTAATATCATTATATATGACAGAGTTAGTTTTCCATGATGCACATAACTCAGAACAAACAAAACTATAGGGACAAACATGAACAACAGCGAAACAACAGCGGATTCCCGTGGCTTTCCCACCCTCCAGCGCTGCGAAGGTCCTCCTCTGGGGTAACGTTCGCTTCATCGCCGGCGCCCATTTCAGCGGGACAGTTCCGCTGGTCACCAGCGATCGAAGTGAAAGATCCTGGTGGCTATCACAGTTCAGCCGTATCGATTCGACAAAATTCAACATGTACCCTCTGGTTATGACTAACAGTTTGCGAACTGGAAAGATCCACCCATTTTTGAGAACGGTAAACCATCTATTTCGATTAGGGCCATGTATATACCATGGCTATGTTAGTCATAACCAGATGATACATCATTGTACATCCAGAAATCATGGATATCCTCCGGCCCAATCTCCTGGATCGATCTTGGGCCCTGGGCTGGGAAAGCTATGCCGACCCAGAGGTTTTCTGTTGGATGCTTTCACCTATCAAAGCAGCAGTATGTAAATTGCTATCAGAAATATCACATATCATATCTCATAGGATCCATGTATGGTATATATGCTAACATTTGGGGTATATGGATGGTAAATGTTACCATATATAGCATACATGGATCCTATGGGTATGTCTATAATTGTGTATACCTACGCCCCCAAACAAAAAAATAAGCTTCACTAAGGGGAAATATGATGCATTTTGAGCGGGTTCCCCTAGTTGAGCGTATTCTGAGGGTATCTTCCTGGGAAGTGAGCGTAATACCCGGGAAAACAAGCGTCGAGTATCCGCCCACCAGCACACTCACACATGCACGTTTTTCGGTCAGGTGAGCATAAAATCAAAAAAATCGAATCAGAATAATAAAGCATCAATCCAAGCAAAAAAGGATACGAGCAAAAAAGTGCTATTAGTGAAGATCAAGGTATGTATATCTACACAGAATCTACAATCAATTATGGTTCATGTGCCATCATCCAAGGTGGGGGTGGAATAAAAAAAGTCGAATGATCTGCCAGTCGTTGATACATCGATTCGGGGATATGTTGTTCTTTAAGCGACCAGGCTGTTGATCCATGATAACTTCTCCTTGCAGACATCCTACTGCATATAAAGTCACTCATATCATGTTTGCCTATCTGGGTTTGTCTGAAAATCGGCTGCCCAAAAAAATGATGGGTCCCTGGGTTATCTCAGTTGTCTCTTTCTTTCCGATTAACTACGATACGTTACATTATCTTTGGGGGGTATAGCAACTTCCGGCACAATCTTGGTGCGCAAGGTACGTACTGTATTTACAGGTTTCAGCTGGGGTTATCTTATAATCCCAAATAGACTGATAAACCTATGGGGCAAAACTAGAAACCGTTAAGCACCTGCGGCAGCAGAGCTTTTTTACTGAGCCGCAACAGCTGTGGTAACATGCTAGTATACATGTGTGTTTTATGTGAGGTGCTTTTACACCCCCCTCAGGTGAGCCGGTTACAGCGAGGATGCCACATTTACCAGGGCGAGGTCTTTAAGACCTGCCTCACCGAACTGGCTCTTCGCAAACCCAAGGGAAAACACACTCAGCGGCTATTATACAAAAACCGATCGTCGATGCAAGCAGTTTCACAACTTATCCCTCTTCCCACTCAACACGGCCATGCCTGATGACTTTCTCGTACCAGCGCCCATGCCACTTCTGCCATTCTCCAGTGTAACGGCGATCATCGTGGGACTGACTTTGCTGAGGGCGGTTGATCCACTGACTTGCAGACGTTGATGATGAAGCTACCTCTACGGTGGATGGTCGGGCAACCGGTTTGGCGGTGCCTTTCTTGGAGGGACCTTGGCCGTACGCTCCAGTCTGCTCAGCTTTGCGCTTGGCCTCGTTCTGCTCGCGAGCCCTGTCAGACTGCTTCTTCTTCTCTGCAGCGTTCTGCTTGTACAGCTCCTCGTTTTGTCCCTTGATCCACCTCAAATGACGTTCAGCATCATGAACAGCAATGTTGTCAACGCCAGTGCAAGACAACAAAAGGTTGTGTCCAGGATTCCGATCGAGGTAGTCAATGTACTCTTCCTCGGAGTAGATTTCCGTACGGTACATGTAGAACCATGGTTGGTCGATGTACCTGAACGATTTCGGGACATCAAGACGGCTTGCCAAATCCAAGTAAACCAGCCTCATCGCATTGTGCTCCAGCTGAGATTGCTCAGAAACACCCATCTTGACCTGAGCCTTGGTACGACCTGGCTTTGGCAAATGTGCAGACTTGAGGAGGTCGTACCTTTCACAATCGTACTCATTCTCCCCCTCGTTCAGCACGCTCTCTGCGAATGTGGCGTCCTGGGCAAACCTGTCAGCCACAGACACACAGCCCAAGCTCAAGGCACGGTCGAATCGACTCTTTGCCCTTGCCAACAAACCGGCTTCCGGACTAGAGCTTCCTCTTGCCTGGTCGTCCAACAAACCCAAAGATTCAAGCTGACTGTGTGTGATGCTCTGCAGGTACTCACCACGAAAATCATAGTACAAGCCCAGCTTGTGAAGGGCGGCCTTCCTTCCTTCTGCAATCTTGGTTCGGTCGGCCTTGTTCACCCCTTCGAGCATCAATCCACACACATCGCATTCAATCTGTCCCTTGAAAGTCTGTGCAAAACATCTTGAACATTGCGTGACTTCAATCTTGACCGGCACCGGCTTCTTGTCCTCCTTCTTCACCTCTTTCTTCGAAGGTTGGTCATCGCCTTTAGGGCGAGACTTCTGCTTTGGCACCAGTGACTTTGATGTTGATGCCGGCGTCTTTTTGGGTGACTCTGCAACTGGAGCTTTTGGATCTTTCTGTACTGCCTTCGGCGGTGCAACTTTTGAAACAGGCTCCAAGAAGGCCGCAGCTGATGATGCCGCAGGCACAGCTGCGGGCACGCTTGTCAGGGCTGCCTTCTTCTTTGCAGGTTCATCCTTTGCTGCTGCATCAACTTCTGAGGTCACAGCTTTTGGAACTTCTGGTGCATGAGGTGCAGAAGTCCCTTCCTTCGGTGATGGTTTTGGAGGCGCTTTCGGCGGTGTCTTTGGGCTTCAACCTTTGCTGCAGGAGGCTTTGGAGCTTCACCCTTCGGAGGAGGGGGCAACAATCTGCTGCTTGCATATCCAGGCATACCGGCAAGTTGGGCCACATTTGGTGGCGGAGGCTTCACCTTTCCTGGGAAAAATGCAGTTGCAGTGGGCGCGCCAGTTGAGGCGGCCGGAGACTTGGAACCAGTCCGTTTTGATGCCTTGGCCTCAAAAGTCTCGACAAGCTCCTGGACTCCAACTTCTCCCCCACTGCTTGCTGCAGACTGTGCGACCTCTTGATGGCGGCGATACAAATTCACCTTCTTGGCAGTGTCATCGACAGAGATAATGTATTGAGGCGGTACGACGTCACTTGTCCAAATGCCGTCAGAGGCCGTCCTGAAAAACACAATGCCAGCTTTGACAGCTTCAGCCATTGCTACCCTGATTTCAATGGGTCGTTCAGCACGCAAACCGCTCACATACTCTTTCTCGTCGACACGCACTTCGCTAAAATAGGAGTGTGCTCTGCCTGATGAATTTCGATCTCCTCCTCCAGCAACGAAGCCATTCTCAATGATGCCCTTCCAATTGCCTTTTGTAGTCCTGTGATAAACTACGCCGGGGCACATCTGAGGAGTGGTAATCTTTTTACCTTTGGCGTTCATTTTCTGGATCGCTGCTGCTCCAGACAGAGCATAGATTTCCACTGCATTGAACGTGTCCTCAGCCGAAGCGGCATCCATGGCGCGTTTCGTGTGCCCCTGCACTGCGCGGATTCTGATGGGCCAGTAGGCTAACCCTTTACGGGTTGCCTTCTGGTACCCGGCAATGCACTGAAACTCAAAACGGCACTTGCTGTCCCACCAAAGAAGGGAGATGAGCTCTTCAACCGTCATCCGAGGCAACTTGGCTGGCAGCATTTGATTGAACATTCGAAAGAAGTCATCAAGGTCAAGCCACATGTTTTCATCAAATCCAGAGGTGTCCTGACCCGGCTGTCCACGCGTCACTGCATTGACCTTAGTCTTGTGTCGGTCCATGCGATCTGGGTACCTCAGCTCCTTTGCCCCATCCATCTCCCAACAGGTTTTGACGATCAATTCGTAGGGATGGGCATCAACGACACAATGTTCAACTACTTCTGCATTTATGTTTTCGTCCAAAGTGATACGATATTTGTCAAGGTGTCCAAGTGCATGTTTCGGAATGATGGTACCCTTGATCTCGTTTTCTTGCAGGGGCTCACCAGCTGAGGTGGCCTGAGTTGAATCCTCCTGTGTCGCTGGAGCTTTCGCCTTGGGGTCAGGTGGAGCTGCGTGGCTGGCCTTGGCCTTGCCAACCGATGGGCCCTCAT